GATGGAGCCTGAATGCAGATCAAAGCATACAATTTTCACTTCATTTTTTTGTGGGTTTTGTTTTTTTTGGCATCTGTCTTCTTTCACAACATGACTAATACGGAAATATATTTTGCATGATTGCATGTGTATAACCTATATAAAATTGCATACTGTCTCTGGGAGAAGGGAGGAAGAAAATTTGGAACTCAAATTTTTGTTTAAAAAAAGAATGTTAAAATTGTCTTTACATGTAATTAGGAAAAAATAAAATATTATTTTTAAAAAAGAAATTGCTATAAAGGCACCAAGTGCTAAGACTCTAGAGGTGCCTATCCTCACATCCCTGGAAGTGTATTAACCATATGTGTTGGAGAACCTGTGGTTTTCTTAATGGTGTCTCCGTGTGTGTGTGTGTGTGTGTGTGTGTGTGTGTGTGTGTGTATTTATGTACATGAGCAGAGTCGTAAGCAGGAATTCTGATATGTAGGACAAAATCTGTAGGAAATTATGGCCCGGAAGGGATTCCTATGAAGTCAAATTGGAGTTTGCAAATCTGGAATACACAGGATAGACATGAAATCTGTGCTGAGATTTCCACCAAAATGTCAATCCACGCACCATGTCATTTTTATTTCAATGCTAATTGCTAGCTGATTTTACCTCTTTCAACTTGACCACTGAGCTGTTTTTCTTTTATTGAAAGCCCCTAAAACCAGGAATTCTGGTACCTAAATTCACTGGAGGACTGTGTGGATGGAGAATAGCAAACCTTGTCCTGAGGCACCCCCTATCCACAGAAGGATAGCAGCCAGGCAACTTGCTGGCATGCCAGGTGTACCCTGGGTTATCGGGGTGGCACAATTGCCCTTCTGGCTGAGTGGAAGTAATGTCCAAACAAATTCTAGCCCAATAAATGTCATGGACTATGATGCCCTGAAAGAAATGACGAATGGGTCAGAGAAACCTGGGAAGATTTATATGAACAGATCCAAGATGAAGTGAACAGAACCACAAGTATTTATATTTTATACAACACTGTAAAGATTAAGAGCTTAGAAAGACATTAAGAATTCTGATCAGGGCAGTCACCACCCAGAGTACCAGGGATGAAGAGTACTATCCATCTCCTAAGAGAGGTGACAGGCTCAAGGTGCACATTGAGACATTTGGTCAGTGTGGAGATTTGTTTTGCTTGATTCTGCATGTTTGTTACAAGGGTTTTTTTGGTTTTGATTTTCAGTGGTGGATGGGGGCATTAGTGGGAAGGAGAGAAAGTCAAATGCTTGTTAAAGAAAAGGTTGTTTGTTTTTTTTAACAAAGGAACTAAATGCACTCCCTGGAGATGTGAGAATCTTGATGGGTTAGCCCCAACTTTGCTACTGGAAGGTGGCCTGTCTCCTGGCTGTGTGGGTAGGATGGTGATAGGTCAGTGGAGATAGGAGTCAGAGGATGCTGGGCACTGGAAGTCAGGCTCTGGTGCAGCTGTGCCTGGTCTGGAGCCAGCTCTCAACCTGTGAAACTAGGGAATCTAAGGGGACCAATTGCCTCCATGTCAGTCCCAGACTGAGATAGCATGTTGCAGCTCTCCATCTGACTTGACATTGACCCTACCTACTCCTGCTCAGAGCTGAGGTCTTGGGGAGCCCATGATGCTGCCCTGAGGTGGCGGGTAACTCAGATGTGGAAGAGAATTCAAGGAAGGGAGGTGGTAGGAGGAATCTCCCCACAGGCTCAGCGTCAGGGCTGGGGGATCTTCCTTCCTTGGGCTGTATAGCCCAAGTCTCATTTTACTGGCCCAGAGAAGGAAAGCAGCTTGTCCAAGGTACACAGGCTTGTAAGGGAGAAAGCTAGAACTAGTGGAAAGGGTAGCCTTGTTGAAGTTGGGAGATCAGGGTGTGAGACAGCGCCAGGTGAAGGGTAATGTGAGGATTGGGGGAAGGTCAGAGGAAGGGGCCAGTCATGGAAGGGAAAGGTCATAGGCAGTTAAAGCCATGAAGGCCTGGTGGACAGGTCACAACAAGAGGGTGGTGGGAAGTTGTTTTGGAGGTCCCAGTGGGAGCCTGAGGAGGTGGCCACAGTAGACAGAAAGCAGCTGGGGAATCTTAATGGAAAGATGAATAGAAGGGGCCAGATGGGAGGCTGCCAAGGAATAGGGGGATGTGTTTGAGCAAGGGTGATTTGAAGCTGGTGGGCAAGGGAGAGCCCTTAGAAGACAGGGATAGGTGGATGCTCATGTCCCAGAGGCAGGTCACAGTGGGAAAGGGAGATCAGGGTTGTTGAGGGTTGATATGAAGCCAAGGGTTGGGGGGAATCACAGATTGGAAGGGTCTTGGCACCAATGTATCCAATGTCCTCTGGTTTCCTAAACTCAGGTTACTCCAGTGGTGCATAATTGTTAGCCAATTTGTCTTTTAGGGGTGAGAAAATAGTGCTTATCTGGTCAATTAGCCCTACCCATTGTGTTCAGGACCAGTGTGGATGCTGGGTTTTCCTTGATCCATCCTCCAAGCTCCGCTTCCTCACCTTTAGGGATGGGGCAGATGAGAGCCTTGAAGACTGCCAGAGAGGAGTGATGACCCCTGAGGAGGTGCAATGGACCCTAGGCCCTAGGGGAGGGTCTTCTCTCTCCTCAGTTCCTGTAGACTCACTTGAGGAGTCACCCACACCAGGGCAAATGGTAAGAAACAGGCAGAGTCGGTATTCTGGCCAATCCACAATGAGCAAGGCCCAGTGTTTATTCCAGCCCAAGCCCAGCCCACACCAGGATTGTGGCCAGGGCCAGGGGCCAAGGTGTTTGGGTTCACTCTGCTGCATTTTTATCACAGTCCATTATTAATTTTCCTCAGGTCTAGGTGGGAGAGGTAAGAGATGATGGTTGTTCGCCCTTTGGACTTCATAATCTCCTTTGTTTTTCCTCAGGCCCATGATAACCTGTACAGGGTTGAGGGATGGAGGACAGTCAGGAGTTATGGGGGCATGAGCCTTGCTGAGAGCCTCTTGTGTATAGCTATGGACCCAGCTTTGCTCCCCAGAGAGGGCATGAAGGCAGCTCTGGTGAATCCCAGGAGCACAGCCAGGAACCAAGGCTATTAGAACTGGTCTTCCTGGCTGGCTTTGTACATTTCTTCCCAGCCCCTACCCCAAAACCTAAGGCCAGGCTTAGGGAGAAGGCACCCAGGTAGAGTATTCATGAGCCGCATTGAGAGAACTCTCCACTGATTGAGAAAGTAATGGGGAGAGTGTGAAGGAAGGCTACCTGGAACTTTCCCTAAGTAAATTTATTGTGTCTGTCTGTCTATCTGTCCCTTCCCCGTTCTGCCTCAGTTTCTGTCTGTCTCTTCATCTTCAATCCTTTCTTCATCTCTGTCTCTTGTTTCAATCTTTGTCTCTTTCTGACTATCTTGGTCTCCCTCTTTCAGTCTATGTTTGTCTCAGATTATCTCTCCAACTCTGTCCCTCCATTTTTCACTTCTATTCAATAAGCATGTGCCAAGCACTGTGCATTTTCTCACTCTCTTTCTGTCTCTCTGATAAACAGAAATCTCTTCTCTCTCAAATTCTTACTCAGACACACACACACCCTCCTTTACATATGGATGGACGCACACACTAGTGTCTTGTACTTCCTAAATTCACACTCATTCCCATTGACTCATTGATATGCATCCTCTCCTAGATGCATATATGCAGCCATAACCACACCTACATTCTCACATATACACACTTGCTCACTCTAGGAGAAGCATACTGGATCATGAGATCACAAAGTTAGAGCTGGGAGGGATATTGGAGGCCATCTAATCCAATACCCTCATTTTATAGATGAGGAAACTGAAGCCCATAGAGGTGGCTTGATGACAGTCTCATATATGATACGATTTGAACCCCGGTCCTCTGGCTCCCAATATAGTGATTATGGTGATCTTCCTACTGTGCCACCATCAAGACTTCCCCTCATAGGGATACTCATTCTCTCTGTCTCTGTCTCTCTCTCTTCCCTCCTCTACCCCTGCTCTCTCTCTCTCTCTCTCTCTCTCTCTCTCTCTCTCTCTCTCTCTCTCTCTCTCTCTCTCTCACACACACACACACACACACACACACACACACACACACATATACATGCACACAGAGAGCCCTTAGTGGCCCTTAGGGGCTCCCCAAGTTCTCTTACCATGAAGCAGCACATAATACTAAGGATGAGCCCCAGGAGCATAGCCAAGCAGATAAGAATGATGGCCAGTAGGGCAGGTCTGGGGGGAAGAAGAGGTGATGCTGAGGAGCTTCATGGGATAAGGGGACAGCACAGGGCGGGTAGTGAATGTCCTTTGGCATTCCCACCCCTGTGGGAAGGGAGGGGACAAAGAGCAATACACAGGGAAGATGGAGGATGGAGGCTGAAGGACCCAACCCAGAGCATCCTCCCACCTCCCATGCCACCAGACATTTGCTCTTCAGAAGAAGCTGACCTAGGAGAAAGGGGGCAGGCTGACTATGGGAGTGAATTTGAGAAAGGAGCTGGGATCTGGACATAAGAGAAAAGGAGTTGGGCAAACTGAGGGAAGGCACTTAAGGCAGAAAAGATGGTTCAGGGACCCCATTGTCAACCTGGGACAAGGGAGGGTGATAGTGCAGAGACCCAATGTCAGAACTGAGAGAAGTGACAGTGATACTGAGTCCTACCCAATGACAGAGAATGGCTTAAGGTCAGGCACAGAACCTTCCCATGTCCATCCCCCCAGGGGACTCAGGAAGGGAGATACACTCAGGGATCTGACAATTGGCAGGGATGACCGCTGTTCATTTGTCTGATGAACACAGTCCAAGACAGTGCTCTTGGGACACTCAGCATCGAGTGCTGGCTAGGGTGAGAGGAAAGTCATCCTGGCCACTCAGTTCCTGCCCTGCCCCCACTCTCCTACTCTTCAAGGATCAGCCTCAGCTCCCCACCCCCCAACACAGACATAGGAACGGTCAAGGGGCAAGGCTGTTGCATACTCACCAATTTTCTTAGTTTCCATCTATTTTCTTGATAGAATAGCCTGAGGACAGAGAAATATGGAATAAGGGGAGAAACCTATGGGTCTTGATCTGGGGAGCTAGACTGGGTGAGGAAGAAGAGGATGAAGGACAAGAGATGGAGAGGCCATGGGGGACAAAGAGACTCCAAGGGTCAGGGAGGGAGGAAAGGATATGGGGATCATAGAGACAGACGACTATAAGGGACAGGGATGGCCATTGGGGGAAGCAGTCAGGGGGGAGGAGGAAGTACAGGCATCAGGGAATGTGGAGGGAGGGTCTTTTGGGCTGGAGATGTCAGGAGTCAAGCATCCCAGGAATTCCTCATCCTTCCTCACAGCCTGTCAGTGTTCTGACAGAGAGACCAGACTGGAGGTCCCTCACCATCCACCAGGATATGTTCTGATCCAGGGTGAAGTTCTGTAGCCGAGTGCCATTGTGGGTCAGTCTGAGGAACTCTTCGTACATAGCGGCCCTGTCAAAGTTCCGGGCCTGAGCGGCTGATGTGAAGTCACATAAACAGTCCACTCCTGTGAGGTGTCTGGGAGAGGCAAGCCTAAAGAAGGGAGAGACAAGCCTAAAGAAGAGGGAGGGTGTCGTGAATGAGAGACGAAGAAGGCAGGTGGGGAGGAGAGGACTGGAGCAGCGATGGCCTCAGGGGAGCTGAGCTGGGCCAGGCTGAGCAGGCTTCTGGCCCTGGCAGGAAAACCTGGATGGGGGGCCTCCTCTCACTGCACCTCCCCACCAAAACTAGACTTACTTCTAAGTGTTTTGTGAATACATGGATCTGGATGGTAAGCTCCTTGAGGACACGATGGCTTTATTTTTTCTATCTTTTGCCATACCTGACACTTGGAGTATGCTACTTAAACCTTACTGAGCGGCTGATTGCTCGTGTATGTATGTAGATGTACATGTTGTCTCCCTAGACTGTAACCTCTTTGAGGGCAGAGCTGGCTTCATTTGTACATTTCTGTATCACGCACGTGCTTTGGGACATCGTAGGAGATTTATAAATGCTTGTTGATTGGTTGATTAAAGGACGGCTTGGTCTCCCAGGCAGTTTGGTAACGTGCTGCTTTCTGTATCTCTGGACCCTTCTCGGGGTGCTGGTTTGAGGCAGCTTTTAGAGGGAAGAAGGGAGTTTGGAGGGAAGGAAAGAGAAGAAGGAAACACCAGCTTCCTGAGGCACACCAGAGAAAGGGCTTAGAGAAGGGATACTGTGTCCTGAACATGGTCTGTTCTGGGAACTGGTCTCCACCAAGAGATGCTTCCTGTAATTGTGGGGGTGAGAAGCTAGACAGAGAAGTGGAGTCCTAGACAGAGTTGTCCCTGGGGAAAAACCTCACCTAAAGGTCTGCACATGACAGTCAGAGAAATAGCTCTTGATACTGCTGTTTCTGAAGAGCTGGGTCAGCTGTAAGAAAAAGGAACATTTCCTGGAATGTGATCCTCAGGGCACATTGTGCCCAGAAAAAAAAAATACTTAAAAATCTTTTCTGAGAAAAAAAAAAGTCACGCTACAGGGCTAGCATCTCCATCTGGTAGATACCAGCCCAGGTGGACCTAGATGAATGCAAGAGATGGACTGAGCTCACCTTTCTGGGTACCAGGGACCATCCTAGGTACAGTAGAGCCCCCCTCCCTCCGCCTTCCCAAGTGTCTAAAAGTTTTCTAGAAAGGGCCTTCCTTTCCTGTTTCAGGTTCAAATCACGCATTTGAGAAATTAACAGGTGATCTAGAGTAAATCTGAACCCCTTTCAGGCAGCATCTGTAATCTGTAATTATATATCATGTAATCTGAAGGGGCTGGCTTAATGGTATCCCCAGTCACTTCACTCTCTTTATCCTGTCCTTTGTATCTATTCCTTTCCTTTCCTCTCCTCTCTGCTGTCTTTTCTCCTGCCCCCTTAGAGGTAGTGTGGCATACCTAGGTTCAAGGAAGACCTGGGTTTGAGTTCCTTCTGGGACATGCTGGTTATGTGATGCTAGGCATATCATAGTATCCTAAATGTAGAGCTGGAAGGGACCTTCAAGGATATGAAGTCCAACTCCCGTATTTTACAGATGAGGAAACTGAGGCTAGGAGGTTAAGTGGCTTGCTGGGGGTCACAAGCAAATTTCTTAGACAGGATTTGAACTCCAGTCCTCCTGATTCCAAATTCAGCACACTACCCCCTGGACCCCCTAGCCGTTTCATGGAACAGGCAACCCCCTATAAGTTGCAGCTTACATATTGGTCCACTTTGGTAGAGGGAATCACTTCACTGGGACATTTCTTTATCAATGAAATCATAGGTCGGTAAAAATAAATAAATAATCCTAGTTTTCAAAAACAAAACAAAACAACCCTCCCCCATCATACCTCACCATCCCCACAGGCCCCTGTGTGTTGCTCTCCTGACCCCACCCTCTTAAGAGAGTCTTTAAACTGAAATTTCTTCCCACTTAGTCTCCAGGGAACAGAGTGGATGGAAGTTATCCAGGATTCTGCTGAAAGCCTGATGTGAAAGCCCCACGCTCTGGGGGGACAGTCAGGGAAGAGCACGCTTGGAGATCCCTGCTTGGGTCCTTCCTACAGCTCTTGGGACTAGACCTTACCGCATCTTCAATGCCATTTTTGTTCTCTTGATACTTGGCTGAGTCAGGGTGTGACAAGTCCAGGGAATAGAGCACGCTGGTGACGGTGAAGTTCAATTGGAAGTGTCGGGGCCTAGGGTCAATCAGTGGCTTAGCTGTAGACAGTGGGGCGGCTGGTTCCAGTTCTGGGGAAAGAACAAAGAAAAAGATGATTGATGATGATGATGATGATGGTGATGGGGGCCCAAGCTGGGAGAGGCTACAGAGAGGTCATACAGGCCAGAGTCCCCTTCCTTCCCCAGGGACAGAAAGGTGGCTGGCCCTTTTCTCTGGCTCAAACCCTGACCTTCTAAGATAGATGGCACCAGTCCATTTCAGGAGGCCAGGTAGCAGCCGACTGCTCCCAGGAAAGTCTGGTGAGTTAGAACCACAGACAGAGGGTCACTTAAGAGTTTGGTCCCCTCATTTTACACGTGGAAAAGATGAGGTGCAGTGAGGTTTGTTCATCAGATCTAGAGACCTTCTTGTAAGCCTTCTGATGACCTTTCCCAGGATGCCTTCTGCACTTGTGTGAACTCCAAACATTCCCAACAGGATTAGCTCCCAGGTGTAAAATGCACCCATTGGGAAGCCCAGCTCCAATGTTGCCTCCTCTGGGAAGGCTCCCTGAATTCCTCATGCCAGGAATAGACAGTCCCCTAGGACCTCACAGGGCTCTCTGTTATGCCTGTATCTAATGCATTTATAATGCAAAGTAGTCTGTATTATCCCCAGGCAACTCTCCAAATCACATAAGTCTCAAGAGGGTGAAAAATCTGCATTGGCAGAGGAAGCTTTTCTGCCAAGTGTTCTGTTCATGCATAAAATCCCAAACCTTGCCTCACCTCTTACTACTTCCTTCTGTTATCCCCTTGGGAGGCCATGTGGGCGAAGAAGACTCTGAAGCAGGCTTCAGAGCCAGGAAGACCTGGGTTCCAATCCAGCTGCTTCTGGTTGACCCTGGGCAAGTCCCTTTACTTCTCAATGTCACTCTCTAAGAGTCTAAGGTACAAAGCATATATTAATATGCACTGGTAAAGGGAGTTCCCTCAGTGGAGTTCTCTGTGCCTATGAAATCCCAGGTGAAGAGAGGAGAGGAAAGGAAAGGAGAGAGAGGAGAGGAGGGGAGGGTAGGGGAGGGGAAGGGAGGGGAGAGGGGAAGAGAGGAAAGAAGGATGTATAGTATGGTTTTGCATATTTATATCTATACATCTGTGTCTTTCTCTAGTGGGTGGTGGGGAGGGAAGGAGACAGACAGGAACTTAAAATGTAACAATAAATTAAAATACATTTTTAAAAAGAAAGAAAAGGAAAGGAACAAGCATTTATTAACCACCAGTTATGTGCTAAATGCTTTGGAAATATTACCTCATTTGAGATGCTAAATCAATGTTTTCTAAATGAAAGAAGTTTGAACATGCACAGAGGAACAGAGAGAAAGGGGGAGCCTAAAGGGGCAGATGGGGACAGGGTATGTGTGTTCTCTAGCCCTTTGGGGCCTCCACTTTGGCTTCAGGGATGACTTCGTTGCTGGGACTCTCAGAAGGCATGTGGAAAGAGGAGAAGGTTCTGCCCTGAACAGGCCACATGGCCAGCTCCTCGTCTGGGGCTGGGGGAGTGTAGGGGTGGTCTGGAAGTCTAATTGTTTTTTCCCAGATCTGACACAAACTCTTGATGACTTTGGACAGAGTCACATCTGCTCACTGGATCTCAGTTTGCTCAATCACAAAATGACAGTGTTGGAGTATCTGAGGCCCTTCCCAAATCTAACCTTCTACATTCTGTATGCTAGGGCTCCTCCAAACTGACATCCTGGGTTCTAAGGGCCCTCCCAGCTCTGACATCCTGGGTTCTAAGGCCTTTCCAGCTCTGACATCCTGGGTTCTATGGGCCCTCCCAGCTCTGACATCCTGGGTTCTAAGGAGCCTCCAGCCTCTGACAATTTCTGTTCTAAAGGCTCTCCCAGCTTTGACTTTTTAGGTTCTAAGAACCTTCCTATTTCAGTCATGTTATGCCTTATATTCTAAGGAACTTCCTAGCTCAACACTGTTTCAGTCCCATAAGTGTTCATTTCACCCCCACTTCCTGGGGTACAAGCTTCCCAATTGCTTTCTTCCACTTCTGCTTGCCATGAGCCCCATCTCCCATCCCTACTACAGCTTCCTCTCCCCCTACCCCTCAGCCATTCAGGCCCCCATACTTGTCACTTGGAGGTTATCCAGCTTGTAGGAGTCCCCAAGCCAGTGGGCTGTAGCATCCTGGGTCCTGTCCAGAAACACTTGTGCGATGGTGTCAGGATCCAGGTTGGAGGAGAAGCTGCAGTTGCAGGTGACATACACAGAGCCCATCCTATGGACCAAGATTACAGGGCATTTGGCCAGGGGCCTAGTGCAGATGGGACCCCGACTGCCCATCCCACTGTGGCCTTGGTCAACAGCCCTGTGGTGAGTTGAGGAGGTTTTCTGCCCATAGCCCAGGGAGGCAGGGTGCAAGGAGTCCGCAAAACCTCCGAGATCAGTTGATCAATCAACTAGCATTTACTGAACACCTACTGTGTGCAAGGTACTCTTCTGGGCACTGGGGAACCATCCACCTAATGGCAGGGAAAGATCTCTCCTCTAGTGTTCCTGGCAGGTCGCTTCTTCTCTCCTCTGCTCAAGCATTCCACATGAAGTGGAAATCTATCTTCTGTACAACTGCCCCCACTCGCCCTCGTTTCCCCCCCCCGGAATCCCATGGCGCAAGTCTGCTTGCTCTGCCCCATGATGGCGTCCCAGCAGTGGAAGGTTTTTCTCCTGTATCCTGAGGCTGCAGAATCACAGCATCTCAGCATTGGGAGGGAACTCAGTGTCCAGCCAGTGTCGTACCCCTCAACAACATCCATGACAAATGATAATCCAGCCTCTGTCTGAAGACCCCCCAATGATCCTGTGACTCTGTGAGGGAAAGCACCCATTGAATTGCTTTCGCTCACCCTCATACAATGAGGGTCCGAGTCCCTTCCCCTTCCTAGTCACCCTCCTCGGTCCCTCCTGACATGGGGTGACCAGAACTGGACCCAACCTTCCTGATGCGGTCCACTTGGGACCTCCATCTCCCTTGTCTGGGGCACTATTTTTCTATTCAAAAGTAAAATCGAGCCCTGACAAGAGGGGATACCAAGCTCGGACATGGCAGGGGGGAAGGGCTGGAGAGGGAGAGAGAAGAGGTGGGGAACAAAGCCCAAAGGAGGCTGAACATCCTGGGGAGGGCTAGAAGAGGGAGGGGGTGGGGCACATTGAAGTCCCCGGGGTGAGGGAAGATTAAGGGGAAGACCCCGAGGAGGTGGGACCGCAGGCATCCAGGGTTATACCTTACTAAGAGACAAATTTATTTTAATGAAAGGAAAAACACGTAGAGTTGCCCCAAAGTGGAAGGGGCAGCCTTGGGAAGAGATGAGTTCTCTCTTGCTAGAGGTCTTTAGGCAGGGGATAGATGACCGTTTGTCAGCCATGTGGTATTATGGAGCCTTGTTCAGGTCTAAGGTGCACTAGACATCCTCTGTGCTTCATCCCAATACTGCTCCGGGAAGAGCAATCAATTATGCATTAAGTGCCAGCACTAGGGCAGTGGAGGAGGGGGGAGATGGGGAGGGATAGTTGGGGGCGTGGCCTTCCTGGCCAGAGCCACACCTACCTGAGGCCTGTGATGAGGCAGTAGCGGAATCTGTCCTGGAGCTGGCTGCCTGCATACAGCTGTGTCATCTGAAATGGAGAGCAGCATGCTAGAGCAGAGTGTGCCCCCGTCCGTGTTCCTCTGCCCACCCCCCAGGCACCTGAGGAAAGCTTGGGAAGCTCTGAGGGGTCCATTCTGGGAGCTCAAAAAGCTGCTATCAGGATAGGCCCACAGGTGCTCACTCTCTGTCTCTCTCTCTCTCTCTCTGTCTCTGTCCTCCTCCTTCTTCCTCTCTCTCTCTCTCTGTCTCTGTCTGTCCCTCTGTCTCTGTCTCTGTCTCTCCTCTCTCTGTCCTCCTCCTCCTCCTTCTCCTTCCTCTCTCTCTCCCTCTCTGTCTCTGTCCTCCTCCTTCTTCCTTTCTCTCTGTCTCTCTCTGTCTCTGTCCTCCTCCTTCTTCATCTCTCTCTGTCTCTCTCTGTCTCTCTATCTCTCCCTCTCTGTCTCTCCTCTCTCTGTTTCTGTCCTCCTCCTACTTCTTCCTCTCTCTCTCCCTGTCTCTGTCTCTCTCTCTCAAACCTCCCTCTCTCCCCCCTTTCTCCTCTCCCAGCTGTGTCTCTCCTCCCTCCCCATCCTCTATCTCTCCTCTCCCTCTCTCTCTCCCCTCCCTCCCTCTCTTCCTCCCACCGATGCAGATCACACTTGCCCTGTAACCTAATTGTCTTAGAGACCTAGCTGGGGCCCCTAGAAGTTAGGTGCTTTTCCTGGGGTCACAGAGTCAGTACATATCAGAGGCAGGATTTGACACCAGGTCTTTCTGAGGCCTACACATACAGGCCCACAGAATAAATGGGGCAGGAAGAAGAATCCTCTGAACCTCCGTTGGACATGCAGAGCCATAGCTGGGAATGCATGTTAGTGCGGGAGAAAGTGCCACAAACCTTTCAGAGTAAGTGGCATCAAAGGTATCGTTTGGGGTGGGAGTGATATTGTGCTGTGAAGTGGGTGGCACAGAAACCCTGGGACACTGGTGGGAGGGGAGACTGCCAGGGCGGGGGCAGGGGTGCACAGAGCACCTTACATGCTGTCATCATGCTTGAACTCTCTGGGACAAAACCCTATTTGACACACCCTCATGTGTCTCAGGGAGTATCCTTCTGTAAAGTTCCTGTAAATGCCTTCTCTGGGATGTGCTGATTGCTAGAGTAGGAATCACCTTCTAAGCATCCTTTTGGCCTTAACTCTTTGCCCTCCCTAGTCCATCTTTTGCAAACCGCCCAAGTCACCTTCCTAATGTCTCCTCTGATCACATCATTCTTCTATTCAAACAACCCTCAGTACCTCCTCATTACTTACTAAATAAAGTATCAAACCTCTAAATCTGGCATTCAAGGCCCTCCACAATTTGGGTCCAATTGACCTTTCCAGCTTTTCTCAAACTCTTTTGAATCATAAATTTAGCTGGGAAGGGATTTCTGAGGTCATCCAATCCACTCCACAACCCCCCCCCCAACACACACAAAGGCAACATTTTACAATTGAGAAAACTGAGGCCTAGAGAGATGTGACTTCCCTTAGGTCACATGGATAGCATGTAAAAGCCAGGATCTGAACCCAGGTCCTTTGACTCTAAATCCTTCAATTCTTTCGACTGCTCCACATTTCCTTCTCACACTCTTATTCCAGCCAAACTTGGTCTCCCCTCACCACCACACACACACACACATTACCTACACCCCATTCCTATCTTGCCTCTCATCTCCGTGCTTTTGCTATCATACTAATTCCATGTCTGAAATGTCTTCTTACTATCAGAATCTCCCCCTTCCTTGAGGACTCCATTGTGGTACAGACACATAACTAGGAAGGGACCACCAGAGCTTTGTCCCAGGGCACCACTAGCCTGGTTCGGGGGCACGATCCCTTCTCTATGGCCTCAGTGGCTTCATCCTGCTCCCAGCGGCAGTTTCCACTTGGGGCATTTATCTCCCCTTCCCTACAGCTAGGGAATTTAGATGATGCAAGTGAGAGTGCCCTGAGCCACCTCCTCCTTTGCCTGGTCTCATCCACCACAAACGTGCGCCAGCACATGCACACTAGCATTGTGTCAGGAAGTGCTTCCTCCCCCTGGCGGCTGCACCCTTTGTTTCCCCCACCAACCCCCGCAATTGCTCCTGTTTGCTCAGACACAAAGATTGCTCGTAGTAGTTTTGCTCAGGAGTCAGTTTCTTCCAAGAATGTTTCCTAGTCTTTCCCTCCCCACCCCAAATAAAGGTGATCCTCCTCTGAACATTTCTTATAGCACTTTGTCCAGGCTTCTCAAAATCATAGCTAATATTTCCATAGCCCTTTTAAGGTCATCTTGATAACTACCTTGTGAGGTAGGTGCTAGTATTACTCCCACTTTACAGATGAGAAAACTAAGGCTGAGAGAGGTCAAGTGACTTCTCCAGGGTCACACAGCTAGTAAGTCTCTAAGGCAGAATTTAATCCAGGTCTTCGTAACTTTAGGTCACAGGCTTTATCCACTATATTACTTTAGTCTACTCGTTTGCACTTATTTCACTCTTCTATAATAGATGGTTGTGGAATGTCTTGCTCTGGTATTAGAATGAAAACTCCTTGAAAGCAAGGTCTGTGTGCCATTTACCTTCATATCTTTCCCACAGTCATATATGGTGGATGCTTAATAAATATTTGTTAGTTGGATGGATGCATGGATGGATAGATGGATAGATAGGTAGATAGAAAGATGAAAGAGAGAGAGAGAGAGAGAGAGAGAGAGAGAGAGAGAGAGAGAGAGAGAGAGAGAGATGTATGCATGAATGGATGGATGGATGGATGGATGGATGGATGGATGGATGGATGGATGGATGGATGGGAGGGGGAATCATGAGTTTATAGGGATCTTACTGATGTGGGCACCATGGGTGTGGATGGTAGAAATGTCTGGGCTGTATATTTAATCAGAAGGGATGTGGAGGGAAGGAGAGTACCAGAAGTAGAAGGAAGGCATTAATGAGAAGTCTGGACCTGGAAGCATTATGTGTTACTAGTCAAAGTCTTATATTAAAGGAGATTATCAGTGAGGTCCAGGGTCTTAGGAGCACAGGCGCCCTTCCAGTAAGAGAGGCATCACACCTAAGACTAAGAGAGGTGGTTTGTTCAGCTCTTGTCTCACAGGCACATAAGATCTAGAGTTGAAAGGGACCTCAGAGGTCATTGAGTTCAACCTTTTCACTTTGCAGATGAGGAACATGAGGCCCCAGAAATATAAAGTGCCCAAAGTCACCTAGGTAGTAAGCATCAAAAGTGAGATGTAACCTCTGTCTCCGTTCTCTGGAGTATTCTGTGTGGTTCAGGGTGCCATATTTTGGGGAGGACAGGGGTGGGTGAGCCCCCTGAATGAGGCACAGACAGAGGAAAAAGAAAGAAGAGACCTGCTTCCTTGGGCCCAGGAGGCTCAGGAAAAGCTCTTGCTTTCTTGGACCCAGGAGAGGAGAAAGAAAACAAGACTTTTGGAGAGAGACTGAAGGCTTTTCATGTTGGGAACGGGCTGCACAGTGAGTGGGGGTCTGAACACTCTCTGAGACTTGCTTCTTGCACAAGTCGCAGCCAAGATTTCCTCTAGATCCCAGGCAAGTCTGGTCCCTAAGCCTTCCTTGTGCCAGGAGGTCACTACGTTCTTTGACCTTAAGGCTGCTGATGCTGCCAGAGGATACAGGGAGCAAAAGGGGTTGGAGAGGTGTTTCCAAAGCTGGAGGCCTCAGGAAGGACTATGGATCAAAGCTCTGCTAGAAGAGACCTTGGAATTCATCTAGTCTAATCCTCCAACTGTACAGATGAGGAGACTGAGGCACGGAGGTTTAAGTGATTGTCTCGAGGTCAAACAAGTAACAAGTGAGTTTCTATGTCCTTGGTCTAGGGCGATGGAAGGGGCCTGGGCTAGGATGCAGCTTGAACCTAGTTCTTCTTAAGTGGGGCAAACACCTGTGTACATGAACCTTCTGACTAATGCCCAGTGAGGAAAGATCACAGAATCTCATGGCTGGAAAGGACCTTAGAGGTCATCTAGACCGAATTTAACAAGAGCAAGAAGACTCTTTCCAACATCCCCTACAGCCTTTGCTTGAAGACCTCTGGTGAGAGGAAAGGAACCCACAACCACACAAGGCAACCACTTTGTATCTAATTTCCACAGAGGTTTTCTTTAGATCCACTAACTGCTCCTTATCCTACCCATGAGGGTTAGGCAGAACAAATCTAATCCTCTTTCCAGGGAGAGCTTTTTCTTTTGTTTTTCTTTTTCTTTTTTTAATTTTTCTTTTTTAAATTTTTTTTTCCATATGCTTTTGAGTTGAAAATTTTTCTCCCTTTTTCTTCCCCCCCCACCCTCCCCAAGACGGCGCATAATCTGACATAGGCTTTACATTTACATACCCATTAAACATATTTTCACATTAGTGAAGTTGTAAGTAAAAATTAAAACCAATAGGAGGAACCATCAGAAAGATGAAATGAAACACAACAGAAGGTAAAAATAAGTGATAGCGATTTGACTTCCATAGTTCTTTCTTTGGATGTGGACAGCATTTTCCATCCCGAGGCCTCTAGAGATGTCTCAGATGCTCCTAATGCTGAGAAGGGTTCAGTTTAGCATTCTTAGTCATTGCATAACGTGGCTGCTATTGTGTACAAAGTCCTCTTGGTTCTGCTCACTTCACTCAGCATCAGACCATATAAGTCTTCAAAGGTTTTTCTGAAGTCAGCCTGTTCATCATTTCCAGGGAGAGCTTTTTCAAAAACCCTGCCTCTCTCCCACCAGGTTTCTTTTCTCCAGGGTAAAGATCACTACTTCCTCCACCAGTCATGATACGACATGAACTCAGCGCCCATCACCAACCCAGTCACCTTCCTCGGATATTCCTCAGTTGGCCAGCTTCCTACAATGTGGTACCTAGAACTGAACCCGATACTCCTGAAGTGGCCTAGGCAGAGCAAAGCCCAGGAGATTGATCTCCTGTTTATTTTTGGAAGTGATGCCTCTCCTATTTCAGCCTAAATCATATTTGTTTCTTTAGACATTCCCATTGTTCCTGCATGAGGAATTTGCAATCCCAATAAAAGTCCAAGCTCTCTTCACACAAACTGCTGCTGCTTTTTTCAAATCGATTTTTTTTAAAAAAAAAAACTTGAATGCATGACTTTACATTTATTTCCATTAAATTTTATCTTAATCAATTCAGCCCATCCTGTCTCTGTCATCTACTGGGTTGGCTACCCTTTCCAGCTTTGTACGTTTAGCAAATTTGATGAGGAATGCTCTCTATGACTTTAAGTAGCTAATAAAAATGTTAAATAGCACAGGGCCAAGCTCAGATTCCTGGCAATTCCACTGGAGATCTGCTTCCAAGCTGACACTGAACCACTGACCCTCTTTGGGCCTGGTTAACTTTTGAATCTGGCCACCTATATGATCATCTATGGGCAGCTATGGACGATGGATAGACTACTGAGCCTGGAACCAGGAAGACTTGAGTTCAAATCTGGCCTCCTAGCTGTGCAACCCTGTGCAAGTCACTTAACCCTGTTTGCCTCAATTTCCTCATCTGTAAAATTGCTAGAGAAAGTAAATGCAAAGTGCTCCAGTATGTTTGCCAAGAAAACCCCCAAATAGGGGTCACAAACACAAAGAGTAGGACACAACTGAAAAATGACTGAATAACAAAAATATGATTATCTAGACATCTCTCTGTCTTGCCTAAAGGATAGCATGGGGCTCTTCATCAAATGCTTTTCTAATATCTGGGTAAAGTATATCCACAGCCCTTCTCTGACCTACCAGGTTAGTAACCCTGTCAAAGATGGAAATAAAGTTAGTGTGGCATAACCAATTCCTTTTTTTGGCTAGGCAATGGGGTTAAGTGACTTGCCCAGGGTCACATAGCTAGTAAGTGTCAAGTGTCTGAGGCTGGATTTGAACTCAGGTCCTCCTGACTCCAGGGCCAGTGCTCTATTCATTGCACCTCCTAGCTGCCCCAGCATGACCCATTCTTCATAAAGCCATGCTAGCTCTTTCTGCTCACTGCTTCCTTTTCTAAACTATGACTAACCATACCTTTTAACATTGTGTTCTAGAATTTTGCCAGGAATTAAAGGTAGGTTCAGTAGCCTGTAGTTTGCAGGCTCCATTCTCTTTTTTAAGAAATAGTGGGGACATTTGCTTTTCTTTAATCCTGTGGTACAGCTCCCATCCTCCATGATTCTTGTCTTGTTTTTCTTCACCATCTTTCAAAGATTGCAGACAGTAGCTCATCAATTACGTCGAGTTCTTTTGGGATCCTAGAATATAGTTTTCTGATGACTGGAATGGCAATTAGGCACTCTCTTGCTACCTGCCTGCTTATCTTGGCTACCAATTCCTTTTTAGCCATTTTGTCCTGTCCTATCGAGACCAAGATCATTCCCTTGGCAAGGAAAAAAGGGGAACAAAACCGAAGTTGAGGTGCTATGCTGTCTCTCTGTTGTCTGTTATGCTCGTCTCATCTACTCCAAACAGTGGTCCTTTCCCTTCTTTAGCCTCCTCTTCTTCTCAAAAATATCTACCAATTCTTGTTGTTGCTCTTAGCTTGCCTTGGCAGTCTCGATGCATTTAGAGATTTAGCACCTCTGACACTATTCGTATAAGATCACACTGTGGGATTTTTTATTTTTGCATTCATCCTCCATTACCTATCCATGTTTCCATCTTCCCTAAATTTCTTCTTGAAAAATTCTAGTTGATTGTTGTATATCCCTGTGTATCTGAATTGTTCTTTCCATTTTGTGCTTTATCATTGTTTGTTCAGATTTCATTCTTGACAGCTTGCTACTCCTCCTGAGCTGGCTCCCCCCACCCCCAGATTTTTAGGCCATGAGAGTCAACCTTTCCTTCCTCTGAACCCTTTGAAATCTGCCATCCTAAAGGTAGAGTGCATGTCACACTATTCCTAGTTCTCTCCACAAGCACAAATCCTAAGATGGAATGATTACCTCCCCTCAAGGTTGCCATCATTCCCATCCTAGCATCTAATTCCTCCTTCTTTGTGAGAATAACATACAGAATAGTGGATTCCTCTCAATGATTCTTCTACCTTTTGAAAGATAAGAGGACCATGAAGGCAAATAAAGAAATTATTAGCTGTTATGCTAGGGACAAAGAGAGCTGCAGTGGACATCTGTATGATTGAAGCCCCCATGTTATACTATGTCTCTGTACTGGGCATGTAATCTATTTGTTTCTAAATCTCTTTGTCTATTTTCTCATTCTGCTCAAGTAGCACACTGTGATGATATTTCTGTTCTGTCTCATTGGCCTTCACCCAAAAGCTCTCCACCAATGCTTCTCCCTTTGGTTCCTGGGTTTCCTAATGACAGCTCAGCTGTGATTGCTGCCAAATGCAGCATAGAAAATACTTAAGTCATAGAGGAAAGGCCAATAGCAATGGAGCTGTGGCCCCAGCTAAAGAGTTGCAGGCTTGTGATGGCCTCTAAAAGTCTTGAGTAAGGCATGAAGAGACATTCTTCTAGGTAATGGAAGTAAGGAACATTAGATATCATTTTCTCAGCCATAGACCTTCTTTTATAATGACCAAATATGTCCTCCATTCAACAAACACTCATTATATCTATAGCTTGTAGAGGGCTATACTTAGAAATATAAAGTTTGGATAAGACAAAAGCATCATGGAGCTCACAGTCTAGTAAGAGAATGAGACAGAGACACAGAGGATTCTTAATACTCTATTACATGATAGGAGAGGTGCTGTGTGAAGACCCAAGGGAATGGTTGTTATGACCTGGGGCTGTTGGTCCAGTGGAGGGGAATCAGAGAAAGCTTCCTGGAGGATGTGGTATTTGAGGGGGAGTTTAAAGGCTGTCAGGAATTCAGCAAGTGAAGAAGGGGCATGAGGACGTGCTACATCTAGGGATCAGCATTAACAAAGGCACAGAGGAGGGAGAGAACATGTCATGTTTGGGTGAGTCAGAGAGTCAACTAGTTTGGCTGGAGTGCGGAGTGACTAGTGGTGAGTAATAGAGAACACTGAAAAGGGTGAGTGGTGTTAGAGTATTGTGAAAGGCCTTGAATGCCATACAAGAACACTTGAACTTTACTCAATGGGAAACCACCAGAGTTTGAAGCAGAGGAGAAACATGAGCAAATCTGCACATAAGGATCTTATTCATGTCCTGTCTCTGAGCTAACATATGCCCTGTTCTCTCGTTTTCTTTCCTCTTAAGACATCCATAAGTGATGAGAGCCAAAGATTAGTCAATAAGAAACTTGGATGGGGCTGGGGTGGGGGGGGGTAGACACAGCAACCTACCTTGTCCCGGATGTCTCTGTGCAGTGCTTGGTACTCCAGGGATGTAGGGTCAGGGTTGCTAAGGTTGTGGTTGATAATCCTGAAGTCAATCTGGTATTCCCCTTCTCCAGGGGTACTCTGGGATGAATAGCCTAGAGTTAGAGTAGAGGGAGGAACCAGTCATCAGACTCAGAGCAGGAATGGGCTTTAGTCAAACCTCATTTTACAGACAATGAATACTTTCCTAGATCGTGCCCCCAGTGTCAGAGTTAGGATTTGAACTTGGGGCCTCTAATTCCAAATCTAGCACTCTCCCTTTGGGCATGCTTTCTTCAGGAAGTTGTGGCCAGAAATAGGGACCCCACAATAATACACTGGGATTGAAGAGTGGATCCTAAGCCAGCCTTGTTGGAAATCAACATCAGAGATGAAGGGCTGGGGACAGGAGTGAGCCTGCCCTGCCCACCCACTCATTATTTTTATTGTTTTGTTTTAAAAGTCTGTTCAAGTTTTCTTAATGCCTTTTTGTTCTTATATTATATTCATTTCCAAATATAGCCTTCCCCTCCCTTACCCTGAGAGTCTCCTTTGTAATAAAGTGTTTCTAAAATCAGTTTAGCAAAACCAACTGACACTGTGACCTCCTCTGACAGCGTATTCAACGTTGCCCACTCGCACTCCCCCATCTCAACTCTTCTCTGGGCCAAGGCTTGATCATTCTGATTTGACAGAGCTGAGTTTGGGGGTTTTTGTCCTTTCCATTTACATTGCTGCAGCCATTGTCCATGTTGCTTTTCTAGCTCAGCTTACTTCACTCTACATCTGTTTTATACATCTTTCCATGTGTCTCTGAGTTCTTCATATTGATCATAACCTACTCACCACCTCCCCATCTTACCAGCAAGTATCCTTCAGCAGATTCCAAGACAGTGAGGGAGGGGAGGTGTTTTTGTTTGTTGGAGGGAGGGGGAGATACAAGTCTAGGGGAGCAGCAGCCCCAGCCGGTCTTGGAGCATCAATTTCCCTCGCCTTGAGAAGTGGGGACATTTTGCTTAAGAAAAGCCGTCATCCCCAAATATCTGCACAGCAAAGATCTTTAAAAATTAAACCAAATTTAGATTAATTTGGATTTGAACATTTCCCTGTGGCTACAGGGGTGGGAAATGGAGATATGCCTGAGGGTGTCTCCTAATCAGAGCTTGGATTCACTTCAGCTTGCTGACTCATACTCCAGCTGATAGCATCATAGAATCTCAGAGTCATCTAGCCTGAGCCCTCCTGAAGCAATAATCCTGACACTAGTCTATAAGAAGAGGTCGCAGGGGAAGGGAGAGTTGGAGGAAGGGAAGAAACTCCAAAGCGACAAGAACAAAAAACTTACACTGAGTGAAAATTACCCAAACGTTGTCGCTGGAATAAGAGTGACTGCTCACCGTTGAGGCAGAGGCTGGCTTTTTCCAATGTATAAGGTCCCAGCTTAGTGAGGCCATGAGTCTGGTTGCTCAATTCCATGTAAATCCTCTCTCTGTCGAGCACTGGGCTCGTGGGGCCTTTCTGCCAGATACATAGAGCATCCACTCTACTTGTTAGCCCATCCTTCTCAGGTCTGTGAAAAGACACACTGAATGTGACATGGTGCTGATGTAGGTGTTGTAAAAGCTGTCAGGAATCCTACCTTCTGGGGAAAGGGAAGTTGCAGCGCATGACTGTATGTTTCCTGGGGGTACTGTGTCACAAAGACTAGAAAAGATGGGCCGATGTGCCCGCGGCAACTTGGAATAAGTGACACTGATTAGGATGACTGGCAAACTTCCACTAGCTGGAAGAGCAGGTGTGTGGAACTGCCACAGGTACCCGATGGAGAAAAATCATCTTGGCAAGAGAAACTCATTCTACATAGTGACTTAGAAGGGAAATCATGTTCCTGAAAACCTGGAGCAGTGGATGGGGACTAAAGCACTTTGGGAATTAGACAGTCAGGGTACCAGAGCCCAAGTAGAAGCATAGAGGGAAGTAACTTATTGGAAGTCTAGTATGAGACCAAGGCATATCTTGAGGGGCTCAGGGGAAAAATCCCCAACTATCAGCCTCTAGGGCCTTACCTCAGAGAGATCAGTCCACATCCAGTGTAATATAAGCCAATGCTGCTATTTCTGAACAAGGGGTCCAGCTGACAAAGGAAGATTAGAGAATAACTCAGATAAATAAGGGATGGCTACAGTATGAAGGTATGGAGTAGGAAGTACAAAATCTCACCAGTCGCTGGAGGGCCCCTCCTGTGTCGTTAAATGTGGTAGAACCTGGGTGTCCCATATCTGCAGTGTAGCGTAGATTAGTGATGGTGAAGTTCAAGGTAAAATGTTGCAGTCTGGGGTCATTGGCTGCAAGAAAACAGGGAGAAAATGACCCTATCTGTGCTTTGGAAGGCTCAGGGGTTAGGGATGTCCGTCATGAGAGGGGACAGGGATGTTTCTAGCCCTGGCCTTCATTGCCAAAGTTTGTCTGGCCGGGGCCTTGTCCCCAGGGTACCACTGGCTTTCATCTTCCTTGCCTTTTGAGTGAGAAACAAGATAGCAAGTTCCCACAGGATTGTTCTGGTGAGGTAAGAGATCAACAGCCTGAAAGTTAATTCTTTTATGGCCTTTGTGATCTGGGACTCAGATCGGTATCACACACCGAGTCCTATATTTCCTTGCCCTGGCTTTGCAGATTAATGATGGAGGTTTGGAAAGACCTAGGGTTGGTCTGTCTTTTAGACAGCACATTCTGTCCTTTGCATAAGGGTGGCACTAGGCGAGTACTCTCCAGGGTACTGAAGCTTCCATTTTCTTACCTGTCCAGTATCCAGGTCCTGTGGGTCCCAGAGGGATTGCAGGTGGTGGTATGGTGGTTAGGCCAGGAGCTACAGAAAAGAATGTCATTATAGACCTAGACAGTGGTTACAGAAGAGTGAAACTGAGGTCATTCGGGCAATGGCACAGGATGTCACAAACAGATGGCGCTAAATAAATGCTTGCTTAATGGACTGAATAAAAGGGGTGTGTGTGTGTGTGTGTGTGTGTGTGTGTGTGTGTGTGTGTGTGTTGCAGCTGAGGTGTATTCTCAGTGACTTCATTCATAAGGGAAATGGAATTCAGAGCTACTAGGTATCTTATGAGGTGAATTTCTACCACATACTCCTCTTTCCCACAGAGTTGAACTTCGTCTGACCCCTATCCTTGACCTCTCTGTGGGTAAGTTTGAAAAGTAATCAGCAACCAACCTCTGACAGGGGAATCAGGAAACCAATGGCCATACATCTAATATTGGGAAGGGATCAAAAGACCCAGTGGTATGGGGTTTCTTCCTCATAGAATCTGAGCCCTCTAATAGAGGAATTGAGAAACCCATGGCCATGCGTCTATACTAGGAAAGGATGAAAGGACCCAGAAATCTGGGGTTTATTCCTCACAGAATCTAAAGTATCTCCCAGAAAAAAAATCATCCTGCCTCTTTGAGAAGATTCAGTGATGAGGAACTGACTACTTTCTGAGGCAGCCTGCTCTTCTTTGGGGACACATTTCTCATAACACTTGAGTGAGTTGTAGGGATTTTTTAAAGCAAAAGATGCTGCTACACACACTATCTCCTTGGGGCCAAAGCCCATTTGTCAAGAGGTGCATGTGGTTAAGGTTTCACAGATGGCCCAGGACTCAAAGGGGATTTGGTTGATAAAAACACTTACTGGTACCCGGTTGGGACAGATTTTGTTCGTTGTAACTTGGAAACCAAAGATGAACAATGAAACATGGAAGCAAAGGATAAAAGAAGAAAATTCAAATCAATTCAACACGTATCTACACCATGTACTGCACTGGGCTAGGTAGTGAGGCTACAGTGACACAATTTAAAAGTTCCTGCCCTCAAGGAGCTTATATCTTATTAGGAAAAGGAAGAGAGCATCCATGAGGCTCAAAGGGACAACTGAGGTGAGGAACCAGTTTGTTCTGCCTGAGCACCTGTGGGGAGAGGGCTATGTGCTTAAGGAGGTCTCCTGTCCACCCCTTAAGTCTCTGACTTGAATATTCCTGGTAGAAAAAAAAAGAGTAAATTTGTGGCTTGAGGGAATCCAGGATGGGGAAAACAGAGATGAGGTATCTGAATCAACTCACTTTTGCTTTTCCCTTTCCTATGGAAACAGAGGAAGGTAAACCCTTTCAGTGTTTGTCCTAGAAGTCCCCACATTCCCCTCCCCAGCCTCCTGGCCTACAGGTAGGCTTAGATACACCAAGAACAAAGCTAAGATGAGCTAGATCCAGAATCCTTCATATCTTCTTTTCTTGAACTCTCTGAAGTGCAAAGGGTGTCGAGGCCTCTCTAGTCCAATCTGGAGCTGGAGCAATAATCCCCCAGGCAGCAATCCCAACAAGTGTGCAAGAGCAATTAGCATGAATGGCAAAGGACTGAAGACTTGGCTTCTCGCAACAATGGAGAAGCAGGGAGAATTTTATAGTGACCTGCACAGAATGTATGATGTTCAACATTTTCTTTTGGCTAATTGACAGCTATTTCTGCTCAAAAGTACAGGCTGAAGCAGTACCAGATCGCATGAGAACATTCTGTTAGTGGCTAAGAAATGGAATGATTGATCCATGGAATACACAATAGTGACCAAAATGACCTAATGTTTGATAAACCCCAAAATCCATGCTATTGGGGCAAGAACTCATTATTCAACAAAAACTGCTGGGAAAACTGAAAAGCAATCTGACAGAAACTAGGCATAGACCAACATCTCACACCGTATACCATGATAAACTCAAAATGGGTACATAATGTCGACATAGAAGGGATATTATAAGTAAATTAGGGGATCATGGAAAAAATTATCCATGATAGAACCATAAATAAAAGAAGAATTTATAACCAAATAAGAATTAGAGAGGATGATGGGAGGCAAAACAGATAATATTGATTACATTAAATTAAAAAGATTTTGCACAAAAAAAAACCCCAATGTAGCCAAAATTAGAAGGAAAGGAGGAAACTGGGAGAAAATTTTACCACAAATGTCTCTTATGAAAAAAAAAAAAACATTTACCAAATATATAGGGAACTGAACTGTTTATTAAAATAAGAGCCACTAGGGACAGCTAGGTGGCACAACAGATAGAGCACTGGCCCTGGAGTTAGGAAGACCTAAGTTCAAATCCAGCCTCAGACACATAACACTCACTAGCTGTGTGACTCTGGGCAAGTCACTTAACCCCAACTGCCTCACCAAAACAAAAAAAGAAAGAAAAAAATAAGAGTCATTTTCCAGTTAATAAATTGTTAATATATATGGACAGGCAGTTTTCAGAAGAAAAAATTAAAACTATTAATAGTCCTAAAAAAATGCTCTAAATCACTAATAATTAGAGAAATCCAAGTGAAAACACTTCTGAGATACTACCTCACATCCATCAGTTTGGCTAACATGAAAGAAAAGGAAGATGACAAATGCTGGAGGACATAAGGAAAAATAGGTACACTAGTGCACTGTTGGCAGAGTTGTGAATTGGTCTGACCGTTATGGAGAATAATTTGTAAATATGCCGAAGGGACATAAAACTGCATATCCTTTGATTCAGAAATACAACTACTAGGTCTGTATCCAAAGAGATCAAAGAAGAGGGAAAGAACCCATAGAAATATGTATAAATATATTTTAGCACCTCTTTTTATGGTGGGAAAGAATTGGAAATTGAGGGAATTCCCCCATCAATTGGGAAATGGCTGAAAAAGTTGTGGTATATAAGTATGATAGAATACTATTGTGCTATAAGAAAAGACAAGCAGAATGGTTTCAGAAAAAACCTGGAAAGACTTACATGATCTGATGCAAAGTGAAGTGAGCAGAACAAGGAGAACGTTGTACACAGTAACAGCAGTGTTGTACAATGTTGTGAATGACTTAACTGTTCTTGGCCATACAATGATCTAAGTTTCTAAGACAACTCCAAAGTACTTACGATGAAAAAATGCTCTCCACCTCCAGAGAAAGAACTGATGCAGTCTGAATGCAGATTGAAGCACACTTTTTTCTACTTTCATTATTTTTCTTGGGGGGTTTTATGGTCTGTTTTCTTTTACAGCATGACTAATATGAAAATACATTTTGTATGACTGTGCATGCATAACTTACATCAAATTGATTGCCTTCTCAATGAGAGGAAGGAGGGAGGGAGCGAATATTGAACTCAATTTTTTATGTTAAAATTATTTTTACATGTAATTTGAAAAAATGAAATATTTTTAAAAGAAATGAAAAAATGTCCCATTATATACCCAAATATTTAAACTACCACTCTTTGTGGTAGCAAAGAATTACAAGCAAGGTAGATGTCTATTGATTGGGAAATGGCTAAATCATGGTACATGAATATAACGGAATATTATTGCACCATAAGAGACCATGAATAGGAAGAATTCTGAGAAGGATGGGGAAAGATTTAAATCAACTGAAACAGATTACAGTTGACAGAACTCAGAAAATTATATAATATATGCATATATGTAATATGTATTATGATAATCTAAATGGAAAGAAACCCCATAGCTGAACAATACCCATGACTAGCATTTATTCTGTGCTTTAAGGTTTGCAAAGGGCTTTGCATATTTTAACTGTCTAATTATAGTAACAAAGCTCGGCCCTGGAGAAATGGAGAAAATACATCTGTCTCTTTTTGTAGAAGTGGGATACTATGAGTACAAAATACTGTCAGACATCATTTTGCAGAATTGATTTTTTCCTCTTTAAAAACTTTGCTTCCAAAGCAAAGATTTTGGAAGAGAGAGGAAGATTTGAGAAGTGAGTGGCTGGTTAAGAAGACGATCTTCTAGAATGAGTTTTAGAATACAGGATACTAACTTAAAATATGGCAACTAATATCTCTAAATGTCAGGCTATTTTTGAACTCATCTTCCTGACTCAGGCCTGTTCTTTATTCACTATACTACCTAGCTGCCTTAAACTGAAAAGGAAGGGAGACTATTGCATGTACTTGTTAAGATGGATATTGTAAAGAATAGCCACAATTTTGGAAAAAGAATAGCAGTAGCAATACACAGAAATTCATAGGAGTCAAAAATATTGGAAAAGAACCTGGGATAAAGTCTGTGGCTGCAGATGTGTATACACAAATGAACAAGCCAGGGGAACCAGAGAGCTTACTTTAATGCAAGGAGGCAAATGTGACTTCATAAATATCACTGAGATTTGATGAGATGGGACACATAATGGGAACATGATTTTGAAAGGTAGATCTTCTTCAAAAGGAATAGGCAGATGATGTAAAGTATCAGTATATATTAAGAATGACAAATTCTTGAGTAAGTGCAGGAATCAGGTGGGGGAAGCATGAAGGAGAATATTTATATGAATACGAATGGAGGTAGAAAAAGAATCAATACCACCACTGGAGTATATCACACATCACCTAACTTTATCTCTTTGCAACTTTACCTGCTGGTCCCATTTCTGTCCTTTGAAGTCAGACAGAAAAAAATCAAGTTCTTAATGACTTATAGGCAATTAACATGATGCCTTAGGAAGACTTTAAGGTATTCTTCACCTGCCCAGTTCTTTCAACTAATCATGGTGGAGTCCCATAAAAATACTTCCTAGAGTAATGTGCAGCTGAGAGGCGGCTCACTGGATAGAGTACTGGGCCCTTGATTCTGGAAGGTATGAGTTCAAATCTGTTTTCAGATACTTACAAGCTGTTTGGGCCTGGACAAGTCACTTAACCCATGTCTGCCTTAGTTTTTTCAACTGTAAAATGAAGATAAAACTTACCTCACAGGGTTGTTGTGAGGATAAAATGAGATGATCTTTGTAAAGACTTTAGCACAGCACCTGGGACATAGTAGGTGCTTACTAAAGGGTTGTTCCCATCCTGCCCCTTTCCTTTGGGACAGCTCTAATGTTTCATGTCATTAGTCTTGGACCATCATATCAGTGTGCTGATTTATTTCTGGATCTTGATTCTGTCCAACATATCAGCTGCTGTCATCTAGTCATTTGCTGCCATTTATATCTCCATCTAGGTAACTAAGTGGCGCCATGGTGCATAGAGTGCCAGGCCTGGGGTCTGGAAGACTCATCTTTCCTGAGTTCAAATCTAGCCTCAGACACTCGCTGTGCGACCAGGGCAAGTCACTTAACCCTGTTTGTCTCTGTTTCTCATCTATAAAATGAGTTGGAGAAGAAAATGGCAAACCACTCCAGCATCTTTGCCAAGAAAACCCCAAATGGGGTCATGAAGAATAGGACGTGACTGAAACCTAAAATGATTGAACAACATCATCTCCATTTAAGTCACTGCTAAACATGTTGATCAGCACAGGACCAAAGAAAGAATTTTGTCGTAGCCATTAGGTGACAGCCAACTAGAGCCTATGAGGGATAGGATCCCTTGTGAAGTAGTGTGGGTAGACTCGGTCTTGTGCAGTTGGACTAACAAAGGATGAACAAGAAGGAAGACATCTGGATGTGCACAGCATCTGAAACTCAACAGGAAGGATAGGAGAAAAATGCTAATTCTGGGACTATGACAGGAGACAAGGTAGAAAATGAGCACTGATCCAAAGTGTTGCTCTTTCAAATTTCCCTGTTTCCATCAAAGGAACCACCATCCTTCCATTCTCCAGGTTTGTAACTTCTGCATTATCCTGGCCTCCTCCACTTTCCTTGCCCCACATCAGTTTCCAAGTCTTCTGTTTTCTACTTTCGTGATTTTCAACTAACCTCATCCCTCTAGTCACACAACGGCCACCATCGTTCATGCCCTCTCACTTAGATTATTGCAAAGGCCTCCTAATTGGTCTCACTTCCTTGGGTTTCTCCCTAATTCAGTCCATTGTATTCTCTGCTGCTAAAGGAATTTTTTTAAACCTAGATCTGACCATGCTCAGTCAACTGCAGTGACACTCCCAATTGCCTATTTTATTCTCTGGGACTAGCACTGTTTAGCTTTTAGAGCTCTTTCTAATTTGGCTCCAACCTCTCTTTCCACCCCCTCTTGTAGCCTGCAATCTTGCCAAGCTACTTTCTTTCTTTTCCTCATACAACATTCCATCTCCTGTCTTCATGTCTTTCCTCTGGACATCCTCCAGGCCGGGAATATATTCCCTCCTTACCTCTACTTTAGAGTCCCTCCTTTCATTTAAGACCCAGCTCAATCACCATCTTTTGCATGAGGTCTTTCCTGAATACCACTGCTAGAGCTTTCCCTCCCAAACTATTTTCTATATATTTGCATGTATTAACTTTATATTTAAGCTGCATGTTTACATATGTCCCTGTTCTCTCCCACTGGAATGTAAGCTTCTCATAAGTAGGAATTATTTCCTTTTTTGTGTTTGTATCCCCAGGTCCTAGCACTGTATCTGGCACATAGCAGTTGCTTAATGATTACTGTTTATTGATTGGTTAGTCACCATTGAGGTAGAGACTGTTCTTATCCAGGGTGTATGGGCCCAGCCTGCTGATGCCACGTGTCTGGTTGCTCACTTCCCAGTAGACTGTCTCTCTGTCTGGAATTGATTTAGTAGGGTCTCTCCAATGAGTGCACACGGCATCCACAGCTGTTGCTAAGCCATCTTTCTTTGGTCTAGGAAAAGACACATTGATAAGAGACATAGTACTAGGTTGGTGCTGGAGAGCCTGATGGGGGGACCACCCAGTGCATGGAGGGTGAAATTGATTTACCTGAGTTTTTGTGAAAATGGTTGATGATTGTGTGGGTAGGAGTGTTGAGCAGCTAATAAGCTCACAAAATAAAAACCTATTTATAATAGAGATCTTGTTCTAAGGAGTTACTGAGAAGGGAAATCACATTTCTGATAAACCATGCACAAAAGGTACAGGGATAAAGCAATCTGGGAATTTGAAAATAGAGCTCAAGACACTTGAATGTGAAGAAGCCACCTCAGTGGAGAGCCCAGGGGGTTTTATGTGCCCCTGAGGGGTCAAGGGACACATTCCAATTCTCATTCTATAGCCTCTGGAGTCTCACCTCAGGGAGGCCACTTTGCACCCGGTGTAGAAGTTGCCAATGCTGCTTCTCTTGAACAAGCAACTGAGCTGGAAAAGAAAAGAGGAGGTCAATGTGCTCAGTACTAGGCAGGTAAGAAGCCCAGGAAAGGGAAAGGCACAGCTGTACAGGTGGGACCTGGGGCGGGAATTGGGGAGGCTCACCAGGTTCTGCAGGATTATCTCTGTTCGGTTGAATTTGATGGACCCAGGGCGCCCCATGTCTTCTGTGTACATTAGGTTAGTGAGGGTGAAGTTCAGTGTGAAGGACTCCAGGCTCTGGCCATCAGCTGTAATAGAAGAGGGAAGAAATTTCATATTGGAGCCTGTAGAACACCAGTGGGCATAAGTGGGGATAGCCTGTGGATTCTGTCTTTATTCCTTTCTGGGAGGAAAATTCTGCCTCCTGGCCCCACTGATGCCCTTTGTTAGGGGACCTCTCCCCTTCCCTAATTCCCCTTTTCCTGGCTTCCCAACCCCTCATTTCTTCTCTAAAGACAGCAAGACACTCCAGGAAATGAATCAGAGATGCAGGTGCTCTCTACCTGTAGTGCTGGAGAATGATAGTGGAGCCAGAGAATGGAGCCATGATGGCTCATGTGTGGTCTGCACAGGAGCTGATGGAAAAAAGAAACCCTGATGAATAAAAAGCATTGCCAAGATCAGAATGTGATTGGCATAGGCAAGGCACATGACAACAGGGTGAAAGGCAGTGCCACTGGGTGGGAGCTCAACCCAGAGAAGTGGAAGGTGAGAGTCAAGCACTGTAGGAGGGAACAGGGCCTGGGGAAAAAGTCTTTGTTACTGAAGACTGTCAGGTTTGGGGCTTCCTGCCTGAGATGTTCTGGGCTGCTACTTTCTTCACCTTTAGAGAGGGATACAAGGTCTCATGACAAGTTCCCAAAGATATTGTTCTGACTAGATGTTCTCTTAACTCTTTACTTCTACCTCACCGAGTCCTTAGCCTCTTTCAAAACATAGCCCTGAGGCCTTCCCAAACTTAGTTTGTTCTCTCTCTTCTTCTATCCCCTTGAAATACCTTTGTTTTCACTCTGTCTGTATTTCATACATATTTAATCTGTTTGCCTGTAGAGAGAACGAGTTGCTGGAGAGCTCAACTTCTTTCTTTCTTCCTTGGCTTTGAATCCTGAGTGCCCAGAACAGTGCCTGGCACATAGCAGATGATGAATAATGCTTCCTAGGCTGAACTGAATTAACTGACAGAGAATAAAATTCTGCTCAGTCCCCGTGACACAGGACTGCAAGATAACATGACAAGTCACATGGCCCTAGCTTCCATTGCCCCTGCCTTGACAGGTGAATATGTCTCTGAACAATTAGAAAATTTAAAAGTCCTAGCAGTTGTTTACTCTCGTTGGGTTGTGCCAGGGCAATGATGTTGGGGAGGGGTGGTAGCAATCACTCTCCAAGGTGCTGAAGAGGCCGCAGTCCTACCTGTGGAGGTTCCCTTTCGTGTGGAGCCATGGAGAGTTGCAAATGTTGACGCATTGTCTAACCCAGAAATTGCAGAAAGAAGTGTCATTAGAGACGGTCGGACTGTGGCTACTCACTGATGGAGAACTCATCAAGGCTGTAGTCATCAGAGCACCAACATAGCACTCCCTCAGCCTCCATTTAGGGGAATGAGGGCTTTAATAATCATTCAATAAATGAGTCACTGTGCCATTCTGGCTACACTGGTGCCTAGCTTAGAGACTAGTAAGTAGAAATCAAGGCTACACAATATATAACCCTATAGTCCCCCTCTCACCACTTTTTCACAGAGCTGAGGTTCACCTGTGGACTTATGAATCCCCGCCCCGTGTCCTTATGGGAACAGCTTGGTGAGTCACCACCAGTCAAACTCTGACAGAGAAACTGGGGGATCTCGTAGGTTAAGTCCATAGCTCCAAGTCAGGAAAGGTCAGAACAATCTAGAACGCCTTTCCTCCTCTGTGAGGAGAGGCAGGCACTTTCTCCTCAGAGAATCTCAGAGCTTATAAGGTCCTCAAAGGCCATCTTGTTAAAAAAAAATTCACTCTTCAATGGCCCTGACAAGCAGCCATTACATCCGTGCTCAAAACCTTCAGGGATGGGAACTCATCATATCTTTCCCCCTCTAGGACTTTTCCTCTCTCAAGATACCTGAATGGATTTTAAGGGAAGGGACTAGAGAAGCCACGATTGTTTCATAATGTCAAATGTCCCTTTTCTCTACCTGGGATCTTTTCCACATGTAATTTTCAGCACTGGAAGCCTCCTCAGAGGGCATGTAACACAGGAATTCCCTAATATCTCTGAAAAAAGACTAGCCACCATCTTCCTGAAGAGTTACAGTGATAAGAAACTCATTCCATATCGAGGCAACTGATTCTGATATAGGGAGTCCTTTCTAATAACACTCAAGGGCACAGATTTTAGAGAAAGCCATGATGATTTCACTTTTCTCAGTCATACTATGGATCAATCCCACCAGTGAAGAAATTTCAGGAATCACAACTGGCCTGAGAATCAAAGGATATTTGTATAACAAGACACTTACTTGTCATGGTTTGGGCTAGACTGCGCTCATTATAACCTGGAAAATAAAGGATAGACAATGAAAGGAAATATCAAAGGAAATGGGAAGAGAACCAGAACATTTGAGAGGCTAGATGGAGAGTAAAGACCTGGTGGCTCAGCTTGCTATCTCTTGGCCTCTTTGAGGGCAGGGACAAGAGAATTCTCCTGGGCACCTGCCGTCTCTCTGACATGACAAGTACAACAAAGGACCTACCTTGATCTACTGTGTCCTATCTAAAAATAGAGCGGAACAGACCTTCAGATTGGTTGCCCTAGCTTGTCACCAGACTGCTCTCCCCAGTCTTCTGGCTCAGAGGAGAAATTCAACACACCAAGAATAAGGATTGACAGAATGCAGCACCTCAGGGATGACCTGGTCCAACCCATAACTGACCAAGAATCCCCTCTACAACGTCCCCAACAAGTGGTGATCTAGTAGTTATTTATTCGAAGTTCTTCAGGGAAGGGGAACCTTTTACTTCCTGAAGTAGACCATCTCAGTTTGGTATACTACCACTCAATAGGAAAGTTTTCTTGACATCAAGCCTAAATTTGCTTCTTTGCAACTTTACTCATTATTGCTAGTTCATCCCTCTGGGACACCAAGCAGGACAAGTCCAGGCCCTTTTCTTTTCCCTGTGACAGCCCTTTAACCACCTGGAGATAGTTGAATATGTTATCTTTCTCAGTGCAGCCTAAGATTTTTCTTAACCTTTTTTTATTTATCATACAACATTGTTGAACCATGTTGAGCTGGTAGTCCATTAAACTTCCCAATTTTTTTTCAGAGAAGTCTAGCACAGCTCCTCCATCTTGCACTCATGAAGTTGGTTTTTAAAATCCAGCTATAAAGTTTTATTATTCCTATTAGGTTTCACCTTATTAGATTTGACACCGACATTCTAGCCTATGCTTTGGGATTCCAACTCTGTCATCCAATGTATTGGTTCTATCTTAAAGCTTTTGGGTTAGATGTAGAATCAATAAGCATGTGATTTATGCCTTTTCCCTAGTTATTTACTTTTAAAAGGTATCACTGAGACAAAGAAATATCACTAAGACAATCCACTACATACCTCCTTCCAAGTTGACATTGAATTATTAATGACTATTCTTTGGGTCCAGCCAATCTACCAATTTTAAACTACTTAACTGTGCTGCCATCTAGTCAACATTTATGCATTTTGTCTATGAGATTAACATGGGACATTTGTCAAATGCACTAGTTCCTCTTCTACCTATGACAAATGTGCTCCATCCTTAGGGGGAAAAAAACTTTCACTTGAGCCTGTCATCACCTTAAGCTATCGTTATATATCTCTTCTCCCTTTCACAGTCAATCTAGAAAAGCTGCTTCCTCATCTCCCACTCACTTCTCCACCTCTTGCAATCTGGCTTCTGATCCTACCATTTGAATGGAGCTCTGAGTTTACCAATGATCTCATAATTGCTAAATTTTTTTTTGCTCAGTACTCATTCTCTTTGACCTTTCTACAATGTATACCTGTTGACCACACCATTTCTCCTGGATGCTCTCTCCTTATCAGCTCTAAATGATTTAATCATCATCTTTAAGGAGACAAATTCTATATCTGCACAGTCAGTTTTATCTGTCTTTTGAGCTTAAGTCCCACATCACCAGATGATTACTGGACATGTCCATATGAATGTTGTAAACTCATCTTAAACTCAGCATGTCCAAAGTGGGACTCATATGCCCTTCTAGACCCCACCTCTCATCATAATTTACCTATTTCTGTTGATGGTACCATCAATACCAGGTTCACAATCTTGAAATCAACCTCAGTTCTTCTCCCTTGCCCCAATTTGGAAAATTAACATCAATTCTACTTCTACGTCACCACTCACATTTGCTCACATAGCTACTGCCCTGATTCAAGTCCTCATCACCACTAGCTAGCATGGACTATCATAATAGCCTCCAAACTGGTCTTCCTGATTCTAGTCTCTGTACTCTGACCCATCTTCCACACAGTTGTTAAATTACTGTTCCTAAAGCACAGGTCTGAGCATGTCACTCACTTCCTCAAGAAGCTTCACTGGTCTATAATTTGCACACTCCCTTCTTTAGGATTGCCTATGGAATAAAATGTAAGTGTCTCATTTGACATTTAAAGCCAAAAAGCAATCTAGCTACCTCCAAATGGTCTTTGTAGACTTAATTCACATGACTCCCTCTCATACACTATACATTCTAGTTGTTATGTTTTACCCACACGTGATATTCCATCTTCTGGCCTTATATAAGTGCTCACACATACCTATAACGCTCTACATCCTCACTTTTGCTGCTTGGAACTCTGAACAGTTCAACTTAAATACCATCTCTCATATAAGCTATTTCTTGACACCTCCAACTATGAAGTGATCTCTCCCTGAAATGATTGTGTATTTGCTGTGAAGATATTTTATTTTTTTTTCTTTCTGGATACATGTAAGCTCCTAAAGGACAAGGACTATTTGATTTTTGTCTTTATGTCCTCATCAAAATGACTGACACGACAATAAACACTTATAAAAGCTTATTGGATTAAACTGAATGGAATTCCATTCCATGTTCACCCTGTTCCACAGTGCTCCATCAGAGCTTGCCCAAGTCCCTCCTAAATTGTAACTGAGGGGCTGGACACAATATTGCAGATGTAGTCTGATGAGTCCAGAGGACGGTAGGACTATGACTTCTAATCTTCTGAATATTAAAATTGTCTTTGTGCATCCTAAAATTGCATGATATTTTTCTACCATCCGGTGTCATTGACATTGAGCTTGTCATTTATATTGAGGTTGAAGTTTATGAGAACCCCAACAGAATGCTGTCTAGCCATGTCTCCTTCATCCTATGCTCATACAGTTGATTTTTTAAAAATCTAATTATAGAATCTTATGCTCAAATTCACTAAATTTCATTTTTTAGGTATACTTTATATGCCAAGTGAGTTGAGTCCTTACTAGATCCTGATTCTTTGCAACATGGTAGCTACCTACCCGTCAATTTTGAGTCATCTATATATGTGCTTGCTTTTACCTATGTCTTCATCCAAGTCATTGTTAAATATGTTGAACCAAACAACAACAAGGTCAGAGCTTGGTGACTGCCACTGAAAACAATTAAGAAAACTAGGGGTAGCTAAGTGGCATAGTGGATAGAGCTCTGGTCTTGGAGTCAGAAGGACCTGAGTTCAAATTCGGACTTTGACACTTGACACTTACTAGCTGTGTGACCCTGGGGGCAAGTCACTTAACCACAACTGACACACATACACACACACACACACACACACACACACACACACACACATACAATTAAGAAAAGTAAGAACATGTTCTTTGGGGAAGCAGGTATGGGTAAGATCAGTTTTTGTGTAATTAAATGGACAAGGGATGAATGAGAAGAAAGTTTTGGATGTTTCAGAGTGCAAATCATAATAAGAACGAGAGAAGAGATCACGTTTGGATTAGAACAGAAGAGAACATGACAGAAGCAGAGGAGCCGAGCCTTGCTTCAACAAGGTAGCTCACCATTGAGGTAGAGGCTGTCCTTGTCCAACTTATAGGGTCCCAGCCTGGTGATGCCATAAGTCTGGTTGCTCAGCTCCCAGTAAACCTTCTCTCTGTCCAGGAAGGGCCTGGCAGGATCTTGCCAATGGGTGCATACAATATTCACTCCAATTGCCTTGCCACCCTTCATTGGTCTGGGAAAGGAAATGTTGATAAAATCTCCTAAGGTGCTGACCAACCTGGTTGTGTGCATGTAGCCCCATGGAAGACAACCTTAGATCTCCTAGTCTTAGCTCCCCAGGACTCACCTCAGTGAAATTAGTTTGCATCCAGAGTAGAAGGAACCAATGCTGCTTTTCATGAACAATGGATTGAGCTGGCAAAGAAAGGAAAAGGTGAGTGAACACAGGGGCCTTATCAGGATGAAGCCCAAGGAATGGAGAAGACTATGGTATAGGAGGGTGCATAAGATCACAAATCTAGAGCTGGAAAAGACCTTAGCAGCCATCTTCTTAGTTAGCTAGATATTATACTGCCTGTGCTCTGTTCATCATCCTCATCTTCTTACCTCTTCCCAACAGGCCCCTGGACTCTGAAAGGTGAGCTTTCACCTTATGTTCACCAGAATCAGGGCTCTATGACACTTCTCAAACATGGTGACACCATCCACCCTTGAACGTATACTCTATTGCTTGTCAAGATCCCCTTTAAGTGTTGTCTTAAATCGCCCCCCCATTAGAATATAAGCTCCTCGAAGCAAGGGACTGTCTTATTTACTTTTATTTCTATTCCCAGTGCTTAGCACAGGGCCTGGCACACAGTAAGCACTTGATTAGTAAATGTTTATTCATTCATTTCCTTATTCTTCCTGTCCACTCCTAATTTTGCAGATGAGAAAAACTGAGGCTCAGGGAGCTTAGATGATTTGTGCAAGGTCATATAGGCCAGATGCATCAGAGGTAGGATTTGAATCCAGGTCCTATCACTCCAGAACCACTGCTCTTTTCCATTGCACAAGCCCAAGGTCAGGGCATAGAATGAGAATTCTCACCAGCTGCTGCATGCTACTTTCTACAGAGCCAAAAAAGAGAGAGCCAGGGTCCTGCTTGTCTTCTCTGTAGGACATGTTGATGATAGTGAAGTTTAGGGTAAAAGGTTCCATGGTACGGCCATCAGCTATGGTAGGGAAGAAAAAATACCCATGCTTGAGCCAGAACACAGCAAACAAATGTACCCACTGACACCCTCTTCTTGGATTCTCCTATTCTGTCCTTGAAGGAAAACTCATACTTCCTGGCCTCAGTGATATTCATATCAAGGAACCCCTGCCATTTCCCTGACATCTTTGCCTATTTTTCTCCCATTGTTCTTCCATCTTCTACTTAAACACAATAACACACTCCTGGGAACGCATAATGAATGCACCCTTTGTATCTGGGGTACTGGAGAATGGTGAGCGAGCTGAAGAGGTGACTGGAAGGGAAGAGGTTATCACAGGAGTGGAGGAGAAATCATGAAGAATGGAAATCATTAATAAAGCCATAGTGTGAAAAATTTCATGCTGGGAACAGAGATATTGCATGGGTGAGAAAAGTAGTCAACTTGATTTAGTCACAGAATTCCTTAGGGAAGATTCAGAGTAGTGTGGGATGCTGCTAAGCAAACACAGGAGGAAACACAAATTTGTGTAGTGTGCTGGCTACTAGCAACATTGTCAGTCTCTGTAATTACTGTCTAGAATGAACCCAGGCCTTCATTTTCTTTAGGTTTACATGGGATACATGGGCTTATTACAAAGAAATTTGGTAAAATTTTTTCGTTACTTCTTAAAATAACTGCTACAAATCTAGGTTTTCATTTTCGTACTTTATCTTAGGGGGTGTGTGTGTGTCTGTGTGTGTGTGTGTGTGTGTGTGTGTGTGTGTGTACACATACAGCCGGAGGGCTTGCAAATATACAACACATCAAGATCACTGTCCACTATGCAGCCTCATCCAGCCCTTCTTTAGAAGATGAGTATTGCTTAGAACGACGTGTTTCCTAAGGATAAACACTCCTTATCTTTTCATAATCATGTTGTTCCCCCAGCTTCCAGGTGGGACACACTAGTCTTTCTCCAAGGTACTGACGTTGCTGAATTTCTACCTGTGGAGGCTCCAGGCTCTGGGTATGCCTCGGGAGTTGTAAATGATGATACAGTGGATGCATCCAAAGCTGTCAGAAAAAAATGAAGTGATATTGAAGGTGACAGGGATCACAGTGGCCTACAACTACGTGGGGTCATCCCAATATTTCTGTGGTCATTAATTCAGTGTTCCACGTGTAGGAAATGCCTAATAAGGGTTTTGCAAATGACTGGATGAATGTGGACAGACCCTTCTGGTTGACTCAGCTGCCTGGCTTCCCACAGGAGGAGCCTTTCAAAAGGACATTGGCCAAAGTGTCCAGCTGGGGACACTATTAGCAGAAGTGGCATTTAGGGGTAACAAGGGACACCATCACGAGGTCTCCTTCAGAAAATGTCTCTTAAAGACCTGGGGTCCACTCTTAATTCCCCCGACCATTCCACAAGAATTTCCTGCAAAGCTATCACCATGCGGCCTCAGAGAGAGGACCTGGTAAGCCCAGGAAATGAAACACTGTCTCTGCATCATGAAGGGCCGGAAGGAACCAGAGCCCATTTTCCCCACCTGGGACAATTTCTTCAAAGAATCTCAGTACTAGGGAACCCTCAGAGTGCTTCTAGCCCTCTTCTAGAGCATTCTTAACATCTTGGTGTCTCTATGATGATTTCTAGTGATGGGAAACTTGCTATGTCTTAAGACAGACTTTGGGGAGTGAGTGGAGAATTCCTTTCTAAAGACCCCACAGTTGACTAAAGTGGAAGAAACATTGGCATTGTGGGGCTTGTCTCTAGGAGTCAAGAGAGAAAAAAAGGCTTGGGATTCATTGATGACCTGGGACTCAGAGTTGATTTGGATATCCAAACACTTACTGGTTATGTGTTCCTTGGGCTGGTATTCATTATAACCTGTAAACCCAAATAACACATGATGAAGGCAAGGAGACCAGAAAAGAAGGAAAAGGAAATGTCAGGGACACTAGGATGGAACCAGAGCTGAACTGAGGACTCAGTTTGAGTTGCATGGATATGCTTATGGGAGGAGAGTAGCATTCTTGTGGGCACTCGCTCTCTGCCATGAAGTTCTACCGTGAAGTTAGAGGTAATAAGGGCACTTATAGCTGTGGGGATTTAGATGGAGCAAGTAGAGCCCTGAATCAATTCATTTTGGCTGTGTCCTGGCCTGCAGAAACATGGCAGAAGGCAAAGCCATCTACTGACTATCCCAGTCATCTCTAAGAGCAAGACAGAATCTCGTGCACAATAGTAAGCATGCAAAAGCCTTGTTCATTCAAATTAGTCCCAGCTTCCTATGGAAGAACCTTTCCAATACCATTCCCAGCAAAATGCCACTGAAGATTTGCATGAGGGCCTTCTGTGAGGGGACCCCTACTGCTTCTTGAGGCAGTGCACTCTACTTTTGGATGGCTATAATTAACAGAAAATTTTCCTTTAATGTGAATTGAAATACATTCCCCAGTAACTTTCACACATTACTTGTAATTCCCCTCTCACAGGCCAAGTAGAAGCATTTTATGTGTTTTGCCCCATTAGAGGTCTTTAAATACTGGAAGACCGTCATTAAACCTCTTCACTTTATATTAAACACACCTAGTTCTTTCCAACACTCCTTTTACAGCATCGTTTCAAGTTCCCCATGATGGCCATTTTCTCTCTGTATATATTGTGTTCTTCAAACATGTGTCCTCACGACAGAACATAATATTGTAAATGGGGGCTGATCAGGCCAGAGGACAGTGGAACTACCATCTTCCTCTTTCCAGGGGCTAGATTTCCCTCCCTGGGGACTAATTGGATTGTTCCATCACCCGACTGGATCGTGTTGAGATGTCAGTCTGCTAAAACCCTTATAGCCTTCCAATGTGAAATCTTTCTGGTCACGTCCCCATCATCCTCTGGTCAGGCAATTTATTTTGTGACTCTTCATGCATATTTTTACCTCACATTTCTTAAATGTCAAGGCGTTCGTTACGATGCACCTTTCTAATTTGTATTGAGTTTGAATTCTGACTAACATGGTAAGAACCCAACCCTCCTACTTTCCTGTCCTTTGTACCTTTTCTTCCATCCATGACTCTATGCAATGGATTGCTAAAACACTGAATATAACAGGACGACAACCACAGCTCAGGGGCTGGCACTAATGGAAACGACTCAGAAAATGAAAAGGAATGGGGCAAGTTAATTAGGAAAATCAGTATGGGCATGGCCCATTTAGTGCAGTTGGCTGGACAAGGGAGGATTGGGAACCTAGCGCTCTGGTGAGGGCCAGGGCCTAAATCAGAGTAGGGATAAAAGGGAGAAGAATTTATGTTGGGCCTCTGGTCTCAAAACAGAGCTTACTCAACAGCAAGGGGGAAGGGGGTCAATTGTTGCCCCAGTGAGGAATCTCACCATCGAGGTAGAAATTATTCTTGTCCAGAGTATAGGGGCCCAGTCTGGTGAGGCCTTGGGTCTGGTTGCTCAGCTCCCAATAAACCTTTTCTCTATCTAGAGGGGAATGGTTTGGCTCCCATCGATGGCTGCACAAAGCATCCACTGCAGTTGCTGAGCCACGCTTCATAGATCTGTGGAAGGAAACAATTGTTGAGACTGCTGAGGTCAATGCTGAGAGATTGGCGTGAGGGAGACATTCGGCACACTCAAACTGAGATGAAGTGACATGAGAAAGGGTGATTGTGAGTCCATCAAGGCTGAAAATCTCCCATTACTTGTATGGGTAGGGTGGATCGATAGCCACAGATCTCCCCTGGAGAGAAGATGACAAAGGGAATCACTTTGCTAAGGACCCAGGAATGCAGAGTATGGAAATGACACCATTGTCAGATGGGAAAATGGAGGAAATGGACCCCGGGTGGAGGCACTGCCTTTGTTGCTTTCCCACCGAGCTTTCACCATGAACCTGGGGAACCAAGAGAGACGATCTCAGGGCTCCAAATTGTATTTTCAGGTCTCACCTCAGAGCAATCACTTTGCAGTCACCATAGGAGGAACCAATGCTGCTTTGCTTGAACAAGGGGTTGAACTGTCAAGGAGAGAAGAAGAGGAATGAGCAGCCAGCCTTACAACCCCCACAGTGGAGAAGCTCTCTGTGCAGGAGTGGGGCTGGGCAGGGGCTGTGGAGTCTCACCATACGCTGCACCGTTCTCTCGGTGGAATTGAAAATGCCAGAGCCTGGGTGACCATGTCTTCTGTGAACAATAGGTTGGTGATGCTGAAGTTCAGGCTGAAAAGTTTCAGGTTGTGGCCACCAGCTGTAATGGAGGAGGGAAACAAAAGCCCCATGCCTCAGCCCTGAGCGCAGCAAACAAATATGCCCACTGACACCCTCTCCTTGGATTCTCCTGGAAGGAAAACTCATATTCCCTGTCTTCATTGACATTCATATCAAGGAATCTCTACCCTTTCCCAACCTTCCTTGCCTATTCCTCTCCCACTCTTCCTCCATCTCCTAGTTAAACATTATAAGGATACTCCTGGGAGTGCCCGATGAGTGCACCCTTTGTACCTGGGGTAGTGGAGAATGGTGAGGGAGCAGAAGAGGTGTCTGCAGGGAAAGAGCCTCTCACAGGAGCTGAGGAGAAATCATGAAGAATGGAAATCATTGAAATCAGTACGAAAATTTCAGGTTGGGGAGAGAACTATTGCAAGGGGGAGAAAAGTGGTCAACTTGATTTAGTCACAGAATCCTTGGGAGGATTGAAAGTAGTGTGCGATGGTGCTGAGCAACCACAAGAGGAAACAGATATTTGTGTAATGGGCTGCTACAGGCAACACTCATCAGGCTGAGTGCTTGCTATCTAGCATGCCCCAGCTTTCATTTTCTTTAGGTTTTGCATGGGGCACATGGGCTCATTTCAAATATCTATGGGAATTTTTTGGATTACATGTTTTATTAGCTGCCAGAAATGTATGCCCTTCTATCTCTGTGTATCTCTCCGTGTGTGTGTGTGTGTGTGTGTGTGTGTGTGTGTGTGCGTGCGTGTGTTTGGGGGGGAGGGCTTTGAAATATACATCACACCACTGTCACTGTCCCCCACCCAAGATGATAAACCAAGTCTCAGATACTGGCTTGCCCTTCTTTGCAAGTTGAGTATTTCTTAGAATGAGGTGATTTTCAAGGATTAAGACAATTTTGCTTTTCATAATCCTAATTCATAATCCTTTTCATAATCATAATTCAGAACCCAGCTTCCAGGTGGGACACACTGGTCTTTCTCCAAGGTACTGACGTTGCTGAATTTCTACCTGTGGAGGCTCCAGGCTCTGGGTATGCCTCGGGAGTTGTAAATGATGATACAGTGGATGCATCCAAAGCTGTCAGAAAAAAATGAAGTGATATTGAAGGTGACAGGGATCACAGTGGCCTACAACTACGTGGGGTCATCCCAATATTTCTGTGGTCATTAATTCAGTGTTCCACGTGTAGGAAATGCCTAATAAGGGTTTCAAATGACTGGATGAATGTGGACAGACCCTTCTGGTTGACTCAGCTGCCTGGCTTCCCACAGGAGGAGCCTTTCAAAAGGACATTGGCTAAAGTGTCCAGCTGGGGGACACTATTAGCAGAAGTGGCATTTAGGGGTAACAAGGGACACCATCACGAGGTCTCCTTCAGAAAATGTCTCTTAAAGACCTGGGGTCCACTCTTAATTCCCCGACCATTCCACAAGAATTTCCTGCAAAGTTATCACCGTGCGGCCTCAGAGAGAGGACCTGGTAAGCCAGGAAATGAAACACTGTCTCTGCATCATGAAGGGCCGGAAGGAACCAGAGCCCATTTTCCCCACCTGGGACAATTTCTTCAAAGAATCTCAGTACTAGGGAACCCTCAGAGTGCTTCTAGCCCTCTTCTAGAGCATTCTTAACATCTTGTGTCTCTATGATGATTTCTAGTGATGGGAAACTTGCTATGTCTTAAGACAGACTTTGGGGAGTGAGTGGAGAATTCCTTTCTAAAGACCCCACAGTTGACTAAAGTGGAAGAAACATTGGCATTGTGGGGCTTGTCTCTAGGAGTCAAGAGAGAAAAAAAGGCTTGGGATTCATTGATGACCTGGGACTCAGAGTTGATTTGGATATCCAAACACTTACTGGTTATGTGTTCCTTGGGCTGGTATTCATTATAACCTGTAAACCCAAATAACACATGATGAAGGCAAGGAGACCAGAAAAGAAGGAAAAGGAAATGTCAGGGACACTAGGATGGGAACCAGAGCTGAACTGAGGACTCAGTTTGAGTTGCATGGATATGCTTATGGGAGGAGAGTAGCATTCTTGTGGGCACTCGCTCTCTGCCATGAAGTTCTACCGTGAAGTTAGAGGTAATAAGGGCACTTATAGCTGTGGGGATTTAGATGGAGCAAGTAGAGCCCTGAATCAATTCATTTGGCTGTGTCCTGGCCTGCAGAAACATGGCAGAAGGCAAAGCCATCTACTGACTATCCCAGTCATCTCTAAGAGCAAGACAGAATCTCGTGCACAATAGTAAGCATGCAAAAGCCTTGTTCATTCAAATTAGTCCCAGCTTCCTATGGAAGAACCTTTCCAATACCATTCCCAGCAAAATGCCACTGAAGATTTGCATGAGGGCCTTCTGTGAGGGGACCCCTACTGCTTCTTGAGGCAGTGCACTCTACTTTTGGATGGCTATAATTAACAGAAAATTTTCCTTTAATGTGAATTGAAATACATTCCCCAGTAACTTTCACACATTACTTGTAATTCCCCTCTCACAGGCCAAGTAGAAGCATTTTATGTGTTTTGCCCCATTAGAGGTCTTTAAATACTGGAAGACCGTCATTAAACCTCTTCACTTTATATTAAACACACCTAGTTCTTTCCAACACTCCTTTTACAGCATCGTTTCAAGTTCCCCATGATGGCCATTTTCTCTCTGTATATATTGTGTTCTTCAAACATGTGTCCTCACGACAGAACATAATATTGTAAATGGGGGCTGATCAGGCCAGAGGACAGTGGAACTACCATCTTCCTCTTTCCAGGGGCTAGATTTCCCTCCCTGGGACTAATTGGATTGTTCCATCACCCGACTGGATCGTGTTGAGATGTCAGTCTGCTAAAACCCTTATAGCCTTCCAATGTGAAATCTTTCTGGTCACGTCCCCATCATCCTCTGGTCAGGCAATTTATTTTGTGACTCTTCATGCATATTTTTACCTCACATTTCTTAAATGTCAAGGCGTTCGTTACGATGCACCTTTCTAATTTGTATTGAGTTTGAATTCTGACTAACATGGTAAGAACCCAACCCTCCTACTTTCCTGTCCTTTGTACCTTTTCTTCCATCCATGACTCTATGCAATGGATTGCTAAAACACTGAATATAACAGGACGACAACCACAGCTCAGGGGCTGGCACTAATGGAAACGACTCAGAAAATGAAAAGGAATGGGGCAAGTTAATTAGGAAAATCAGTATGGCATGGCCCATTTAGTGCAGTTGGCTGGACAAGGGAGGATTGGGAACCTAGCGCTCTGGTGAGGGCCAGGGCCTAAATCAGAGTAGGGATAAAAGGGAGAAGATATTTATGTTGGGCCTCTGGTCTCAAAACAGAGCTTACTCAACAGCAAGGGGGAAGGGGGTCAATTGTTGCCCCAGTGAGGAATCTCACCATCGAGGTAGAAATTATTCTTGTCCAGAGTATAGGGGCCCAGTCTGGTGAGGCCTTGGGTCTGGTTGCTCAGCTCCCAATAAACCTTTTCTCTATCTAGAGGGGAATGGTTTGGCTCCCATCGATGGCTGCACAAAGCATCCACTGCAGTTGCTGAGCCACGCTTCATAGATCTGTGGAAGGAAACAATTGTTGAGACTGCTGAGGTCAATGCTGAGAGATTGGCGTGAGGGAGACATTCGGCACACTCAAACTGAGATGAAGTGACATGAGAAAGGGTGATTGTGAGTCCATCAAGGCTGAAAATCTCCCATTACTTGTATGGGTAGGGTGGATCGATAGCCACAGATCTCCCCCTGGAGAGAAGATGACAAAGGGAATCACTTTGCTAAGGACCCAGGAATGCAGAGTATGGAAATGACACCATTGTCAGATGGGAAAATGGAGGAAATGGACCCCGGGTGGAGGCACTGCCTTTGTTGCTTTCCCACCCCGAGCTTTCACCATGAACCTGGGGAACCAAGAGAGACGATCTCAGGGCTCCAAATTGTATTTTCAGGTCTCACCTCAGAGCAATCACTTTGCAGTCACCATAGGAGGAAACCAATGCTGCTTTGCTTGAACAAGGGTTGAACTGTCAAGGAGAGAAGAAGAGGAATGAGCAGCCAGCCTTACAACCCCCACAGTGGAGAAGCTCTCTGTGCAGGAGTGGGGCTGGGCAGGGGCTGTGGAGTCTCACCATACGCTGCACCGTTCTCTCGGTGGAATTGAAAATGCCAGAGCCTGGGTGACCCATGTCTTCTGTGAACAATAGGTTGGTGATGCTGAAGTTCAGGCTGAAAAGTTTCAGGTTGTGGCCACCAGCTGTAATGGAGGAGGGAAACAAAAGCCCCATGCCTCAGCCCTGAGCGCAGCAAACAAATATGCCCACTGACACCCTCTCCTTGGATTCTCCTGGAAGGAAAACTCATATTCCCTGTCTTCATTGACATTCATATCAAGGAATCTCTACCCTTTCCCAAACCTTCCTTGCCTATTCCTCTCCCACTCTTCCTCCATCTCCTAGTTAAACATTATAAGGATACTCCTGGGAGTGCCCGATGAGTGCACCCTTTGTACCTGGGGTAGTGGAGAATGGTGAGGGAGCAGAAGAGGTGTCTGCAGGGAAAGAGCCTCTCACAGGAGCTGAGGAGAAATCATGAAGAATGGAAATCATTGAAATCAGTACGAAAAATTTCAGGTTGGGGAGAGAACTATTGCAAGGGGGAGAAAAGTGGTCAACTTGATTTAGTCACAGAATCCCTTGGGAGGATTGAAAGTAGTGTGCGATGGTGCTGAGCAACCACAAGAGGAAACAGATATTTGTGTAATGGGCTGCTACAGGCAACACTCATCAGGCTGAGTGCTTGCTATCTAGCATGCCCCAGCTTTCATTTTCTTTAGGTTTTGCATGGGGCACATGGGCTCATTTCAAATATCTATGGGAATTTTTTGGATTACATGTTTTATTAGCTGCCAGAAATGTATGCCCTTCTATCTCTGTGTATCTCTCCGTGTGTGTGTGTGTGTGTGTGTGTGTGTGTGTGCGTGCGTGTGTTTGGGGGGGAGGGCTTTGAAATATACATCACACCACTGTCACTGTCCCCCACCCAAGATGATAAACCAAGTCTCAGATACTGGCTTGCCCTTCTTTGCAAGTTGAGTATTTCTTAGAATGAGGTGATTTTCAAGGATTAAGACAATTTTGCTTTTCATAATCCTAATTCATAATCCTTTTCATAATCATAATTCAGAACCCCAGCTTCCAGGTGGGACACACTGGTCTTTCTCCAAGGTACTGACGTTGCTGAATTTCTACCTGTGGAGGCTCCAGGCTCTGGGTATGCCTCGGGAGTTGTAAATGATGATACAGTGGATGCATCCAAAGCTGTCAGAAAAAAATGAAGTGATATTGAAGGTGACAGGGATCACAGTGGCCTACAACTACGTGGGGTCATCCCAATATTTCTGTGGTCATTAATTCAGTGTTCCACGTGTAGGAAATGCCTAATAAGGGTTTGCAAATGACTGGATGAATGTGGACAGACCCTTCTGGTTGACTCAGCTGCCTGGCTTCCCACAGGAGGAGCCTTTCAAAAGGACATTGGCCAAAGTGTCCAGCTGGGGACACTATTAGCAGAAGTGGCATTTAGGGGTAACAAGGGACACCATCACGAGGTCTCCTTCAGAAAATGTCTCTTAAAGACCTGGGGTCCACTCTTAATTCCCCCGACCATTCCACAAGAATTTCCTGCAAAGTTATCACCGTGCGGCCTCAGAGAGAGGACCTGGTAAGCCCAGGAAATGAAACACTGTCTCTGCATCATGAAGGGCCGGAAGGAACCAGAGCCCATTTTCCCCACCTGGGACAATTTCTTCAAAGAATCTCAGTACTAGGGAACCCTCAGAGTGCTTCTAGCCCTCTTCTAGAGCATTCTTAACATCTTGTGTCTCTATGATGATTTCTAGTGATGGGAAACTTGCTATGTCTTAAGACAGACTTTGGGGGAGTGAGTGGAGAATTCCTTTCTAAAGACCCCACAGTTGACTAAAGTGGAAGAAACATTGGCATTGTGGGGCTTGTCTCTAGGAGTCAAGAGAGAAAAAAGGCTTGGGATTCATTGATGACCTGGGACTCAGAGTTGATTTGGATATCCAAACACTTACTGGTTATGTGTTCCTTGGGCTGGTATTCATTATAACCTGTAAACCCAAATAACACATGATGAAGGCAAGGAGACCAGAAAAGAAGGAAAAGGAAATGTCAGGGACACTAGGATGAGAACCAGAGCTGAACTGAGGACTCAGTTTGAGTTGCATGGATATGCTTATGGGAGGAGAGTAGCATTCTTGTGGGCACTCGCTCTCTGCCATGAAGTTCTACCGTGAAGTTAGAGGTAATAAGGGCACTTATAGCTGTGGGGATTTAGATGGAGCAAGTAGAGCCCTGAATCAATTCATTTTGGCTGTGTCCTGGCCTGCAGAAACATGGCAGAAGGCAAAGCCATCTACTGACTATCCCAGTCATCTCTAAGAGCAAGACAGAATCTCGTGCACAATAGTAAGCATGCAAAAGCCTTGTTCATTCAAATTAGTCCCAGCTTCCTATGGAAGAACCTTTCCAATACCATTCCCAGCAAAATGCCACTGAAGATTTGCATGAGGGCCTTCTGTGAGGGGACCCCTACTGCTTCTTGAGGCAGTGCACTCTACTTTTGGATGGCTATAATTAACAGAAAATTTTCCTTTAATGTGAATTGAAATACATTCCCCAGTAACTTTCACACATTACTTGTAATTCCCCTCTCACAGGCCAAGTAGAAGCATTTTATGTGTTTTGCCCCATTAGAGGTCTTTAAATACTGGAAGACCGTCATTAAACCTCTTCACTTTATATTAAACACACCTAGTTCTTTCCAACACTCCTTTTACAGCATCGTTTCAAGTTCCCCATGATGGCCATTTTCTCTCTGTATATATTGTGTTCTTCAAACATGTGTCCTCACGACAGAACATAATATTGTAAATGGGGGCTGATCAGGCCAGAGGACAGTGGAACTACCATCTTCCTCTTTCCAGGGGCTAGATTTCCCTCCCTGGGGACTAATTGGATTGTTCCATCACCCGACTGGATCGTGTTGAGATGTCAGTCTGCTAAAACCCTTATAGCCTTCCAATGTGAAATCTTTCTGGTCACGTCCCCATCATCCTCTGGTCAGGCAATTTATTTTGTGACTCTTCATGCATATTTTTACCTCACATTTCTTAAATGTCAAGGCGTTCGTTACGATGCACCTTTCTAATTTGTATTGAGTTTGAATTCTGACTAACATGGTAAGAACCCAACCCTCCTACTTTCCTGTCCTTTGTACCTTTTCTTCCATCCATGACTCTATGCAATGGATTGCTAAAACACTGAATATAACAGGACGACAACCACAGCTCAGGGGCTGGCACTAATGGAAACGACTCAGAAAATGAAAAGGAATGGGGCAAGTTAATTAGGAAAATCAGTATGGGCATGGCCCATTTAGTGCAGTTGGCTGGACAAGGGAGGATTGGGAACCTAGCGCTCTGGTGAGGGCCAGGGCCTAAATCAGAGTAGGGATAAAAGGGAGAAGATATTTATGTTGGGCCTCTGGTCTCAAAACAGAGCTTACTCAACAGCAAGGGGGAAGGGGGTCAATTGTTGCCCCAGTGAGGAATCTCACCATCGAGGTAGAAATTATTCTTGTCCAGAGTATAGGGGCCCAGTCTGGTGAGGCCTTGGGTCTGGTTGCTCAGCTCCCAATAAACCTTTTCTCTATCTAGAGGGGAATGGTTTGGCTCCCATCGATGGCTGCACAAAGCATCCACTGCAGTTGCTGAGCCACGCTTCATAGATCTGTGGAAGGAAACAATTGTTGAGACTGCTGAGGTCAATGCTGAGAGATTGGCGTGAGGGAGACATTCGGCACACTCTAACTGAGATGAAGTGACATGAGAAAGGGTGATTGTGAGTCCATCAAGGCTGAAAATCTCCCATTACTTGTATGGGTAGGGTGGATCGATAGCCACAGATCTCCCCCTGGAGAGAAGATGACAAAGGGAATCACTTTGCTAAGGACCCAGGAATGCAGAGTATGGAAATGACACCATTGTCAGATGGGAAAATGGAGGAAATGGACCCCGGGTGGAGGCACTGCCTTTGTTGCTTTCCCACCCCGAGCTTTCACCATGAACCTGGGGAACCAAGAGAGACGATCTCAGGGCTCCAAATTGTATTTTCAGGTCTCACCTCAGAGCAATCACTTTGCAGTCACCATAGGAGGAACCAATGCTGCTTTGCTTGAACAAGGGGTTGAACTGTCAAGGAGAGAAGAAGAGGAATGAGCAGCCAGCCTTACAACCCCCACAGTGGAGAAGCTCTCTGTGCAGGAGTGGGGCTGGGCAGGGGCTGTGGAGTCTCACCATACGCTGCACCGTTCTCTCGGTGGAATTGAAAATGCCAGAGCCTGGGTGACCCATGTCTTCTGTGAACAATAGGTTGGTGATGCTGAAGTTCAGGCTGAAAAGTTTCAGGTTGTGGCCACCAGCTGTAATGGAGGAGGGAAACAAAAGCCCCATGCCTCAGCCCTGAGCGCAGCAAACAAATATGCCCACTGACACCCTCTCCTTGGATTCTCCTGGAAGGAAAACTCATATTCCCTGTCTTCATTGACATTCATATCAAGGAATCTCTACCCTTTCCCAAACCTTCCTTGCCTATTCCTCTCCCACTCTTCCTCCATCTCCTAGTTAAACATTATAAGGATACTCCTGGGAGTGCCCGATGAGTGCACCCTTTGTACCTGGGGTAGTGGAGAATGGTGAGGGAGCAGAAGAGGTGTCTGCAGGGAAAGAGCCTCTCACAGGAGCTGAGGAGAAATCATGAAGAATGGAAATCATTGAAATCAGTACGAAAAATTTCAGGTTGGGGAGAGAACTATTGCATGGGGGAGAAAAGTGGTCAACTTGATTTAGTCACAGAATCCCTTCGGAGGATTGAAAGTAGTGTGCGATGGTGCTGAGCAACCACAAGAGGAAACAGATATTTGTGTAATGGGCTGCTACAGGCAACACTCATCAGGCTGAGTGCTTGCTATCTAGCATGCCCCAGCTTTCATTTTCTTTAGGTTTTGCATGGGGCACATGGGCTCATTTCAAATATCTATGGGAATTTTTTGGATTACATGTTTTATTAGCTGCCAGAAATGTATGCCCTTCTATCTCTGTGTATCTCTCCGTGTGTGTGTGTGTGTGTGTGTGTGTGTGTGTGCGTGCGTGTGTTTGGGGGGAGGGCTTTGAAATATACATCACACCACTGTCACTGTCCCCCACCCAAGATGATAAACCAAGTCTCAGATACTGGCTTGCCCTTCTTTGCAAGTTGAGTATTTCTTAGAATGAGGTGATTTTCAAGGATTAAGACAATTTTGCTTTTCATAATCCTAATTCATAATCCTTTTCAAAATCATAATTCAGAACCCCAGCTTCCAGGTGGGACACACTGGTCTTTCTCCAAGGTACTGACGTTGCTGAATTTCTACCTGTGGAGGCTCCAGGCTCTGGGTATGCCTCGGGAGTTGTAAATGATGATACAGTGGATGCATCCAAAGCTGTCAGAAAAAAATGAAGTGATATTGAAGGTGACAGGGATCACAGTGGCCTACAACTACGTGGGGTCATCCCAATATTTCTGTGGTCATTAATTCAGTGTTCCACGTGTAGGAAATGCCTAATAAGGGTTTCACAAATGACTGGATGAATGTGGACAGACCCTTCTGGTTGACTCAGCTGCCTGGCTTCCCACAGGAGGAGCCTTTCAAAAGGACATTGGCTAAAGTGTCCAGCTGGGGACACTATTAGCAGAAGTGGCATTTAGGGGTAACAAGGGACACCATCACGAGGTCTCCTTCAGAAAATGTCTCTTAAAGACCTGGGGTCCACTCTTAATTCCCCCGACCATTCCACAAGAATTTCCTGCAAAGTTATCACCGTGCGGCCTCAGAGAGAGGACCTGGTAAGCCCAGGAAATGAAACACTGTCTCTGCATCATGAAGGGCCGGAAGGAACCAGAGCCCATTTTCCCCACCTGGGACAATTTCTTCAAAGAATCTCAGTACTAGGGAACCCTCAGAGTGCTTCTAGCCCTCTTCTAGAGCATTCTTAACATCTTGTGTCTCTATGATGATTTCTAGTGATGGGAAACTTGCTATGTCTTAAGACAGACTTTGGGGGAGTGAGTGGAGAATTCCTTTCTAAAGACCCCACAGTTGACTAAAGTGGAAGAAACATTGGCATTGTGGGGCTTGTCTCTAGGAGTCAAGAGAGAAAAAAAGGCTTGGGATTCATTGATGACCTGGGACTCAGAGTTGATTTGGATATCCAAACACTTACTGGTTATGTGTTCCTTGGGCTGGTATTCATTATAACCTGTAAACCCAAATAACACATGATGAAGGCAAGGAGACCAGAAAAGAAGGAAAAGGAAATGTCAGGGACACTAGGATGGGAACCAGAGCTGAACTGAGGACTCAGTTTGAGTTGCATGGATATGCTTATGGGAGGAGAGTAGCATTCTTGTGGGCACTCGCTCTCTGCCATGAAGTTCTACCGTGAAGTTAGAGGTAATAAGGGCACTTATAGCTGTGGGGATTTAGATGGAGCAAGTAGAGCCCTGAATCAATTCATTTTGGCTGTGTCCTGGCCTGCAGAAACATGGCAGAAGGCAAAGCCATCTACTGACTATCCCAGTCATCTCTAAGAGCAAGACAGAATCTCGTGCACAATAGTAAGCATGCAAAAGCCTTGTTCATTCAAATTAGTCCCAGCTTCCTATGGAAGAACCTTTCCAATACCATTCCCAGCAAAATGCCACTGAAGATTTGCATGAGGGCCTTCTGTGAGGGGACCCCTACTGCTTCTTGAGGCAGTGCACTCTACTTTTGGATGGCTATAATTAACAGAAAATTTTCCTTTAATGTGAATTGAAATACATTCCCCAGTAACTTTCACACATTACTTGTAATTCCCCTCTCACAGGCCAAGTAGAAGCATTTTATGTGTTTTGCCCCATTAGAGGTCTTTAAATACTGGAAGACCGTCATTAAACCTCTTCACTTTATATTAAACACACCTAGTTCTTTCCAACACTCCTTTTACAGCATCGTTTCAAGTTCCCCATGATGGCCATTTTCTCTCTGTATATATTGTGTTCTTCAAACATGTGTCCTCACGACAGAACATAATATTGTAAATGGGGGCTGATCAGGCCAGAGGACAGTGGAACTACCATCTTCCTCTTTCCAGGGGCTAGATTTCCCTCCCTGGGGACTAATTGGATTGTTCCATCACCCGACTGGATCGTGTTGAGATGTCAGTCTGCTAAAACCCTTATAGCCTTCCAATGTGAAATCTTTCTGGTCACGTCCCCATCATCCTCTGGTCAGGCAATTTATTTTGTGACTCTTCATGCATATTTTTACCTCACATTTCTTAAATGTCAAGGCGTTCGTTACGATGCACCTTTCTAATTTGTATTGAGTTTGAATTCTGACTAACATGGTAAGAACCCAACCCTCCTACTTTCCTGTCCTTTGTACCTTTTCTTCCATCCATGACTCTATGCAATGGATTGCTAAAACACTGAATATAACAGGACGACAACCACAGCTCAGGGGCTGGCACTAATGGAAACGACTCAGAAAATGAAAAGGAATGGGGCAAGTTAATTAGGAAAATCAGTATGGGCATGGCCCATTTAGTGCAGTTGGCTGGACAAGGGAGGATTGGGAACCTAGCGCTCTGGTGAGGGCCAGGGCCTAAATCAGAGTAGGGATAAAAGGGAGAAGATATTTATGTTGGGCCTCTGGTCTCAAAACAGAGCTTACTCAACAGCAAGGGGGAAGGGGGTCAATTGTTGCCCCAGTGAGGAATCTCACCATCGAGGTAGAAATTATTCTTGTCCAGAGTATAGGGGCCCAGTCTGGTGAGGCCTTGGGTCTGGTTGCTCAGCTCCCAATAAACCTTTTCTCTATCTAGAGGGGAATGGTTTGGCTCCCATCGATGGCTGCACAAAGCATCCACTGCAGTTGCTGAGCCACGCTTCATAGATCTGTGGAAGGAAACAATTGTTGAGACTGCTGAGGTCAATGCTGAGAGATTGGCGTGAGGGAGACATTCGGCACACTCAAACTGAGATGAAGTGACATGAGAAAGGGTGATTGTGAGTCCATCAAGGCTGAAAATCTCCCATTACTTGTATGGGTAGGGTGGATCGATAGCCACAGATCTCCCCCTGGAGAGAAGATGACAAAGGGAATCACTTTGCTAAGGACCCAGGAATGCAGAGTATGGAAATGACACCATTGTCAGATGGGAAAATGGAGGAAATGGACCCCGGGTGGAGGCACTGCCTTTGTTGCTTTCCCACCCCGAGCTTTCACCATGAACCTGGGGAACCAAGAGAGACGATCTCAGGGCTCCAAATTGTATTTTCAGGTCTCACCTCAGAGCAATCACTTTGCAGTCACCATAGGAGGAACCAATGCTGCTTTGCTTGAACAAGGGGTTGAACTGTCAAGGAGAGAAGAAGAGGAATGAGCAGCCAGCCTTACAACCCCCACAGTGGAGAAGCTCTCTGTGCAGGAGTGGGGCTGGGCAGGGGCTGTGGAGTCTCACCATACGCTGCACCGTTCTCTCGGTGGAATTGAAAATGCCAGAGCCTGGGTGACCCATGTCTTCTGTGAACAATAGGTTGGTGATGCTGAAGTTCAGGCTGAAAAGTTTCAGGTTGTGGCCACCAGCTGTAATGGAGGAGGGAAACAAAAGCCCCATGCCTCAGCCCTGAGCGCAGCAAACAAATATGCCCACTGACACCCTCTCCTTGGATTCTCCTGGAAGGAAAACTCATATTCCCTGTCTTCATTGACATTCATATCAAGGAATCTCTACCCTTTCCCAAACCTTCCTTGCCTATTCCTCTCCCACTCTTCCTCCATCTCCTAGTTAAACATTATAAGGATACTCCTGGGAGTGCCCGATGAGTGCACCCTTTGTACCTGGGGTAGTGGAGAATGGTGAGGGAGCAGAAGAGGTGTCTGCAGGGAAAGAGCCTCTCACAGGAGCTGAGGAGAAATCATGAAGAATGGAAATCATTGAAATCAGTACGAAAAATTTCAGGTTGGGGAGAGAACTATTGCATGGGGGAGAAAAGTGGTCAACTTGATTTAGTCACAGAATCCCTTCGGAGGATTGAAAGTAGTGTGCGATGGTGCTGAGCAACCACAAGAGGAAACAGATATTTGTGTAATGGGCTGCTACAGGCAACACTCATCAGGCTGAGTGCTTGCTATCTAGCATGCCCCAGCTTTCATTTTCTTTAGGTTTTGCATGGGGCACATGGGCTCATTTCAAATATCTATGGGAATTTTTTGGATTACATGTTTTATTAGCTGCCAGAAATGTATGCCCTTCTATCTCTGTGTATCTCTCCGTGTGTGTGTGTGTGTGTGTGTGTGTGTGTGTGCGTGCGTGTGTTTGGGGGGGAGGGCTTTGAAATATACATCACACCACTGTCACTGTCCCCCACCCAAGATGATAAACCAAGTCTCAGATACTGGCTTGCCCTTCTTTGCAAGTTGAGTATTTCTTAGAATGAGGTGATTTTCAAGGATTAAGACAATTTTGCTTTTCATAATCCTAATTCATAATCCTTTTCAAAATCATAATTCAGAACCCCAGCTTCCAGGTGGGACACACTGGTCTTTCTCCAAGGTACTGACGTTGCTGAATTTCTACCTGTGGAGGCTCCAGGCTCTGGGTATGCCTCGGGAGTTGTAAATGATGATACAGTGGATGCATCCAAAGCTGTCAGAAAAAAATGAAGTGATATTGAAGGTGACAGGGATCACAGTGGCCTACAACTACGTGGGGTCATCCCAATATTTCTGTGGTCATTAATTCAGTGTTCCACGTGTAGGAAATGCCTAATAAGGGTTTCACAAATGACTGGATGAATGTGGACAGACCCTTCTGGTTGACTCAGCTGCCTGGCTTCCCACAGGAGGAGCCTTTCAAAAGGACATTGGCTAAAGTGTCCAGCTGGGGACACTATTAGCAGAAGTGGCATTTAGGGGTAACAAGGGACACCATCACGAGGTCTCCTTCAGAAAATGTCTCTTAAAGACCTGGGGTCCACTCTTAATTCCCCCGACCATTCCACAAGAATTTCCTGCAAAGTTATCACCGTGCGGCCTCAGAGAGAGGACCTGGTAAGCCCAGGAAATGAAACACTGTCTCTGCATCATGAAGGGCCGGAAGGAACCAGAGCCCATTTTCCCCACCTGGGACAATTTCTTCAAAGAATCTCAGTACTAGGGAACCCTCAGAGTGCTTCTAGCCCTCTTCTAGAGCATTCTTAACATCTTGTGTCTCTATGATGATTTCTAGTGATGGGAAACTTGCTATGTCTTAAGACAGACTTTGGGGGAGTGAGTGGAGAATTCCTTTCTAAAGACCCCACAGTTGACTAAAGTGGAAGAAACATTGGCATTGTGGGGCTTGTCTCTAGGAGTCAAGAGAGAAAAAAAGGCTTGGGATTCATTGATGACCTGGGACTCAGAGTTGATTTGGATATCCAAACACTTACTGGTTATGTGTTCCTTGGGCTGGTATTCATTATAACCTGTAAACCCAAATAACACATGATGAAGGCAAGGAGACCAGAAAAGAAGGAAAAGGAAATGTCAGGGACACTAGGATGGGAACCAGAGCTGAACTGAGGACTCAGTTTGAGTTGCATGGATATGCTTATGGGAGGAGAGTAGCATTCTTGTGGGCACTCGCTCTCTGCCATGAAGTTCTACCGTGAAGTTAGAGGTAATAAGGGCACTTATAGCTGTGGGGATTTAGATGGAGCAAGTAGAGCCCTGAATCAATTCATTTTGGCTGTGTCCTGGCCTGCAGAAACATGGCAGAAGGCAAAGCCATCTACTGACTATCCCAGTCATCTCTAAGAGCAAGACAGAATCTCGTGCACAATAGTAAGCATGCAAAAGCCTTGTTCATTCAAATTAGTCCCAGCTTCCTATGGAAGAACCTTTCCAATACCATTCCCAGCAAAATGCCACTGAAGATTTGCATGAGGGCCTTCTGTGAGGGGACCCCTACTGCTTCTTGAGGCAGTGCACTCTACTTTTGGATGGCTATAATTAACAGAAAATTTTCCTTTAATGTGAATTGAAATACATTCCCCAGTAACTTTCACACATTACTTGTAATTCCCCTCTCACAGGCCAAGTAGAAGCATTTTATGTGTTTTGCCCCATTAGAGGTCTTTAAATACTGGAAGACCGTCATTAAACCTCTTCACTTTATATTAAACACACCTAGTTCTTTCCAACACTCCTTTTACAGCATCGTTTCAAGTTCCCCATGATGGCCATTTTCTCTCTGTATATATTGTGTTCTTCAAACATGTGTCCTCACGACAGAACATAATATTGTAAATGGGGGCTGATCAGGCCAGAGGACAGTGGAACTACCATCTTCCTCTTTCCAGGGGCTAGATTTCCCTCCCTGGGGACTAATTGGATTGTTCCATCACCCGACTGGATCGTGTTGAGATGTCAGTCTGCTAAAACCCTTATAGCCTTCCAATGTGAAATCTTTCTGGTCACGTCCCCATCATCCTCTGGTCAGGCAATTTATTTTGTGACTCTTCATGCATATTTTTACCTCACATTTCTTAAATGTCAAGGCGTTCGTTACGATGCACCTTTCTAATTTGTATTGAGTTTGAATTCTGACTAACATGGTAAGAACCCAACCCTCCTACTTTCCTGTCCTTTGTACCTTTTCTTCCATCCATGACTCTATGCAATGGATTGCTAAAACACTGAATATAACAGGACGACAACCACAGCTCAGGGGCTGGCACTAATGGAAACGACTCAGAAAATGAAAAGGAATGGGGCAAGTTAATTAGGAAAATCAGTATGGGCATGGCCCATTTAGTGCAGTTGGCTGGACAAGGGAGGATTGGGAACCTAGCGCTCTGGTGAGGGCCAGGGCCTAAATCAGAGTAGGGATAAAAGGGAGAAGATATTTATGTTGGGCCTCTGGTCTCAAAACAGAGCTTACTCAACAGCAAGGGGAAGGGGGTCAATTGTTGCCCCAGTGAGGAATCTCACCATCGAGGTAGAAATTATTCTTGTCCAGAGTATAGGGGCCCAGTCTGGTGAGGCCTTGGGTCTGGTTGCTCAGCTCCCAATAAACCTTTTCTCTATCTAGAGGGGAATGGTTTGGCTCCCATCGATGGCTGCACAAAGCATCCACTGCAGTTGCTGAGCCACGCTTCATAGATCTGTGGAAGGAAACAATTGTTGAGACTGCTGAGGTCAATGCTGAGAGATTGGCGTGAGGGAGACATTCGGCACACTCAAACTGAGATGAAGTGACATGAGAAAGGGTGATTGTGAGTCCATCAAGGCTGAAAATCTCCCATTACTTGTATGGGTAGGGTGGATCGATAGCCACAGATCTCCCCCTGGAGAGAAGATGACAAAGGGAATCACTTTGCTAAGGACCCAGGAATGCAGAGTATGGAAATGACACCATTGTCAGATGGGAAAATGGAGGAAATGGACCCCGGGTGGAGGCACTGCCTTTGTTGCTTTCCCACCCCGAGCTTTCACCATGAACCTGGGGAACCAAGAGAGACGATCTCAGGGCTCCAAATTGTATTTTCAGGTCTCACCTCAGAGCAATCACTTTGCAGTCACCATAGGAGGAACCAATGCTGCTTTGCTTGAACAAGGGGTTGAACTGTCAAGGAGAGAAGAAGAGGAATGAGCAGCCAGCCTTACAACCCCCACAGTGGAGAAGCTCTCTGTGCAGGAGTGGGGCTGGGCAGGGGCTGTGGAGTCTCACCATACGCTGCACCGTTCTCTCGGTGGAATTGAAAATGCCAGAGCCTGGGTGACCCATGTCTTCTGTGAACAATAGGTTGGTGATGCTGAAGTTCAGGCTGAAAAGTTTCAGGTTGTGGCCACCAGCTGTAATGGAGGAGGGAAACAAAAGCCCCATGCCTCAGCCCTGAGCGCAGCAAACAAATATGCCCACTGACACCCTCTCCTTGGATTCTCCTGGAAGGAAAACTCATATTCCCTGTCTTCATTGACATTCATATCAAGGAATCTCTACCCTTTCCCAAACCTTCCTTGCCTATTCCTCTCCCACTCTTCCTCCATCTCCTAGTTAAACATTATAAGGATACTCCTGGGAGTGCCCGATGAGTGCACCCTTTGTACCTGGGGTAGTGGAGAATGGTGAGGGAGCAGAAGAGGTGTCTGCAGGGAAAGAGCCTCTCACAGGAGCTGAGGAGAAATCATGAAGAATGGAAATCATTGAAATCAGTACGAAAAATTTCAGGTTGGGGAGAGAACTATGCATGGGGGAGAAAAGTGGTCAACTTGATTTAGTCACAGAATCCCTTCGGAGGATTGAAAGTAGTGTGCGATGGTGCTGAGCAACCACAAGAGGAAACAGATATTTGTGTAATGGGCTGCTACAGGCAACACTCATCAGGCTGAGTGCTTGCTATCTAGCATGCCCCAGCTTTCATTTTCTTTAGGTTTTGCATGGGGCACATGGGCTCATTTCAAATATCTATGGGAATTTTTTGGATTACATGTTTTATTAGCTGCCAGAAATGTATGCCCTTCTATCTCTGTGTATCTCTCCATGTGTGTGTGTGTGTGTGTGTGTGTGTGTGTGCGTGCGTGTGTTTGGGGGGGAGGGCTTTGAAATATACATCACACCACTGTCACTGTCCCCCACCCAAGATGATAAACCAAGTCTCAGATACTGGCTTGCCCTTCTTTGCAAGTTGAGTATTTCTTAGAATGAGGTGATTTTCAAGGATTAAGACAATTTTGCTTTTCATAATCCTAATTCATAATCCTTTTCAAAATCATAATTCAGAACCCCAGCTTCCAGGTGGGACACACTGGTCTTTCTCCAAGGTACTGACGTTGCTGAATTTCTACCTGTGGAGGCTCCAGGCTCTGGGTATGCCTCGGGAGTTGTAAATGATGATACAGTGGATGCATCCAAAGCTGTCAGAAAAAAATGAAGTGATATTGAAGGTGACAGGGATCACAGTGGCCTACAACTACGTGGGGTCATCCCAATATTTCTGTGGTCATTAATTCAGTGTTCCACGTGTAGGAAATGCCTAATAAGGGTTTCAAAATGACTGGATGAATGTGGACAGACCCTTCTGGTTGACTCAGCTGCCTGGCTTCCCACAGGAGGAGCCTTTCAAAAGGACATTGGCTAAAGTGTCCAGCTGGGGACACTATTAGCAGAAGTGGCATTTAGGGGTAACAAGGGACACCATCACGAGGTCTCCTTCAGAAAATGTCTCTTAAAGACCTGGGGTCCACTCTTAATTCCCCCGACCATTCCACAAGAATTTCCTGCAAAGTTATCACCGTGCGGCCTCAGAGAGAGGACCTGGTAAGCCCAGGAAATGAAACACTGTCTCTGCATCATGAAGGGCCGGAAGGAACCAGAGCCCATTTTCCCCACCTGGGACAATTTCTTCAAAGAATCTCAGTACTAGGGAACCCTCAGAGTGCTTCTAGCCCTCTTCTAGAGCATTCTTAACATCTTGTGTCTCTATGATGATTTCTAGTGATGGGAAACTTGCTATGTCTTAAGACAGACTTTGGGGGAGTGAGTGGAGAATTCCTTTCTAAAGACCCCACAGTTGACTAAAGTGGAAGAAACATTGGCATTGTGGGGCTTGTCTCTAGGAGTCAAGAGAGAAAAAAAGGCTTGGGATTCATTGATGACCTGGGACTCAGAGTTGATTTGGATATCCAAACACTTACTGGTTATGTGTTCCTTGGGCTGGTATTCATTATAACCTGTAAACCCAAATAACACATGATGAAGGCAAGGAGACCAGAAAAGAAGGAAAAGGAAATGTCAGGGACACTAGGATGGGAACCAGAGCTGAACTGAGGACTCAGTTTGAGTTGCATGGATATGCTTATGGGAGGAGAGTAGCATTCTTGTGGGCACTCGCTCTCTGCCATGAAGTTCTACCGTGAAGTTAGAGGTAATAAGGGCACTTATAGCTGTGGGGATTTAGATGGAGCAAGTAGAGCCCTGAATCAATTCATTTTGGCTGTGTCCTGGCCTGCAGAAACATGGCAGAAGGCAAAGCCATCTACTGACTATCCCAGTCATCTCTAAGAGCAAGACAGAATCTCGTGCACAATAGTAAGCATGCAAAAGCCTTGTTCATTCAAATTAGTCCCAGCTTCCTATGGAAGAACCTTTCCAATACCATTCCCAGCAAAATGCCACTGAAGATTTGCATGAGGGCCTTCTGTGAGGGGACCCCTACTGCTTCTTGAGGCAGTGCACTCTACTTTTGGATGGCTATAATTAACAGAAAATTTTCCTTTAATGTGAATTGAAATACATTCCCCAGTAACTTTCACACATTACTTGTAATTCCCCTCTCACAGGCCAAGTAGAAGCATTTTATGTGTTTTGCCCCATTAGAGGTCTTTAAATACTGGAAGACCGTCATTAAACCTCTTCACTTTATATTAAACACACCTAGTTCTTTCCAACACTCCTTTTACAGCATCGTTTCAAGTTCCCCATGATGGCCATTTTCTCTCTGTATATATTGTGTTCTTCAAACATGTGTCCTCACGACAGAACATAATATTGTAAATGGGGGCTGATCAGGCCAGAGGACAGTGGAACTACCATCTTCCTCTTTCCAGGGGCTAGATTTCCCTCCCTGGGGACTAATTGGATTGTTCCATCACCCGACTGGATCGTGTTGAGATGTCAGTCTGCTAAAACCCTTATAGCCTTCCAATGTGAAATCTTTCTGGTCACGTCCCCATCATCCTCTGGTCAGGCAATTTATTTTGTGACTCTTCATGCATATTTTTACCTCACATTTCTTAAATGTCAAGGCGTTCGTTACGATGCACCTTTCTAATTTGTATTGAGTTTGAATTCTGACTAACATGGTAAGAACCCAACCCTCCTACTTTCCTGTCCTTTGTACCTTTTCTTCCATCCATGACTCTATGCAATGGATTGCTAAAACACTGAATATAACAGGACGACAACCACAGCTCAGGGGCTGGCACTAATGGAAACGACTCAGAAAATGAAAAGGAATGGGGCAAGTTAATTAGGAAAATCAGTATGGGCATGGCCCATTTAGTGCAGTTGGCTGGACAAGGGAGGATTGGGAACCTAGCGCTCTGGTGAGGGCCAGGGCCTAAATCAGAGTAGGGATAAAAGGGAGAAGATATTTATGTTGGGCCTCTGGTCTCAAAACAGAGCTTACTCAACAGCAAGGGGGAAGGGGGTCAATTGTTGCCCCAGTGAGGAATCTCACCATCGAGGTAGAAATTATTCTTGTCCAGAGTATAGGGGCCCAGTCTGGTGAGGCCTTGGGTCTGGTTGCTCAGCTCCCAATAAACCTTTTCTCTATCTAGAGGGGAATGGTTTGGCTCCCATCGATGGCTGCACAAAGCATCCACTGCAGTTGCTGAGCCACGCTTCATAGATCTGTGGAAGGAAACAATTGTTGAGACTGCTGAGGTCAATGCTGAGAGATTGGCGTGAGGGAGACATTCGGCACACTCAACTGAGATGAAGTGACATGAGAAAGGGTGATTGTGAGTCCATCAAGGCTGAAAATCTCCCATTACTTGTATGGGTAGGGTGGATCGATAGCCACAGATCTCCCCCTGGAGAGAAGATGACAAAGGGAATCACTTTGCTAAGGACCCAGGAATGCAGAGTATGGAAATGACACCATTGTCAGATGGGAAAATGGAGGAAATGGACCCCGGGTGGAGGCACTGCCTTTGTTGCTTTCCCACCCCGAGCTTTCACCATGAACCTGGGGAACCAAGAGAGACGATCTCAGGGCTCCAAATTGTATTTTCAGGTCTCACCTCAGAGCAATCACTTTGCAGTCACCATAGGAGGAACCAATGCTGCTTTGCTTGAACAAGGGTTGAACTGTCAAGGAGAGAAGAAGAGGAATGAGCAGCCAGCCTTACAACCCCCACAGTGGAGAAGCTCTCTGTGCAGGAGTGGGGCTGGGCAGGGGCTGTGGAGTCTCACCATACGCTGCACCGTTCTCTCGGTGGAATTGAAAATGCCAGAGCCTGGGTGACCATGTCTTCTGTGAACAATAGGTTGGTGATGCTGAAGTTCAGGCTGAAAGTTTCAGGTTGTGGCCACCAGCTGTAGTGGAGGAGGGAAACAAAAGCCCCATGCCTCAGCCCTGAGCGCAGCAACAAATATGCCACTGACACCCTCCTTGGATTCTCCTGGAAGGAAAACTCATATTCCCTGTCTTCATTGACATTCATATCAAGGAATCTCTACCTTTCCCAACTTCCTTGTCTATTCCTCTCCCACTCTTCTCCATCTCCTAGTTAAACATTATAAGGATACTCCTGGGAGTGCCCGATGAGTGCACCCTTTGTACCTGGGGTAGTGGAGAATGGTGAGGGAGCAGAAGAGGTGTCTGCAGGGAAAGAGCCTCTCACAGGAGTGAGGAGAAATCATGAAGAATGGAAATCATTGAAATCAGTACGAAAAATTTCAGGTTGGGGAGAGAACTATTGCAGGGGAGAAAAGTGGTCATTGATTTAGTCACAGAATCCCTTCGGAGGATTGAAAGTAGTGTGCGATGGTGCTGAGCAACCAAAGAGGAAACAGATATTTGTGTAATGGGCTGCTACAGGCAACACTCATCAGGCTGAGTGCTTGCTATCTAGCATGCCCCAGCTTTCATTTTCTTTAGGTTTGCATGGGGCACTGGGCTCATTTCAAATATCTATGGGAATTTTTTGGATTACATGTTTTATTAGCTGCCAGAAATGTATGCCCTTCTATCTCTGTGTATCTCTCGTGTGTGTGTGTGTGTGTGTGTGTGTGTGCGTGCGTGTGTTTGGGGGGGAGGGCTTTGAAATATACATCACACCACTGTCACTGTCCCCACCCAAGATGATAAACCAAGTCTCAGATACTGGCTTGCCCTTCTTTGCAAGTTGAGTATTTCTTAGAATGAGGTGATTTTCAAGGATTAAGACAATTTTGCTTTTCATAATCCTAATTCATAATCCTTTTCATAATCATAATTCAGAACCCCAGCTTCCAGGTGGGACACACTGGTCTTTCTCCAAGGTACTGACGTTGCTGAATTTCTACCTGTGGAGGCTCCAGGCTCTAGGTATGCCTCGGGAGTTGTAAATGATGATACAGTGGATGCATCCAAAGCTGTCCAAAAAACAAAGTGATATTGAAGGTGACAGAGATCATAGTAGTCTAATAACCACAACAACTAGAACAAAAATCCTCTGCAATGTACTCAACAAATCTTGTTTAGCCCATGCTTTATGACCTCCAGTAGAGGACAACCCACCACTTCTCAAGGCAGCACATTCCACTTTGGGACAGGTCTCACTGCTAGGAAGGTTTTCCTTATATCAAGCCTAAAATTGCTTCTTTTTAACTTTCACTCATTGTTCGGGGGCCAAACATAAAAAACCTATCTTCTTCTTACATGTTCGAGCCCTTTAAATACTGAAGGACAGTTATCATGTCTTCCTTTGTTCTGCTCAAGCTATGCAACACAGCTCCTTCCCATGGCATGAGCTTGAGACTCTTCACCCTGTTGCTAGTTCTGGTCCATAGTGATAAAGTTCCTTTTCATCATGATGGTGAAGTTACTAGTGAAGTTGAAATCTTGAACTGCTAGGGTTGAGGATCTGTCTCTTACCCCCAGGATTTTATAGGGTCCTGGGTGAAAGGTCCTCATTGCAAAAGTCTGTTATACCAGGGACTTCCTCCTTAGGCACTCTGTATCTTCCTTACTCTTCGATAGGAATGCAGAGATCCATTACAAGTGCCCATAGAATATTCTGCTTAATCGTAAATCCAATTACTCAAAATTTAAATCTCTGGTCTTTGTGACCTAAGACTTCTAGCTGATATAACATTTCAGCTCTCCCTCTCTTTCCCTGTTTAGGAGGTACCTACTTCTTAGCATAATGGGTATTTTGAAAGGCCTGGGGCTGTTTCCTATTTTGAATAGCATATTCTTTCCAGGTGGGACTCCAGGTAAATTCTCCAGGTCACAAAGGTATCAGTTGCATAGCCTACATTTAGACCCCAAAACTCCTGAGTGTAGCAGAACAAGATTAAAATGTAGTTGTGAAATATTTAACAAAATAAATAAAAATACAGCACAATGTGGATAATGTTAATTTGGGGTTTTCTAAGTTAATAAGCAGCCCACAGGGTCCATTTCTATATGAGTCTTACACCACTGCCAGGACACAGAATCATCCTCTTCCTTACCTTTGGAGCCTCCAGGCCCTGTGGGCACCAGGGTAGGCTTAAATGCAACTGTTGTGGCTGGACCTGGAACTGAGAAAAAAAAAAGAAAATGATTATAGATTGACAGAGACCTTGAGTACTTCAAAGTAGAGTCATTGGGTCAATTGTGGGGGTCTGTAGATGAGCTCAGAACCCTCCAGAGGGAGTGACTCAATATATTCTTCTTTCCCCAATGATTGAATCAATGGAGTCCAATGCCTTTGTTCCTGCTCAGGTTCTTGTGGAGGGAGCCTTTCTTGAGAACACTAGCTGTAAGAGGCAGCTTTGAACCTAGATCTTCTGACTCCAGAACCATTTTTATACCATTAGCAACCTGGTCCTGACCTACCTTATTCTGCCTCAAGATGCTATACTTTCCTTGCCAGTCTCTATCATCTAGCCAAACTGATTTCTCTGCTCCTCACACAGGGTACTATATCCCTCATCTCCATTCTTTTTCACTGGCCTTGTCCCATGCCTGGAACGCACTCCTCCTCGCTTCATCCTCAGAGAACCTCTCTCTTCCTTCAAGACACAGCCCAGGTACCATATTCTACAAGAAGCCCTTTCTGATTGCCCCCAATTGCTCTCACCCTCCCAACAACCTTGAATTAATTTTAAAATTTATTCTACATATACATATATGTGTTTATGGATGTACATGTATGTATACATATATATACACACACATGTCATCACCCCACGATAGAATGTAGACCCCTTTAGAGCTAAAATTGCTTCATTTTTTGACTCTATACTCCCAGCACCTAGCACAGTGGCTGATACATAGATGGAGCTTAATAAATGTTTGCTGAGTAATTTACTGATTGTGAAGACAACTTAACAAGTCATCTCCACCCAATTTCTAACAAAAGAAGTGGAAATATTGGAACACGAGGCCATGGCAAGAGGGCAAGAGGGACTGGAAAGATCTTGAGCCCCCTTTCCCTTAACTGGAGACTTTTCATCACAGGATCACCAAATCATATACTATCAGAGCTGAAAGGAGTACATATAGTTGAAGAACACCCACTCTCCAATATCCCTGACAAGTCATCATTTAACGTCCATTTGAAGGCCTCTGGTGATAGAGGCCTTTCTTCCTCATTACTTCCCAAAGGCTGCTACATCTATTTCTTGGATTCCTTTCTCATAACATGTGAATGGGCTACAGGGTCAGGGGCTTGGGCAAAGGCCGTGACCAGTTTCACACTACCATATTGGGGCCCAACTCCAGGTATCAAGAGGGGAATAAGGTTCAGGGCTCCCAGATATCCTAGGATTCAAATGAGATTAGAGTGTCAACATACTTACCAACACTGGGTAGGACTGGACCACGTTCATTATAACCTGGAAACCAAAAGGTGGACAATGAGGGCAGTGAGCAGAACATGGCAGAAGAGAAAAAAGGAATGCTCAGACTGAATGGCCCAGTTAAACAGGATCCATTCTGCTGCACTTGGTCACTTGGACACAGATCTGCCTCTTGGGAGAGAGCCTTACCACTCTAGCATACGGTAGTGGGAATAGGAAGAAGCTTACAGCTTGGGAGGAATGAAAATGAGATAAAGAGACATTAAATGCCTGAAATAATGCGCTCTTTCTCCTTTGGCCTATAGTGGGAAAAAATGGTCAAACTAGCTGCTCTTCCCACTCTCCTGGCTTGATGGGAAGCTCAGCATCATATAGAGTTGGAAGGGACTTCAGAGACTATATAATGCAACCCCTTCCTTCTCCAGATGGGGAAACTGAGGCTCAGAGAAGCTAAATGACTTATCATTAAGGGCAGCATGGTGGATTGGCTGCTGGGCTTGGTGATTCCAAGTTTGGATCCTGCCTCAGGCCCTTGCTAGCTGGGCTTAACCTCAATTTCCTCATATGGAAAATTCGGACAGTAATAATAGCACCTTACCTTGCAGAGTTCTTGTAAGGATCAAATGAGATAACATATTCCATGTTACAGAAGTGCTATTATTATTATTATTGTCATTACTATTAGTTAGATAATTATCAGCATCATGAGGATTTGCTCAAGGTCACCCAGCTAGTGAGTGTCTAAGGTAGGATTTGAACAAGATCTTCTTGACTCCAAGTCCAATGCCCTATCCACTAAGAAAGGTAACGTGTGGTCACACAGGTGACACAGGCAGCAAGTGAAAGGGCCAGGATCTGAATCCAGATCCCCTGACTCCATATCTAACACGTTTCCCATGGTACCATGCAGTCTTTCACTAAGATGATTGAGGCCATCTGATGAGAGTCTCCTCAGCCAGAGGGAACTAAGACAAGAGTGAAGACGAGCTAAGATGGCAGAAACCTGCAAGCACTCCCTGCCTAGAATCTCAGATGTGGAAGGGGCATGGAAGGTCTCAAATCCAATTTCAACATGAACCAGAATTTCCTTTATAGAAACCCCAGCAAGCCGCCATTCAGCCTCTGCCTAGAGGCCTTCAGGTACATGGACACTTTACGCCCTATGTCCAAAAGCAGATTCTTCCACTTTGGGACAGCTCTGAGGGCTAGTCAATTCTTTCTTAGATTATGGGACCAAGTCAAAGAATTCTGTGTCATCTGCCCATGGACAGTTCCTTCAATCCTCTGTTCTCTGTGCTAAACATTGCAATTTTCTTTGATTAATTTCCTGGGGCATAGATTCAAGTGTCTTTTCCATCCAGGTTGTACCTCTCTATACATCACTGTAGCTTGTCAATGACCCCTGAAATTAGACCATCTCACCAGGTGCTGCATGACTGCCTATGCTATTGAACTTGACTGAGCTCCCACCCTTTACGTCTGCTGAATAGCGGACATGGCTCCAGGACTCATCACAACACTACAAATGTGTCTTGACCAGCCTACAGGACAACAGGATTGTCACATATGTTTTGCATGACTGCACATACATAACCTATATCAAACTGTTTGCTTTCTCAATGAGAGGGGAAGGAAGGAGTGTGAGAGAGAATTTAAACTCAAAATTAAAAAAACAAATGTAAGAAAACAGATTTTTACGTGTAACAGGTGAAAAATAAAATATTAAATAAGCAACAAGAAAAAAGAGGATGATCACCTCATTCCTTCTAGATGCTAGAATTCTTTCCACTTAGACTCTCAGGGCCAGAGATCTTTTGGTTATCACATAACACTGCTGGCTTGTACCTCAATAAGACCCCCAGGATATCTTCCCAGAAATTGTTATAGTAAATAACCATGTCTTCCCTCTTCTATGCTCATGTGGAATTTTACATTTATTCCCATTAAATTTTGCCTTCTCAAATTTGTCACATTATCTCAATTTTCTGGATTCTGGTTCCACCCAGAAAAGGTATCAGCTACCTTTTCTGTCCTCGACTCATGGGATCTATAATTGGCTTCCATCTACATTGTTTTCCAAGCCATTGATAAAAATGTTGAACAAAACAGAACCAAGGACAGCTCTCTATAGTGGCCATCAGGTGAGAGCAAGTCAAAAAGCTCTGAGAAAATGACTCTTTAGGTGAACAGATATGGTCTTCAGAAGTCTGTCTTTTTGTCTTCTGAATTTCTGGATGAGATTAGAACCTTGTGCATAGTGGAAATGTCAGAAGAGAAAGCTAATTTTCCAATTAAAACAGATGAGGAGGAGAAGAGACAGAGGCAGGTATAGGGCTAAGCCTTCCCTCCATGAGACTGCTTACCATTGAGGTAGAAACTGTCCTTGTCCAGGTAGTAGAGGCCCAATTTCCGCAGGCCATGAGTCTGGTTACTCAGTTCATGGAAAACCTGCTTGGCATCCAGAACAATGCTACTGGGGAACTGGTGGTAGGTGCAGAGGGCACTCACACCTGTCTGTGATCCTTTCTTCATAGGTCTAGGAAAGGAGATACTATTGATAAATCTGGAAATACTGGAAGGGATACAATCCTTTACAAATATTTTAAAATGAGAAAAACAGCAATGATAAATCTCATTTCTGTAATGACAATGCAAAGTGCTCCCTTAGAGCCACTTTATAAAGAAGATGGTGTGACTATTGTCTTCTCTGTTCTACAGATGAAGAAAGTGAGATAAGGGAGGTCATGTTACTCATCCAAGTTCATATAGTTAATATGTATTAAAGCTGAAATTTGAACTCAAGTCTTTTGACTCCAATGCTATTAGGGGCAATAGAACCAAGAAAGGACTCAGGCATAGCCAACATTGTACTCAGATTACAATGGAATGACTCTTTTGCTTTCCCAAAAAAGATTGTAAGCTCCTTGAGGACAAGGACTGTTTGGGTTTTTTCTTTTTGTTTTGTTTTTGTTTTGTTTTTGCTTTTTAATCTCCAGTGCTTGCCATTGTGCCCAGAACATAGCTGGTGCTAAATAAATGCTGGTGAATGGATGATGGATGGATGGATGGATGGATGGATGGATGGATGGATGCATGAGTGTTAAGAATAGAACTGGCTCAAATAGAAACCCCAAAACATATGTCCTCTGGAAGGCTATGAGAGAAAGGAGAAGGAATACCTTTGCACTTGTATTGTGAAACTAGAGGAAACGGCCAATGTGTAGAGAAGAAATCTTTGGAATCTGGCTCAAACCCAGAGCACCTTCCCAGGGAAGTCACCTGCAAGTCCCCACCTTGGCAGCCTCACCTGAGTTTAAGCACCTTGCATCCAAAGTACAGGGAGCCAATGCTGCTGTTTTTGAACAAGTGGCCAAGCTGGTAAAAAAAAAAAAAGAGGTGAGTAAGTCAGGTCATGGTCAGGACACGAGGGCAGATAGGCAGGAGGGCTGGAGGTAGGCAGTCTCACCAGATGCTGCATGACGGCATCTGTGATATTGAACTTGTGTGAGTCCTGACGTCCCATGTCTGCTGAATACTGGAGGTTGGTGATGGTGAAGTTCAGTGTGAAAGGCCTCAGGCTGGCTTTCACGGCTACAGTAAGGGAAGGAGAGAGACGCCCAGGTTTTTAACTTGTCTAGTGCCTCTTGTGTGCAGAGTAGAGCAGTAGCAAACTGTACTGCGTCAAGGACTGGGCTTACAGTCAGGAAGACCTGGTTGTACCCCTGACACTTACTAGCTGTGTGGCCATTGGCAGGTCACTTGACCCCTCTGATCCTTAGGTAAATATCTAAAACTAATTTGTATACAGGATACAATATGCATCTTTGACATAATAATATGGATTATGGTGAACCCTGGAATAAATACAAAGTTTAGATAAGATGTGGTCATAGAGCACATAATAGAGCTTATTATGCCCTCATAGAGCTTATAATAGCAATAGTATTATTGTTATTATTATTGTTATTATTATTATTATTATCACAGATAGCATTTATACAGTGTTTTAAGACACAGTGGATAGAACTGGGGAGTCTGGAAGACCTCAGTGTAAATCTAGCCTCAATTAACCAGCTGTATAACCCTAGGCAAGTCATTTCACCCATTTGCCTCAGTTATCTCATCTGTAAAATGGGAATAATTATAGTACCTACCTTCCAGAGTTGTCACGAGGGTCAAGTGAGATTATGATTGTAAAGCCTTTAGCACAGTGCCTAGACATAGTAAGCACTAGACAAATGCTATGCCATGCACAGAGCACATGTGGAGTATTATGCTCAATTCTGGTCCCTACATTTTAGGAAGACCATAAATAAGCCAGAGGGAATTGAGAAGAGGGCCCCCAGAATGATGAGAAGGAGTTCCAACATTTGGGAGTTCCCTAGAATCACAAGTCTAGCTCCTCACCCTCTTTCCCAGAGCTCAGTGTCTAGCACACAGTGCTTCATAAATGGACATAGAACAGGAAAACAGGAAGAGCCAATGAAGACTCTTTGGGAAGCATTTCAGGGCCACCCTTTATCAAATCCCTCAGGCTGCTGAGGTGCTGACCAGAGGTGGCCTGAATTCTCAGCTCTCCTGAATGACATGCATCTTACCCAGTAACATGGGTGATTTCCTGTTGGAAATAGATGACTAAACTCTCCTGGCTCAGACTGGCTTACTGCCAAGGGCGACAGGAAATTCAGTCAGAGCTGAGTAAAGGGATCCTTTCGAGATCTGGCTGGTGCCTAGCTAAGTTATCTTCCCTGAAGTTTCTTCCCCAGAGGCGGCTTGATGGCCTGCCTCCATTCCTGACCTTGGACCAATCTGGAGGCATCTGTCCACTTGCCCTCATCTGCCCCACACTCAAAGCTCCAAGCTTGGCTTTATCCACCAGGCTGATTGGCTGCCAGGAGCCACATGGGGACAATGAGATCAGAGATGCCCATGTGTCCTATTCTGGTCTCAGACCAGTGCCAGGACTCCCTGGCTGCAGGAGCTCTTGGGAACACTCAGAGGCCAGAGCAGAGTAGGACCAACTCACAGGACCAGACTGAGAGACGAATCCCTGGATTTGGCACTAGAAGGGCAGGACAAAGGCAATCACCAAAGACCCAACTGAATGATTACACCAAGGTGAGGAAGCAGATCTTGGAAACTGGTGCTGTAGGTTGGCATGCCACAACTACTATCATCCCCACTTTGCAGATAAGCAGACTCAGGCTCACAGAGATGGAGTGATTTGCCCATAGCTGGGTCATTTGCCTCCTCTGAAGTTCCTTGCCCAAGAGCAGGGCCTTCCAGTCTGTCTCCACTTCTGCCCTAAGACTATCTATAGGTATTTGTCTCCTCACCCCTCTCTGTCTATCTCAGTTTCCCTATCCATAATGATAGCACCTATATTCTCCTAGGGTTGTTGTATGATTTAAATTAGATAATAATTGTAAAGTGATTAGCAAATTATTTAGCACATATTAAGAGATATATGTGTATGTTAACTATCATTGATCTGCCCAGTAGTGGTGTAAATGGATTGACAAGAACTCTGGCCCTGGAATGGCCTCAGTCCTATGAACAAAGTGCCCAGAGTTATGGTCACAGCTTCCAAATGGATGTGTACGCGGAATCAGAGCACCCCGCTTCTCTGAGGTGGTTTGCCTCACAGGCCTCATCTCTGTGGCTTCAGGAGTTGAGGGCCGAGGCAAAATTGGACTGGTCTCAGTCCCTGTGGCTGAAACAGTGATATGGAAAGAATCAACTGGAGAGGGCCATGACGTTGTCAAGGAGGTGCTGGGACATTCCCTATAAGCTATTTCTGCTACAGTTGTGTCTGTAGGGAATGTATAGGAAGTTTTCCCAGCTGAGTTAGTCTTTAAGGGAACAGTGAAGTCTATGCTGCCTGTGGGTGCTACTGGAGTCAGGTAGAGTGAGATGTTAGGAATGCCCATGGTGACTTCAGGAGATATCTCGAGCAGAGCTAAGATTCCTGTGGGGGATGGCATGGTTATCTTGTGTGTCTCAAGCCTGAGGCCATCAGTTACAGTGGCCACAGTGAGCAGTGGGGAATGAATGATAGCTATACCTGGAGTTGTCTCCACGGTGACTATCTCTGCTGTTGCAGTGATTGGAATGGAATCTCTCATAGTGGAGCCAGTCATGGGAACACTGGTGGTGCCAGGTTCCAGTGATTCCTTTGTCATGTCCGATATAACCGTGGTCCTTCCTGCTATTGTGCTCCTGGTGGAGAATCCTGTGACCAGAGCATTTGGCAGGGATATATCTAAGAGATGATGGGGAGGGTTGGAGTTATTCTGACAGAGATTCCTACTGTTCTCAACAGGACTCCTTCTGTACTCAGCAAATCACCCAACTTCACCATTCACAGTCATTCCTCACAATCAATATGAGTACCCAACCTCTGACAAGCACTTCCACCCTCCAAGTGACTATACCAATCCACTACTACTTTAAGGACAGAGGTCACCTTGAAAATTTATTCATAATAGGAAAAGAACATTGCTTAAAAAGATCTGCCCTGACACTCAAATTCAAAATACGATAGGAACCTGGGCTTACAGAGATTTGTCTGGTGGATATTAATCCCAGTACCAAATTAGCAGTTCCTGATACAGACAAAGGGCTCTTTTAAATTCACTGTGTCTCCATTTAGCTCTAGTTTTACTGGGCCCAGGATGTTTATGACCAGATATTGATTGATACAATCTCCTGTAACTTAAACCTTCAGCTACTAGAGATTGGGAGGGTAGGGGCTGGGAAAAGATGCCAACCAGAATGAGGTTTTTTTCTTGCCCTGGGTTGGGAGTGAAGGAGTTACACTTGGGATTAAATGAAATATATGTTACATATGGTTAGTACTCTGATTATGTACTAATAAAGATTTATGTTTTCTTTCACACACACACACACACACACAAAACCTTAGCAGTTTCTCCAGAGCTTCCATGAACACAATATATTAGCTTGAGAGAAAGTAATGGGGACAGCTCTGTGCAGCTTGATGGCAAACTCCCTTCTGAGGTCTGACTTTCTCAAACTATGGAGATAATTCCCATCTATCATCTACGAAGATCAGAAAACAAGGGCCTAAGAATGATGAACCCCCCAGAAGAACAGGCAGAAATGAGGCTTCTACTTACTTGTGGGACTGCCAGAAGACGAAGCCACCAGGGAGTCACTTGCAGTGACTCCTGTGGCTCCTTGGCCTGGCATGTGTGTGATGGCCACCACACCAGTCTCACCACCTGTAAGAATGAATGGTGGATTAAATTGGGTAATGGTTGAACAAGTTGTGGCATATGATTGGTGGTGCAATGGATAGAGCACTGAGCTTGGAATCAGAAAGACTCATCTGAATGGGTTCAAATGCAGTCTCAGACACAACTGTGTCACCCAGGAGTCAGTGAACTCTGTCTGCTTCAGTTTATCACCTGTAAAATGAGCTGGAGAAGGAAATAGCAAACCACTCTTTGCCAAGAAAACCCCAAAAGTAGTCATGAAGAGCTGGATATCACTGGAAAATGACTCAACAGCAACATCCTGATGAGCAGGATGGTTTCAGAAATATCTGGGAAGACTTATAAAACCTGCTGCAAACTGAGGTGAGCGGAACCAAGAGAACGCTGGAGACAGGAACAGCAATATTGAAATGATGATCAGCTGTGGAAAGGCTTAACTACTCTGATCAATAATCCAAGAGAACTTCAAAGGACTCAGAATGAAAAATGCCATCTACTTCCAAAGAGAGAACTGATGAACTCTTGAGTGCTGACTGAGGCATGCTTTTTGCCACTTCATTTTTCTTGCTTTTTTGCAACATGGCTAATATATAGAAATGTGCTTTGCATGACTTCATGTGTATATAATAAGTATCATATCTCTTGGGTGGGGGACAGGCTGAAAGGAGGGAGAGGATTTGGAACTCAAAACTTAAAAATGAATGTTGAAAGAATGGATGGATCTACCACGTGAAGCACTATGAAAAATATGTTGTCCTTATATGTACTTTTTGAAAATTCCCAAATTGTACTTTTCTGTTCCTTCTTCCCACACACTAGCTGCAGAAAACTCCACTGCCAAAGTCCTTTCTCACCATTGCGCAGTCCTGACATTTGTTAGAATCATTGAAAATGTCAGCATTTCACCAAAAAAAAAAAAAGGAAAAAAGTGAACTCAGTGCAAGGGCCACTAGGATTTTACTATAAGGGAGTGAACAGGGTTGTCTTGCCCACTGAAGTCCAAAAATGGCTCAAAATAGAGGTCCAAAGAAAGAAATGGCAACAAAAGGAGATTCTTGAGGCAAGTGGAGAGAGTGCTGGATCAGGAATCAGAAAGATCTGAGTTCATTCAAATACAGCCTCAGATACTTACTAGATTAAGTTGACCCTGGGAGGGTCACTTAATCTATGTCTGCTTCAGTTTTCTCACCTATAAAATGGGGATAAGGGACAGCTAGGTGGTGCAGTGGATAGAGCACCAGCCCTAGAGTCAGAAGGATTTGAGTTCAAATCCGGCCTCAGACACTTGACACTTACTTGTTGTGTGACCTTGGACAAGTCACTTAACCCCAATTGCCTCACCAAAAAAAAAGAATCTGACACTGGCCTCTCAGAGAATTACTCAGTAATGTGTAATGTCAGAAGGAAGAGAACTTTCTTGCAGATGAAAGTTTTGAAGTCATGCCAAGAGAAACCAGAATATCTTGACCTTGCTAACCCTCCATGACATTTCTGTGAGTTTTTCAGATGGTGCTGGTCTGAGATAGTAGGTCCTCTAAATGTATCTAAAGTCCTACTGAAGTGATCCATGCTTATGTATTTGTTCATTGTATCCGTTGGGGGTGGGGGCAGGGAAGCCCTTTGCATTTTAGGCATTTTTTGTGATAGAGGAAGGAAAGGCTATTGCATACTTGACACTCATATTGTATACTGAATTCCTGGGTAGGGGTACACACTATTGCTCACTTTGGAGAAATCTAAACATGAACCACTTTTGTGGTTGTTATTCAATTGTTTCAATCATGTCTGACTCTTTGTGACCCCATTTGGGGTTCTCTTGACAGAGATACTGGAGTGGTTCCTTGTAAAGCTAAAATGAGATAATATTTATAAAGAACTCTTCAAATCTTAAAACACTAACTATATTATCATCATCATCATTAAGCCAGATGTAATTCTCATTTCCCTGATCTCCCCATATCTTCCAATGTTACATCACTACCCCTTAATGAGGTTTAATTAAAAGTCTACTTATTGAGCACCGGCCCTGAAGTCAGGAGGACCTGAGTTCAAATATGGCCTTAGACCAAACACTTGACACTTACTAGCTGTGTGACCCTGGGCAAGTCACTTAACCCCAATTGCCTAAAAAAAAAAGTCTATTTACTTAGGAAAAAAGTTTTAATTAGAGGTTTAATTAGAAGTCATTTACTTAGGAAAAAAGTAGTATAACTGGTAGGTTCATGGGCTATTCTATGGGATTGGGTAGATGAGGGAGATAGGGAGGTTGTGAGTTCAAGAAAGGTCCAACCAAAGTGGTAAAGCAACTGACTGGTGTGTTGAGGGACTATTGCTAGGCAACTGACTATTATACAGTTCTGTTTATACAAATATTCTAACGGCAGCTAAGGGAGAGCAGCATTGGCCTTCAGGGCAGATGTATGTAGACCCTCAGAAGACCATTGGGTGTCTATCCCTGGTGCTGATGCAGTGACTTCAGGTGGCTTTGTGGAAATGGAGGTGGCAGCTGAGCTAGTGCCTATTCCCCCATGATTTTTCAGTTAGCAGTGTTTGGTTAGAGCTTACTACTAGGTCAGGACTAGTGGTGTGTGTCCTGGGGCTTTCTAATGGAGGGGATGAGATAAGATAAGGTTTCTGTGATGGAGAGAGTGCCTATGGAAGCCTGGGTCTCCTAGTCCTGAGGTTAGAGTAAAAGCTGTTAATGGACCCTGCTCCAGGGACTTCAGCTGTGTTGCTCTCCTATAAATTTTAGTGATTACTAGACTTTGAGTCTCAGATAGCTCAGCCCAGGTCATAGCAGCCAGACTTGTACCTGATCCAACATGGATAGGAGTCACTGTGGCGACCATGGGCCACCTGGATGGAAGAGCTTTTCTCTCTGGGAGTCTGAACCTCAGAACTTACTCAAATCTCTCCTAAACTAGAACTAGGAGAAACTGAAAGTCTCACTCCAGTTTTGGTGCTGAATTTTGGAAGAACTGCAGAGATGTCTCTAGTCATCTTGACTGTTAAACTAATACTGGCCTCTATGACTAAGGTGGTTAGGGAGAGCTCTGAGGTTTTCTCTAGGCCTACATGTGGGATACCATTAGCCATTTTCTCTAGGAGAATCAAGCCAGCAGAGGTGACCGATGAGCCTCTAGGAGTGCTGTCTGACAACACTGGAGCTTTAGGAGAGGAAGTGGTCAGTGTGGCATCTGTGCTGCTCTCTGCCACTGCACTTGGGAGCTCAGGGCTAAGAGTGACCTTATGGGAAAGAGGGACAATGTTTGTGATTTTAGTGCCAAGGGTCAGACTTGTGGTTATAGACAGAGGGACAGCTGAGCTCGTCCTCAGCCTTAAAGGTAACCCCAGATGAAGTTATTCGAGTTGAAGGAGACACTGTCCTCGGCCATGTAGGGAGCAGTATCTGCCCCAGTGATGGGGAGAGCTGTGGCTTTAGCTAAGATTGAGGACCAGGGAACATCCCATTCTTGTTCTAGGCAAAGCCCCAGAGATACTGGTGATGGAGACAACAGGTGCTGGTGTGATCAATACCAAGAACAAGTCTGTTCCAGGCCTAGTCTCTGTAGTACCTGGGGTGTGGGAAGGAGTGGTGTAGACAGCTGGCTCTGGGCTAGACTCTCCCACAGGACTTGACACAAGGTTAGCTGTGCTCTCAGCAGGACGAAACTTCCCTGGGATAAGTGTGCTGGTATCTGAGGCTGCAGGCTACCTGGTCTGCTGGTCTCCTGCACTAGGGTGCTGGTGGAGGCCAAACCGCTCTGTAACTTTTCACTGTCCTTGGTTCTAAATTCAGTCATTGGTGCAACAGAGAGAGTGCCCCCCTCGGAGGTGTGGGCTCTGTGGGCCCTGGGGTAATAGGTGCAGTTGGGCTTGTCTGGAGGCTCCAGTCATGACAATGTTTCTCACGTTCCCCTGTGAGAAGACAGTTGTACGGAGTAGCTGGTTCCTTCAGTTAGGCTAGACAGAGAAGTGAATGCCCTCTCAGGCCTGAGAGTCACTCTTGTGCTTGGGGAGTACCGTGTGTTCTCTGTGAGGGCTTCCAGAGTGCTTCTCTGGGAAGGTGCTGGGCACAGTTTGACCTTCTGTTGGCCCTTCTGTAGATACCAAGAAAGTGCTTGTGTCCATCATCTATTGGAGGATGCTGGGAGCAGTGGAGGACAAGGCAGTTGAGTCTGGCTCTGTTTCTGCCTGAGCATCCCATGTCATTTAGGGTGGTCTTGAAAGGCTCACTGGATCCTGGACTGCTGTGAGCTCTGCTAGAGTCAAGGAGTATGGGATGTTTATAGTACCCATGGTCACTCCAGAGGATCTCTCAGGTAGAACTGATGTTTCTACGGGGAAAAGATCTTGTTCCTCTGTGTCTCAGGTCTGATCCCATTTGTGACCAACCATGGCCACAGTGAGAAAGAAGAGTGCCCCGAATGGTAGTTGTGCCTGGAGTGATTTCCATGATAACTATGTCTCTTTCAGTCTCTTAAATAGAATCTCTCACTGTGGCATCAGTCATGGGGATGCTGGTAGGCCCTGTTGATTCACTTGTCACATCAGACCCACTAACACTCTTCAGTGTTACTGTGCTCCTGGTGGAGAAGGCTATGACTAACTAGTAGCTGGTTGGTATGTGAAGATATTTGGTGGGATTCTGGCAGGGATATCCATTTCCTTTCAGCAGGAATCTTTCTTTCCTGGGGATAATCCCCAATCTCCAATGCCTCACTTTCCTCTCCAATACTCATGGGCATTTCATCCTGAAAATCACTTTCATCAGCCCTGCTAGGGACTTTAACCTACATTCTGGCCATCTCTTCTATAGTCTCATTATTGCCCTGATGCCCACACCAGTCCTGCAGGATTCACATTTAATCCCTATAAAGTCTGCCCTGGGCTTCCATGGTCGTGATTGGTGACTGACTCTCCTGATCTATTATTTCATAAAATCCAAGGTCATGCTTCATTTTACTCCCTACTCTCAACCAGGTGGTACACTTTTATCCCCCACATCCTCTCCACATCTGGAACCATATATGATCAACTTCTCTCTTCCATTTCTTCTCCAATGTAATGGGTCTATGTACAGGATCCCCTGGGTCTTCACTCACCATCCCTGCACCATGCATAACTAAATTGTCCCTTACTGGCTACCACTCCTTCATATGTATTGTCTCTCCCATTAGAATGCAAATTCCTTATAGACCAGTTGCCCAAGGAGCTAAATTTGACAGTCTCCATATCCCTGCTGATAGAAACTGTGATCTTTGACAGTGGAGAGAGATAAAGGTCCCAACAGGGCCAGTACCTACTGCTAGGGCAATTTTAGCCTCCATGGTAGATATATGCTTTGATTTTCAAACCCTTGAGGACTTGTCTATGGTGCTGAAGCAATGACTTCAGAAAGCATTTTGGAAACAAAGCTGAGTAACTGAGCTGGTGCCTGTAATTTCTCAGTTGGCCAAGTGGACGGTGCTTGGTCAGTGCTTTCTCTCAGACTAGTATTGTGTCATTGGGCTTTCTGAAGGAGAAAACAAGGTGGGATAGGTCCTCAAGGCCTCTGCCCCTGAGATGGCACCTTTGGAAGTCTGGCTCTCCTCCAGCTCTGAGGTCAGAGTGGAATCTGTTTCAGTTACTGTTTTGCTTTTGTGTTTATAATCCCAGCTCTTAGCATAGTGCTTGGCCAAGACTAGGCATGTAATAAATGGTTTTGTATTCATTCATTCCCTGCTTCTCTAGGATGGCCACATTGAGATTGAATTTTAGTCATATCATATGGCTACTTAACTGGAGTTCTCCTGACTTCCAAAAAGGCATGTGGAATGGGGAAGCAGACTCAGATAATACAAGTCATGGCAAAATAATCAATAAGCATTCAGCAAACACAATCTATAGGCCAAATACTGCACTAGGTCCTAGGGATGCAAAGACAAAAAGCCACCATTTTGCTCCTGTCTTTGTGGAAAAGACCATTCTAACAAGCTAAATGACATTGCTGTGAGCTCTTTTGAAGTCAGGAAGAGTTGGAGGTCTGCAATGCCCATGGTTGTCCCAGGAGATGTCTCAGATGAACCGAAGCTTTTGTGGGAGAAGATGTGGTTCCTCTGTGTTTCTTGGGCTTGAGTAATGTAAGTGCATGCTTCCCCAACCAGCTGTTCTTCCTGAGGCCACTGTCACAACATTGCAGGGGGAAAACAGTGGGCAGATATGGCCCATGGGCCTTAAAGTATGATTAAAACTCCCCTCTTAGCCTCTTCTTCTCGAACTTTGAAGAGGAATCATCACTTAAATAATCTCGTGTGTCATCTATAAAACTGGAAAACAAGTCCCTGAAGTGGTGAACCTCCAACAGGGAAGAAAGCAAGAAGGCATCTACTTGCCTGTAGGAATACCAGTGAACCTAGGTATCAAGGGGCCCCTTGTCAGAGCTGCTGTACTTCCTGGTGCTCCATGGCCTGGGGCATGTGTGACCTGCAACCCACCAGCATCACCACCTGCAAGAAGAGATGAGGAGAGAGCCCAGGGATCAGTTGTGTCATTATTAGTGGGCACACAAAGGGAAATACATTGTTGCTACAGATTGTAAAGCCCCAAAATAAAAGCTTTCTTTGGCTTTTTCCCACACGACAAATAAAAACTTTTTTTCCTTCCAAAGCAATAACTCACTGGTGGGTAATCTCCACATAAATTAGACTTAATGAAATCAGAATCCCATCAACAAGAAAAGGAGAATCACTTGGGACTATGAAACTGCCCTCCCATGAAGATAAGGAAGCCTAGAATAACCACACTGATTCAACAGATATGGCACAAAGGAAAAGACCCTAAAGTAACCCAAGAGAGAGCTAAAGAGGGAAAGGACTAGGAAAGAAGACTCCTTCCTGCCTTTTATAAAGACATTAGACCTCCCCTCCCTGGACAGACCCCACCTATTTCCTCTAGGGCCATGCCCCAATTCCCTCCATGGGAGACTTATTTAAAACATGCTTACTTGTGAACAGGGTGGAAGTGGAAGGTGCTTGAGCAGAAACAGAGGCTGTACCTGCCCTGGCACTGCTGCCTTCTGTGGCCATGGGAATTGGGCTGGGAGATGCTGATGTCCAGACTTCCTGTGTTCTGGCTAGAGGCAGAGTGATATCTAGAGTTGGTGTTTCCCTGGAGCTCCTCACGGACTCTGTGGTCAGGCTGGCTGACCCTGAGTCCTCCAAGGAGGGAGTTGTCCCAGGGGAACCTGTGCTTGTCCAGGCCATTGGAGTAGTTGAGGCAGGAGAGAGGCCAAGACTTGGGCTTGGAGGTTCATGGATGGCACTGTGAGTTCCTGTTCCCTGGGAGGGCTCATTTACTGTGGTGTCGACCAGATTGGGAGGACTTGTTTCTGCCTGTGATGAGGGGCTGGCTGCTGAAGGAACTAAATTTGACATAGTTTCCACATCTCTGCTCATAGAAGCTGTGACCTTTGACAGTGGGGAGATGAAGGTCCCAGCTAGGGCAGTTTTATCCTGCAGGGTAGAAAAGCTTTGACTTTCAAACCCTTGTATACTTGTCTGTGGTGCTGAAGCAGTGACTTCAGAAAGCATTTTGGAAACAAAAGTCACTGAGCTGGTGCCTGTTTCAGGTAACTTCTCAGTTGGCCAAGTGGACGGGGCCTGACCTGTGCTAGTTTCCCTCTCAGGACTAGTGTCATGTGTCATGGGGCTTTCTGAAGGAGAAAACAAGGTGGGATAGGTCCTGCTGGCCTCTGTCACTGAAATAGCACCTTTGGAAGCCTGGTTACCCTCCAGCCCCAAGATCAGAGTGGAATCTGTTATGGTCACTGTTTTAGTGGCCTCAGTTGCAGTAGAAGACAATGGGAATTCTGTGTCACTCTCCTGTGAAACTTTGGTAATAATCAATGGTCTTTGAGTTCTGGATAGTTCAGCCTGGGTCACAACAGCCAGACTTGAATGTGATCCAGTGTGAACAGGAGTCACTGTGGTTACCCCTGGCCACAAGGAGGAAGGGCTTATATCTCTGGGAGTCACAGCCTCAGAACTTTTTGGAATCTCTGCTGGATTTGTAGCAGGAGGAATGGCTGAGCTCACATCAGCCCTATTGAGCCCTGGAGGAGCTGAGGTGATACCTTCTATCACCCTGCCTGTACCAGTACTTTCTGTGGTCTCTGTGGTTAAGGTGGTCAGAGGAAGCTCTGAGCCCTCCTCTAAGTCTGCACCTGCAACACTGTGAGCAGTAGTCCCCATGGAAGTTGAGCCAGCAGAGGTGACCAATGGACCTCCAGGATAAGTGTCTGAGAATGGTGGAGCTTTAGTAGAAGTGGTGGTCAGTGGGGCATTTGTGCTTTTCTCTGCCCCGGTACTTGGGAACTCAGGGCTAAGAGTGACCACAGGAGAAAGAGGGACAATCTCCATGATTTTAGTGCTGAAGATGAGACTTGTGGCACCAGTCCTGGGGGAAGTTGAGCTCATGTTCTCAGTGAAGGGTGTAACTCCAGATGAGGTTACAGGAGTTGAAGAAGAGAGAGCTCTTGTATGGGTGGTTTCTGTCTCAGTGATGGTGAGAGGCCTGGCTTCAGTGGTGCTAGATGAGGGGAAAATTGTGCTTTGTCCAGGGAAAGCCATGGAGCTCGTGCTGGTGGTCAGAAGTAGGGCTGAGCTCACTTGAGCTTCTGTGCTGTGCTCTGCAGGAGCCATGGAGATGTCGCCAGTCATCTTGGCTGTGACAGTATTGACTATGCCCTCTGTGGCCAATGGGAGACCTGAGGTCCTCTCTGAGTCTTCATTTGGGACTCCATAAGGTACAGTCACCTGGGGAGTTGAGCCAGTAGTGGTACCTGATGTATTTGGTACCCCTCCCATAATAGTGGCTGAGGACATAGGAAGTCCAGGTGAAGAAGTGATTGGTGAAGCACCTGTGCTCCTCTCTCCCTCTGTACCCAGAAGCTCTTGGTTGGGAGTGGTCTTAGGATAAAGAAAGGTCATGTCTGTGACCTTGCTGCTGAGGATGACACTTAAGCTTTCAGTCCCAGGAACATTAGAGTTCATGACCTTGGCTTTGTAAGTAACCTCTGATAAGGGAACTGGAGACAAAGAAGAGAAGTCCTGTGGCAAAGTAGACATAGTATTTGTACCAATCGTGGTGAGATCTGTGGCTTCAGCTGAGGTCAAGGACTGGGAAACCTCTGTTCTTATTCCAGGCAGAGCCCCAGAGGTACTGGTGATGGAGAAAACAGGTGCTGATGTGATCAACACGAAGGACAAGTCTGTTTGTCCTCCAGGCCTGGTCTTTGTAGCACTTGGGGTGTGGGATGGAGTGGTGTAGACAGCTGGCTCTGGGCTGGATTCTCCCACAGGACTTGACACAAGGTTAGCCGTGCTCTCAGCAGGACGAAACTTCCCTGGGCTGAGTGTACTTGTATCTGATGCTGTAGGGCTACCTGGTCTGCTGGTCTCCTGCACTGGGGGGCTGGTGGAGGCCAAACTGCTCTGTAACTTTTCACTGTCCCTGGTTCTGAATTCAGTCACTGATGTGACAGAGGGAGTGCCCCCCTTCGGAGGTGTGGACTCTGTGGGCCCTGGGGTAGGAGGTAGAGCTGTGCTTGTCTGAGCTCCAGTTATGCCAATGCCTGTCATGCTCACCAAAGAGGTCGAGGGGACAGTCCTGGAGTAGCTGGTTCCTTCAGTTAGGCTGGGCAGAGAAGACGTGGAAGCCATGTCAGGCCAGAGAGTTACTCCTGTGCTTGAGGAGTACATGTATTCTCTGTAAGTGCTTCTGGAGGTGTCTGTGTTCTCTAGGAAGGTGCTGGAAACAGTTGGACCTTCTGATGGTCCTTCTGTAGACACCAACAAAGTGTTTGTGTCTCCTCCAGCAGATGTTGGGATGATGCTGGGAGCAGCAGTGGAGGACAGGGCAGCTGAGCCTGGCTCCATTCCTGTCTGAGCATCCTGCTTCTCTGGTGTGGTCTCTCTCAAAGGCAGGTCTGGGCTTGGCCTGGTTTCTGTAGCATTGATGGCTGTAGGAGTTGAGGATAGAGGCAAAATGGAGGTGATTCCCATTCCTGAAGCTGAGACAGCGGTATGAAAAGAATCAATTGGAGTGGGCCATGGAGTCAGGGTGGTGCTGGGACTCTCCCTAAGGGATGTTTCTGATACAGATGTGTCTGCAGGGAATGTAGAAGAAATTGTCCCAGCTGGGCTGATCTTTAAGGGACCACTGGAGCCTGTGCTGGCTGTGGGCTCTGCTAGAGTCACGGAGAATGTGGGGCTTGCCATGCCCATGGTGACTCCAGAAGATGTTTCAGGTGGAGTTGAGGCTTCTACGGGAGAGAACATGGCTCTACTGTGTATCTCAGGCCTAAGTCCACTTGTTACAGTGAGGAGGGGGGTCTGAGTGGTTGTTGTACCTGGCAGAGTCTCCAGAGTCTCTGTTGCAGTGCCTAAAATGGAATCTCTCACAGTAGAGACAGTCATAAGCATGCTGGTGGGCTCTGCTGAGTCTCTTTGCAGGTTGGATCCACTCATATTGTCCAATGTCACTGTGCTTCTGGTGGGGAATCCTGTGACCATAGCAGTTGGCTGAAGTGCACCTAAGGATTGACGGGGGAAGTTTGGAGTCATTTGGACAGAGATCTCTCCTCTGCAAGGACTCCTTCCTTCTTGGGAAGAACCATCAAACCCCAAGCCCTCACATTATTCTCCAATGCTCAAGTTTCTACCTGACAAGCACTTTCAATAATAAAATGGACTCTGCCAGGTTCTATGACCTTCTTCTACCCTAGGGTGGGTGGCCCCCATGAGAATTATTAAATAGCAAGAGATCTATGTTTAGGCGGATCTGTGCTGACATCTTGGCACAAGATGAGATGGGAACCTAGGCTCAGACAAACTGCCTGGTGGGTACTAATTCTGGTCAAATAATCAACAGTCATTTTAAGCATCAGCTACCCTTATTGACACTTACTGTTTTAGGTACTGGGTATGTATAGACAAGAATGAAAATGATCCCTGCCCTCTTGCAGCTGACTTTTAACAGGGCATGTAATATATATACATGCAAGTGAATACAAGAAATATACAAAATCCCCCAGCAGCTCTTCATCCAAAGACTGTTATCACAACATACTCCGGGGTAGAAATTAATGTGGCAGATGAAGCTGCCAGGTCTTGTGATCTAACTACAAATTCCACCATCAGTGTGCTGTTGTGAAGATGAGTCCATATCTTATCTCAGAGCTGGAAGACAAGGACCCAGGAAGGGTGAATCCCAGCACAGGATTTACTTACCCATAGGTCCAACAGTGGAGTCAGGTGTCAGGGGCCCATTAGTCAGTACTGCCATGCCTCCTGGTGCTCCATGGCCTGGGCCATGTGTGACAGGCACTACACCAACCTCACTACCTGTAGGAACAAATGAGTGCATATGTCACAGCCTGGGAGGGCAGAAAGGATGATATATTACCCCCTCATGTTCTGACTATAAACTCCAAAATGTGGCTTTCTTTATTTCCTCCTTCACACAGCAGAATGTTCCTCTGTTATCCCACTCTCACTCATCTTAAATCTCTGCTTGTCTCCTGGCTGCTTCCCTACTACCCCATCTGCAAAAAAACAAAAACAATAGAAAACCCTTCACTTTTTCCCTCTGTCCCTGATTATTCCTTCTCTCTCCTCCCTTTTGTGGTCAGAGTCCTTGAGATAGCTATCTACAAAGAGTGTTTCCATTTCCCTTCCTCTCACTCTCTAACTCTACAGTCTTGTTTTCAACCTCATCATTAAAATGAAATTGTCCCCTCTAATGTTACTAACAATCTCTTAATTGCCAAAATGATCAGCCTTTTCTCAATCCTCATCCTTCTTAATCTCTCAGCAGCCTTTGATTCCATTACCCTACTGTCCTGGTTCTCCTCCTAACCATCATTCCTGTCTCTGTCTCTTTTGCTGGATCCTCACCTAAGCCGCAAACGCTATTTGTGGGTGCCCTACATTAGGGCTCTGAGTTGGACTCTCTTCTCTTTCTTCTGTATGAGTTTTAACTCAGTGATCTCATAAGCTCCCATGAATTCAATTCTCATCTCCATCTTTGAAGAAGGCAAAACCACTGCTGAGCTGTCCACTGTCCCTGGTGCTGAGTTCAGTCACTGGTTCAAAAGAGACAGTACCCCTCTCAGGAGGTGTGGGCTCTGTGGGTTTAGTTACAAGAGGTACAGGTGGGCTTCTCTGAGCTCCAGTCATTCTCCCCTACAGAGGGTGAAGGGACAGTCCTGGGGTAGCTGGTCACTTCACTTAGGCTGGGCAGAGAAGAGGTGGAGGTCTTATCAGGCCAAAAAAGTTACTCCTGGGCCTGTGCTCTCTGAGTGATTCTGGGGATACCTTATGGTTTCCAGGAAAGGGCTGAACACCATTTTACCTTCCCTTGACCTTTCTGTAGATGCCAAGAAAGTGCTTGTGTCTCTTCTAGCAGATGTTGGGATGATGCTGGGAGCAGTGGAGGACAGAGCAACTGACCCTGGCTCTGTTAATGTTTAGGGCAGGCACCCTGCTTCTCTGGGGTGATTCACCTCATACGCAAATCTGGGCTTGGCCCAATTTCCACAGCATTGATGGCTATGGAAGTTGAGGATAGAGACAAAATGGGGCTGATTTCAATTCCTGTAATTCAGACAGTGGTATGGGAAGAATCAACTGGAGTGGGCCCTGGAGTTAAAGGTGGTGCTGAGACTCTCTCTAGGGGATGTTTCTGATGATATAGGTGTGTTTGCAGGGAATGTAGAAGAAATTGTCCCAGCTGGGCTGATCTTTAAGGGACCGCTGGAGCCTGTGCTGGCTGTGGGCTCTACTGGAGTCAAAGTGCAAGGCTTACAGTGCCCTTGGTAACTCCAAGAGATGCTTTAGGTGGAGTTGAGGCTTCTGTGGGAGAGTTCATGGTTCTCCTGTGTGTCTCAGGCCTGAGACAACCTGTTACAGAAGCCACAGTGAGAAGGTGGGGCTTGAATGGTTGTTGAACTTCGAGTTGTCTCCATGATGACTATCTCTGTTGCAGTGTCTGAAATGGAATCTCTCACAGTAGACCCAGTCATGGGGATGCTGGTGGACTCTGCTGAGTCTCTTTCCAGGTCAGATCCACTCACACTATCCAGTGTCACCGTGCTTCTGGTGGAAAATCCTGTAACCATAGCAGTTGGCTGAAGTGTGCCTAAGGGTTGATGGGGGAGGTTTGGCATCATTTGGACAGATTCCTATTGCCTCTTAGTAGGACTCCTTCTGTATTGAAGAATATTTTCTGTGGTGGCAAAGAATTGGAAATTGCGGGGGATGCCCATCAAATGGGGAATGGCTGAACAAGTTGTGGTACATGAATGTAATATAATACTATTCTGCTATAAGAAATGATGAGCAGGCAGACTTCAGAAAAACCTGGAAAGACTTGTGTGGTCTGATGCTGAGCGAAGTGAGCAGAACCAGGAGAATGTTGTACACAATAACAGCCACATTGTGTGATGACTAACTTTGATAGACTTAACTCTTCTCAGCAATGCAAGGATCTAAGATATCTCCAAAAGTCCCATGATGGAAAATGCTATCCACACCCAGAGAAAGAACTGTGGAGTCTGAATGCAGATCAAAGCATAATATTTGGTCTTTTTTTTATTCTGTTTTGTTTTGTTTCCTCTTTCTTGTGGTTCCTTCTACTGGTTCTAATTCTTACAACATAACTAATGTGAAAATATGTTTAATAGGAATGTAAGGATGTGAATTAGGATAGAAAATTAGTCTAGGGAGCAGCTAGGTGGTGCACTGGCCCCAGAGTCAGGAGGACCTCAGTTCAAATCTGGCCTCAGACATTTCACATTTACTAGCTTTGTGACCCTGGGTAAGTCACTTAACCCCAGTTGCCTTACACAATAAACAAAGGTTAGATGGGCTGCAGTGCAGACACTTGTTGGCTAGGCTGGAATGGGCATCCTCCTGCAGTTATGGGTAGGGCTGAATGATCACTCAAGTCTCCTCCAAATACGAAATTTCTTGATTCTCATCCTATAATCCTTGATGGCTTGAAACCTAAGTCCAAACCCTATTCTCAGAAGCCTGTTCTTCTGAAGTTACAAACATGAACCAATGAGTCACTGCCAAAGAGCAGGAAATGAGACCCCAGAAATGCTGGGACTCCAACAAAGGAAAGATAAAGGAACCATCCACTTACCTGGGGCACTGACAGTGGACACAGGTGCCAGGGGTCCACTTGTCAGGGTTGCAGTACCTCCTGGCACTCCATGGTCAGGAATATGGGTGACAGACCCCAAACCATCTGCAGGGAGGTATAAGGGAAGGGCCCAGGGATCAGTCATGTCAGATTCTTGGGACACCCAAAGAAAATACATTGTCCCTACTGATTAGAAACCCCAAAATTCATTCCTTCTATTATTTTTCCTTCAGAGCACTACTTAAGTACTGGACAATCCTGTTATATGTTAAGCTAGCTGGGAATGTCTTAATTTGAGCAACAAGTGATCAGAGGAGCTTTGAGAACTGAGACCATTAGACTGCCTTCTCACTGAGAGATGAGGCAGACTGGAGTGATGACACTGGTCTAACAGACATAGCCTTGAAGTCAAGGCTGCAGAGTAGCTCAAAACAGATATCCAAAGAGAAATTCATTGGAAATGATATTAACGCCTTTGCCCAAATGTGATTCTCATTCTACTACAGACAGACACCACCCATCCATCTCCTCCAAGGCGTTATCCCCTAAATAGAAGGCTTAATTAGAAGTCTGCTTACTTGTGAACAGGGTGGAGCTGGTAGGTACAGGGGCAGAAACAGAGGCTGTCTCTGCCCTGGCACTGCTGCCCTCTAAGGCTGGGGATGCTGGGGTGGGAGGTGATGATGTCCAGGCTGCCTGTATCCTTGCTGGAGACAGAGTCACAGCTAGAGTTGATGTTTCCACTGATCCTGCAGTCAAAGTGACTGTCCCTGATCCCTCCCAAGAAGGAGCAGTCCCAGTGGGACTGGAGCTTCTCAAGACTGTAGAAGTGGTAAGAGTAGGAGAGATGTATGAGCTCAGGCTCAGAGAGTCATGGACAGGGCTGGCGGTTGCTGCTTTTGTGGAGGGCTCCAGGAAAAGTTCACCTGAGGTGATATCAGCTACACGTGGAGAACTTGTTTTTACTGGTGATGAGACAGCTGAACTTGACATAGTCTCCATACCCATGCTGATCAAAGCTGTGGCCTTTGACCATGGAGGGATCAAGGTCACAGCAGGGCTAGTCTCTACTGCTGGAGCTGTGCTGACTTCCAGGGTAGCTGTGCTCTCATTTTCAGACCCTTGAGCATTTGCCCTTGGTGCAGTGACTTCAGAAAGCACTGTGGAAACAGAGGCTGGTGAAGCAGTGTCTGCTCTCAGTGATTCCTCAGTTGACAAAGAGGACAGTGCCAGGGAACTGCTTGTTACCCTTTCAGGATGAGTAGCTTGTGTCCTAGGGCTTTCCAAGAAAGATGAGGAGGTGAAAGAAGTCTTGTTGGCCTCTGAGCCTGGCACGGTGTCCATGGAAACCTGGATGCTTCCCAGTCCAGAGGCCAGAGTGGAAGCTGTCATGGTCCCTGTTCCAGTGATCTCAACTTCAATAGGAGACAATGGGGAAATGGTGTCACTTGCCTGTGGAACTTTGGTGACCAATGCTCTTTGAGTTTCAGATGGCTCAGCCAGCGTCGTGGCAGCTAGACTTGATCCTTGTCCAAAATTAGCAGGGGTCACTGTGGTCATGACTGGCTGTTGGGTGGCAGGCCGTGTCTCTCTGGGAATCCTGGGCTCAGAACTTGTTGAGATCTCTCCCAAACTGGTGCCAGGAGGCAGGACTACGTGCTCTTGAGCTTCTGGGCTGGGTCCTGAAGGAGCTGATGATACCTCTCCCATCACCATGGCTGTGTCAGTGCTAGCTGTGACTACCATGGCTAAGGTGGTCAGAGGGAGATTGGAGCTCATTTCTGAGTCTGTATATGGGACACCATGAGTTGTGGGCCCCAACAGAGTTGAGTCAGCAGAGGTGCTCAATTGACTTGTTCTTACAGGAGTAATGCCTGAGACTATAGGAGCTTTAGGAGAAGTGGGGGTCAGGGGGACATCTGTGCTGCTCTCTGCCATTGTACTTGTGAGCTCAGGACTGAGTGTGGTCACAAAAGAAAGAGGAGCCATGCCCGTGACCTTGCTGTTGAAGGAGAGATTTGTTTTATCAGTGGCAAGGCTAGCTGAGCTCATGTCCTCCGCCATGTGAGTTACCACAGATAAGGCCACTGGAGTTGAAGGAGGGAGAGTCTGTGGCCAAACAGTGGTGGCATCTGTTCTAGTAGAGGTAAGCATCACAGCTTCAGAGGGCTGTGGGATGACGGTGATTTTTCCAGGGAGAGTCATGGGGCTACTAGCACTGGGAGACAGGCTTAAGTGAGTCTGATCTTCTGGGTAAGCTGATAAGATCTCTCCCATCACCATGGTTGTGAAACTGCTGTGTATTGCCATCATAGCTAAGGTGGTCAAGGGGACATCTGAGCTCATCTCTGTGTCTGTACGTGGGACACCATAAGCCATGGTCTCTGGGGAAGTTGAATCAGCAGAGGTGCTCAGTGGCCCTGTAACAGCTACCAAGGACATGGGAGATTGAGGTGAAGCAGTGGTCAGTGGGGCACCTGTACTGCTCTCTGCCCCTATGCTTGGAAGCTCAGGACTGTCAGTGGTCATAGAAAGAGGAGCTATATCTGTGGGCTCATTGCTTTCAATGAGACTTTCTGTGCCAGGAGCAACCAAGCCTACATCATCAGTCATGGGAGTAACTCCAGATAAGGCTACAGAAGTTGAAGGAGAGAGAGTCTGTGGCCATGTAGCGATGATATCTGCCCCAGGGGTGGTAAGATCCATGGATTTAGCTGTGGTGGAGGGCTGGGAGATGAATGTGCTTTGTTCATGGAGAGCCTTAGAGCTGCTGGTACTAGGAGGTAGGTCTGAGCTCACTTGAGTGTCTGTGTTGGACCTCGGAGGAACTGAAGACATCTCTTCTGTCACTGTGGCTGTGACAGTGCTAACCATGGCCGCCATGTCCAAGGTGGCCAAGGAAAGATCTGATGTCACCTCTAAGTCTTCGGGTGGGATATCATGAGTCATCATCTCCCTTGGAGTTGAGCCAGATGAAGTAGCCAACAGTACTGGTCCTCCAGTAGTGGTAGCTGAGGACATGGGAGATTGAGGTGATGAGGAAGTGGTTGGTAGGCCACGAGTGCTGCTTTCTGCCACTGTCTTGGGGGGATCATGGCTATGAGTGGTCCCAAGAAAAGGAGGGACAATTTCTATGACCTTGGGGCTTTGGGAGGGACTTGTACTTTCTGCGGTAGGGGCAGCTGAGCTGATGTCCTTAGGCATGTGAACAATCCCAGATGAAGCTGCGGGGGGTGATGAACTGAGAATATTTGGCCAAGCAGAGGTGCTGCCCCTCCAAGTCATGGTAAGAGATGTGGCTTCAGATGTGGTAGAGGATGTGCTGCTGTCTGTTCTTTCTTCTGTGGGGCTCACAGAGCTACTACTGGTAAAGGAGTCATAAGCTACTGTTGTTACAGGAGACAAGACTGTTTCTGCTCCAAGCCTGGACCCAGTGGTAAGGAGGGTGTGGTGCAGCAGAGTGGCATAGCCATTGGACCTGTGCTGGACTCTCCAGTAGGGTTTGCCTGGGGATCAGCTAAAGTCTCAGCAGGGAAAGCTGTGCTAACATCTGATCCTGAAGCACTGCCCCCCACACTCATCTCAAACACAGGGGTGGTTATGGAGGCTGAACTACTACCCAGCTGCCTGTTGTCATGAGTGATGAAATCTAGGATGGCTCCTGGACTGGCACTAGGAGGGAAAGTTGCATCTGCAGTCACTGCTTCAACTGAACTAGTCACCGCCTCAGGCTGTGAGGTCTCCGTGGGTTCAGTGGCAGGAGGTGCAGTTTGGCTTGTCCAGGCTCCTGTCATAGGGGGTGTGGAGTGGTTGGCTTCCTGTACTACATCATGAGGGGCAACAGTGGATATTGTCTCTGGCCATGGAAGATTTGGGGATCCCGTGGAATGTGTTTGCTCTTTGGGAATTGCCCAGGGTTTATCTGTACTCTCCAGAAAGGAAACAGACGTTGTTATGGGCCCAGTTTTCTCTTCTGTGGATGCCAAGGATGCACGTGTGTCTCCTCTACCAATGGTTGAGATGATGCTTACAACAGAAGTAGGCTGGGCAGCTGAGCCAGATTCTGTTCGTGTCTGGGTGTCTGGCTTCTCTGGGGTAGTGACCTCAGCTTGCACTGGAGTTAGTGCGGGGCTTCTCCCCGTTTCTCTGGCACTGAAAGGTGAGGTAGAGGAAGACAGGGAGACAGAGGGACTGGTGCCCATCCCTGAAGCTGAGGCAGTTGTCCAGAGAGCATCTGGTGGGATTGACTTTGATATTGGTCCCATACTGGTGCTCTCCGTGGTAGCTGTGTGTGCTTTCGATGTGATCATTGGGAGAGGAGAGGAAAGTGTCCCAGGCAGGATGCTCTTTAATGGAGTACGTGAGTCAGAGGTAGCTGTGGCTCCATCTGTGGTCAAGGGGAGCAAGAGGTTACTGGGACCCATGTTTATTCCTGCAGATGTCTTGGGCACAGCAGTGGCTCCTATTAAAGAAGAGTTTGATTCTGTAGGTGTCTCAATTCTTTGTCCACTTGTACCAGTAGGAACATGGTGGCTGGTGGGCTGAGTAGAAGGAAGTGTCTCCATGGCAACTGCCTCTGTTGGAGCATTTGAAAAAGAAGCTCTGACAGAGCTGATCACAGGAATGGTGGTGGACCCTGGGGAGTCTCAGGTTTGGGGAGATGAACTTCCTGCCTGGGTGCTTTTGCTGCGGAATTTTGTGGTTGAGCAGTTGGTTGGGACATGTGCAAGGATGTAGGGAAGGAGGGAGGGGAGGCTATTCATCCTCATTTCTCAATAACCCACTGCCTCCTTGGGGAGATACCCGCACCACTTCACTGTCTCCTTCAATGGAACACATGGATGCCTCTCCCCTGATGAGTAAGTTCATCAACCAAAGAGTATCACTGGGGACCATGACTACTGCTACTCTGGGGTGACTATACAGATCAATGAATGGATCCACAGTCACACAGAGGTTACCTGCTTCATCCCAAGATCCATCATTTAAATTTTGAGAATCACCTGACCTCACAAGGGCTTGAGGAATGAATAATCCTAACCCTAAATGCGTGCATGAAGAATAAGTGAATGAATTGAATGAGGGCGGGATAGTATTTACAAGGAGACATAAATGAGATCATTTCTTAGTTGAAATTCCCCTGATATCCAATCCAGGAACATGGGACAGGGAACTGGGCTGGTACATACTGCAATCAAAATTCTAGAAGTCAGCTTGCTTAGACAAGTTAAGGAGAAGGTCCCAAAGCAAAATAGGTCATTACCTTTGACACTTGGCTACCAGCCTCCAGTTCTCATTAGAAATTTAGCAAATATAAAAAGATTCTGAAAGGATATGATCTATTTTCTTTAACAATATCCTTGTTTTACCCAAATGAATTCTAGACAAAAGATAGGTGAGAACAGGAAATGCAACAGATGCTCAGGCAGAAGAACTCCTAGACTGGGCTGCTCTAGTTGGACCACAGAAGGGCACCCACCTTGTTCAAACATGAAATATTTTTCCCAATGGGAAAAGAGGGTCATACATGATATGCTCAGGGAAAGAGATCAAGGAAGCAATTATTGCCACAAGGGCCTGATGATGCCACACTCCCCTCTCAAAAGCCTCTTCACTTCAGTCTGTGGAAGTGATTCACTGTGTTATCTCCAAAGAGGAGGATGAATGACCCTCCAGTAGAGGAATCTAAGGAGACTTCTACTTACCTGTAGGACAGAGGGTGTCTATGCATTCTGGAGGACCAATTGTCAATGCTGCAGGGCCTCTTGGTGCTCCTCGGTCTGGGATTTGTGTGATGGGCACCACATCAGCCTCTTTGCCTGCAGAAAGGAATGAGGGGAGGGCCTGGGAATCCATTATGCATGATTCATGGTGTACATGAAAGCAAATGCATGGTACCCACATGGGCCAACTGCATAGCCTAAGATTCTGTGCATTGTTACTTCTTATTACTTACCCTGACTCAAGGAAAGGTCCACCTTTCAAAACTACAGCTCAGATCTGGACAATTGAACACTTCTCTAAAGACCACTAGTAATACTCAGTGGCCACAAGGACCACTAGATCACCCTCCTGTGCAGTAATCTAAGAGGGACTAGGCTGGTTTAACAGACATAGTTCTGAAGTCAGGGCCCCAAAGTAGCCCAAAATAGAGATCTGGAGAGGAAAAGCCCAAGTGAGAGCATTCACCCATGAGGCAACATGGTGAAATGGAAGGATCTCTGGAAATAGAAGGACCTATACCTGGGTTCAATCCCTGGCTTGGATACTTCCTACTGGTGTGACACTGGGCAAACCAATTCCCCTTTAGACCTCAGTTTCCTCATCCATAAAATAAGAGGTTGGAGAATCATCAGCATAGAGACAGTAATTAAATCTATGGAAGTTGATGAGATCACCCAGTGAAGTAGTGTAGAGGAAGAAGAGAAGAGGGATGAGGACAGAGCTCTGTAAAAAGTATGTAAAATACTTCACAAAATCTTGAAGTTTTAAACACACATACACGAGCAGGGATACAGGACTTAGTACCAGGTGGTTCAGTTAATCTTCTAGTGGCTCTAAGCAACTGTGGTCAAACCTGATTCAGCATTAGTTTCTGTACCCCTGGTAAAGGTGGCTTCTGGGATACAGAGCTGGTCCCTATGGGTGCTTGGTCCTTGGAGGAGCCTGGAATCTCCCCCAGGCTGGTGCTGAGTGGTTCAGTTAACCTAATTTCACCTCCTAGTGCACTAATACTTTGAGAATGCCCTGTATATGCCAGCTGTCTCCAAAGATCAGTAATGGAGACTGAGCAAGTGTGGCTACCCAAGAGAAGCAGCATAAAGGAGGTTCCTACTTACCCATGGGACCGACGGTGGACCCGGATGCCTGAGAATCACTTGTAGATGCCCGTGGGCGCCCATATACTCCCTGGTCTGGAATGTGGGTGACCGTTGCCACAGTATCATCAATGCCTAAAGAAAAGGATGAAGGAAAGACCCAGGACTCAGTCGTGTCAGAAGCAGTGGAGGGCAACAAGACAGGGGCACATTCTGCTCCTTCCTCCATTCCAGAACAGAGTGACAAGACACGGCCTTGGGTATCAGAGTCAGTGGTTTTCTATCACCTTCTCTTGTCTCCTTTCTCTGCCCCTCCTCAGGGCCACCTATTCTCCCTCCTTGCCAGACCTAGAAATGGGGAATAACCCTCCCCACTCTCCAGAAGTGTTGATTCTACCTCATCCCACCCCCCCAGCTCCCCTTTCTGGTTTTGGGTGTCAGGCAGGACATTCAAATTTACTTAAATTATCCCACAGGAAGAGGGGTCACCTAATTCCAAAGGAGGCTGCCAACAATCTTAGGAGGGCCCCTGGGATGCTCCCAAAACCCAGGGCCCACAGCTAATCAATACACAAGGTCCATCTTCACAGAGGAAAAAAGTGCATATTTCATAACATTCACCCAAGAATCATGTAATAAAAACCTATTATGTAGCAGGTACTGTGCAAAGCACTGGAGATAAAAAGATGAAAATGACATGCCTGCCCTCAAGGACGTTACTTTCTATCACAATATAACAGGAGTGAAAACCAACTATGGATAAATTATAACAACCCAAGAAATGAGATGTTAGAAATCATGGCCCACAAAATACCTAACTAAAGACAGTCTTGTAAATCTCTAAGAAACGGATTTTACCTTACAGAAGGGAAAGAAAAGTCCCAAGTGGACTGAATACCCATCCAGTAGGAAAGGAAAAAAGGAGGTTTCTACTTACCTGCAGTGCTGATGGTGGGCATGGACAGCAGAGGACCGCTCTCTGGTCCTGGGGTGCTTACAGGTGATGCTGAAGAAGGAATACTCCAGGTAGGCACCAGACTCTCGTTGATTCCTGAGTGAAAGAGAGGGAAGGACTCAGGGATCAATCATGTCAAAAGGTCATAAAAGAAATGCACTGTAGGCAAAGGTCCAAACTCTGCAGCTAACACATGCACTATGTGCTTCCTGTCAGTCCTCAGAGGCAGTTAGGTGGGGTAATGAACAGAATGCTAGGCCTAGAGTCAGGAAGAACTGAGTTCAAATCCAGCCTCAGACATTTACTACTTGTGTGAAAATGCACAAGTCACTTAAATTCTATTTGCCTCAGAGACAAGTAACAGATAAGCCTTTGCTTTGGTAAGCTCTCCAAAGGAAAAGAGTGGGTATTTTAGCACAGAACTCATGAAAAACTCAGAGAAATGAGTCAAATGAAGCAACAGAAAAAGAGAGAATTAATAAGTTCCCAGAGACAGAAATTCTATCCTAAGTAACAAAGTCCTAGGAAAAGCAGTTCAAACAATGATGAAATGGAGAACTCCTAAGAGCAGAAAAAGGTGGCCCAGGAGGAAAGACTTTTGGTCAAACAGAGAAAGCAGAAAGGAGATGTCTACTAAGCCGAAGCACCGACAGTGGCTGAGGACGCCAGAGAGTCCCTCCATGGGACGGCGATGCCACCAGCCAAAGAGATGTCTACAATACGGGTGCCTGAAGCCAGACTCTCACTGGTTGCTATGGGAAGGGAAACCCATTAGGTAGTAAGTCAACAAGCATTTCTTGAGTGATTCATGACTGCCCAGATGGGGACTGTCAGCTACCAAAACTTGTGGGGGAAGCTAGCTGTCCTCTACAGATTCAAACAGGAAAAGTAGGCTCTGCTCTTCTATCACTCCTTTCTATCCTTTCTGTAGCTCCACAGATCCCATCTTCTAAAGGTCAATCTCATATCTTATCTAAATCACTCACCCAGAATAATGAGGGTGAATTTGAGCCACAATGAAGGGAGAGGTAGAGAGGAAGATGAGATGAGATAAGAGGAGGTGGAGGGAGAGAAGGCAGAGGTTTATTAGGTGCAAGAACAACCAGACTGCCTTCCCAGACAGTTCTAAAAAGGGAACTGGGGTTACCATGAAAGAATTTCATAAATTTCCTGAAGCCAGGTCCCAAAACACAGACTCTGAAAGAAGAGGGTCAGGAAGTAAGTGATTACTTCAATACCTGATCTCACTCACTCCCATGCACACCTGAGCAGCTGGGTGGTGCAGTGCACAGAGCACCCTGCCTGAAGGCAGGAAGGCTCATCTTCCTGAGTTCAAATATGGCTTCACACACTTACTACTGTGTAACCGTGCTCAAGTCACTTAACCTTGCCTGCCTCAGTTTCCCCAACTGTAAAATACCCTTGAGGAGGAAATCGCAAAGCAATCCAGTACCTTCTTCAAGAAAACCCAAATGGGGTGATGAAGAGCCAGACATGACTGGAAAGCAACTGAACAACATGGCGTAACAAAATCCCCAGTAGGAAAGGCAGGAGTTGCTGCTTACTTGTGGACAGAGTGGAGGTGGTGCCAGAGTCACGGGCCCTGTGCTCCTTTCCGTGGATGGCATGGCTGTGGCTGTTCCTCCTTCCTCGGGGGAGAAGGTCTTGCTCAGGCTAGTCAGAGGCAGCCCAGATGAGCTGGGCTCAGTTCCTGTCTGGGCCTCTGACTTTTCTAAGGTGGTAGAAGCCACTGTGTGGGTAATGATGGAAATGGGGGGCGTCTCTGTCACTTTGCTAGTTGAGCCTGGGTCAGCTGAAGACAGAGCGAGGGTCTGGCTGCTTGTCGGCCCTGAAGCAGAGATCCTGGTATGGAAGGAGTCACCGGCAGGAGTCTCCGCAGGCTTGGTGTCAGGGTCCCTCCCTGTGGTCAGGGCTGCACTAGGGGTGGCCGTGGAGGAAATTGCCCCTAGTGAGTTGGAGTCTAAGGGAGCACTGGAGCCTGGACCCTCCTGGACCTCAGCTGAAGTAGCAGCAAGCGGGAGGGAGCCAGTGGCCGTGGTCACGCCAGCAGAAGAGTCAGTGGAAGTGCGGGCTCCTGCCACAGAGGACATGGTTGTCATAGGTGTCTCCAGACCTTGGCTCCCTGAAGCAGAGCCCACAGGGAGGCTGGTGGACTGAGCAGGGGCTGAGCCAGGAGCTGTGTGTAGGGGGATGCTCACTGCTGCTCTCCTGAAAGTGGAGGTTCCCATGGTGGAGGCAACCACAGGCAGGCTGGTGGGCTCCGTGGCCTCTCTGCTGGCAGGGGATGGATCCCTGGGACCTGCTGCCATTGGGCTCCCGCTCGACAGGCCTGTGTCTAAAAGAGGGGATGGGTTGGCACATGTGGAAGTGTCTAGTGGGGTGCTTGGGAATCACCTCCCAGGCACCCTCATCTCCTCTCTGCAAGGCTCCTTCCCCTTTTCGATGACAATGCCCCCTCCAAGCTACGCTACTCACTCTCTCTCCCCACATCATGCTCACCACGGGCACCTGCTCCTGGGCAAGCACTTTCATCACCCAAAGCTCCCTCCCACAGCCTGAGCTAGCCTCTGAAGCTGGCACACGCCAGGATGGAGAGGGCTCAGACTGGGAGTCTAGCACTAGGCTTGCCCTGACCCCACTCTGATAAGCTCCCAGGCACTTCTCAGCTGCATAGACCACACCCTCCAATCCACTTCCTCTGGCTCATCCCGGCTTCAGGCTAGTGGAGGCCATCTATATAACAACCTTGTACCTTCCCAAAATACACCCCTAGAAAAGCAATGGACAAACTTTTCTTTCCCCACCAGTTCCCAAAGGACACAAGTCAGGGTTTCAATCGCAGAGGAATAGAGATGCAGGGAAAGACTTCCCCTAGAGAAACCAAGGAAGAAAGAATGAAAACGGTCTCAGAAACTTACAATGGTGTAGAAAGACACCTAGACCCAAGAAGAGCCCCGCGGAGTAAGAAACTGAACCCTGATTGAGAATTGTCCCCCATTGGAAGGACAGTGGTGACCCTTACTGACCTGAAGCAGTGACAGTGGTGGTGGGCACTTTGGACTCACTGGCTGGGGACCCGGTACCTTCCTGTGAGGGTAAGTCTACGCTCTGGCTGCTGGGACCAAGGCTCTGGCTGATACCTGTAAAGACGGGAAGTCAGTAAATCAGTCAGTCGACAGGCATGTATTGAGGGCTTGCTCTACGTGAGGCAGAGAAACCTCCCAGATCTGAGGCAGCAGGAAAAAATTTAAGGTAGCCAAAAGCCTCATCCACGTCTTCTCTGTGTCTTTGCTCACACTTTCCCTTCAAAACATGGTCTGAAGCATCCTATTCTCCACAGCCCAATTCTGCATCCTGCACAAAGCTGCGGATCAGAATGAGGACGTGCAATTTATCCCCGGAAAATCTCAAGGGTCGTTTCAGCCCCGAGGACGACAATGTGGGCCTCCCCAACAGGGTGGAGAAGGAGAGTGACCACCAGAAGTCAGAGCTCTTGAATGTATGCAAATATAGGCTCCCCAGGTGAAACACTCAGCATTCCCCCTCAGGGCAAGGCATGCCTTCCTCAGAAGTGCACAGGGCTGCTTCCCACCTTGAAGCAGAAATGGATCAACCTTCCCACTCAAACTAGATCCTAAACAGGGGCAGGAGATCATAGTCATGTGGGAACAAAGACTGTACCCGAGGAAGTGAGGTCTGCTTGGAGCGTGCTCCCTGAGTGGGAAGGGGCAGATGTCCACGAGCTCTCCACGTCCATTGAAGACGGTGCGAATGGTCCTGTTGCTCTATCTTCTGTGCTCTCCTCCGACCCGGTGGTGGTGGGAAAGAACAAAGTGGACCCAGAGGATGGGGCCATCCCTGGGGCAGAGGTGCTTGTCCAGGCTGACGATTGGATGAACAGAGCAGAGGAGTCTGGGCTGGGTCTTGACAGCCCTGGAGAACCTGCCTCTGAGGAAGGGATGGACGCAAGGCTGGTGGCCCCAGCAGAGGTGCTGCCCAGCAGCATAGGAATGCTGGTGTCTGCTGCCATTGCTTGGCTGCTCACAGAGGTGGATGAAGTTGTCCATGAGCCAGCATCTGTGGTGATGGAAAGTGGAGTCTCTGTCAGGGGAGGGCTGAGGGTGAGGCCACTCCCTGATGTTGTGGCCAGCTGTGGGCCCTGGGGGATGGTCTCCTCTGCAGACCATGGGGCCCCTGTCACAGTAACTGAGCCAATGAAGCCTGGCAGTCTGCTGCGCGGAGGGGCAGCTGAACTGGAATCAGTTTCCATGCTGGTCTTCTCTGAGAAGGTGGATACGACATTATTTGAATCGCTGGCTGGAACAGACGTCGAGACATCTGGCATGAGCTCTGTGGGGCTTGAAGAAGTGGTCCTGGGAGGAGAAGCTCCATTGTTCTCTGATGTGGACATGGGAGAAATGGATGAAGGGCTGAGCCACGTGCCTGGAGAAGGAGCGGAAGCTGACCTGGCTTCTTCTAGTGTGCCAGGGCTTAATGCGGATTTGGTGGGCAGGTCACTGGCTGGCAGAATTGATGGGCCAGCAACAGGTGTGACACCTGGAGAGAGCTCTGTGCTCCTAGCAGGAGATACCTGCTGAGAAATAGGGCTCATCCCCGTGGGTGCTGTGTCCTCTGAGGAGGCTGGGATCTCTCCCAGGCTGGTACTGGGCTCTTGACTCAATCTCCCTATACTGACCTCTCCAGTCACAGGAGCTGAGATATCTCTGGTTGAATCTTCTACGATTGAAGTGGTCAAGGAGACAATAGGGTTGGTCTCTGAGCCAGAAGACAGCACCTCATGGTCTCTACTCCCCTCCCAAGATGAGCTAACAGCTGTAGAAGATGAACCTGGCACTCCAGTACCAGTGTCTGAAGACGTTGATCTTAGCGGCAAAGATGTGGTCATTGAAGCAGTTGGGCTAGCCCCTCTTCCCAACACTGGGCTCTCAGAATGTTGCGCAGAAGTAGGAGAGATCGGTAAGATGTCCATGATTTTGCTACTGGGAGTCAGATTTGTTCCCTCAGTACCTGGGACAGCTGAACTTATGCCATCCACCATTAAGGGGCTCCCTGAGGAGGCTTCAGGGGTTGCTGGAGTTGGAGTCCAGAGCCAACTCAGCCCTGTGCTTAACACCCTCCTGGCTGCTTCAGCTGGGGTAGAAAACCATGGGCTAATTGGAGCTTCATCTCTGCTTGACACAGGGGCACCGTCAGGGAACGCTTCAGCCAAGGTCACTGTCACCAGATGGGAGGAGGTCTCTGCTCCTAGACTAGTTGTAGAAACACCTGAGCTATGGCCTGAGGTGGTATCCACAGGTGAGTCAGTGCTGGGCCCTCCAGTTTGACTTGTGACTTGGCCAACTGTGATCTCAGGAGCATATAAGGAACCATATGGATCCTTGCTGCTCTCTGATATTTGAGGGCTGCCTGCAGAACTTGGCTCAGCCATGAATGTGGATGTGGAGGCCACATCTGGACTGATCTCTGTGCTGGTGGTGGGGAGGAAGCCTTCAGTAGAAGCCAGGAGCCCATCCCCATTCTCAGGATACAGGGTCCCCTTTGTGGCTGGAGGTAGAGATGGAGCATCTGTCCTCTCTTCCCCAGTCATGGTAACAAGTGTCATGGTGCCCAAGGAGGCAGAGGGGATTGGGAGAGTGGTGGAATAGTCCAGCTCCTGTCTCATACTGGGGGAGTGATAGGAGGTCATTCCATCAGTCCAAGGAGGCTCCAGAGTCCCCTTGTTACTGGTGAGCTGTCCTGGAGTGGTGTGGGCAGGGTCTGTGGGCTCAGAGATGCTGTGAGAGACAGTCCTGCTCTCTGTGGTCCCTGCCATGGATGGAAGAGGTGTACTTGGGCCTCCTCCCAAGGAAGGTAAAGTCTTATTCATGGTAGTAAGAAGCAGCCCAAATGAGCTGGGTTCAGTTCTCATCTGGGCCTCAGGCATCCCTGGGATGGTGGAAGCCCCTGTGTAGGTCATGATGGAAATGGGGGGTATCTCTGTGACTTTGCTGGTGGACACTGGGTCTGACGAAGACAGAGCCAGTGTTCGGCTGTGTTCTGTTTCTGCAAAAGATTTTCCTGTATGGAAAGAGTCGCTTGGATTGCTGAAGCTTGTGGCCTGAGTAGAGGCTGAACCAGAGGCTGTCTCTGTGCAGCCAGTTTCTCTTGGAGTCTCCAACGTTAAAAGTCCAGTACTGGATCCCATCTCTGAGACTTTTGGGGGCTCTGTGGACTCTCTGTTTGCATGAGATTCATCTGTGGCACCCCCTGACACTGTGCTCCTGTTGGACAGGCCTGTGACTAGAAGAAGAGTTTGTTTGGCACATATGGAAGTGCTGAGCTCCTGAGCACCTTGGACTTCATTTAGTTACCCCTATCTCTCCTAAGTTTGGCTCCTTCCTCAGCACAGACACTAAAAAATCCCTATAGCTTATTCTGTTCTTCAAGGGCAGGGAGCTATAAGCTGTTTGATTAGCCTGAGGACTCCTTCTTGTGTCCAGCCAGCCACTCATCTGTGACATACATGATGTCCCTTGGATCCTTATGCAGAGAGCCATCTGCTAAATCCTAGAAATCCCTCAAACCATCTGAGTCTTGAGGGAAGAGAATACAACCCAAAGGTACAATGTGTAGCTGGAATACCCCCTGACCTCCAGGCTGCAGCCACAATGGGAAAACAGCTAAAACTCATCTTCTCCAAATCACTTAATGTTAATGTTGTCTAGTCTCTGTTCCAAGGAGCAAAATTAAGGTCACTTAAAGAGGTAGCCCAATACTTTGCCAGTGTGCAATTAGAAAGGAGAAAGGAAGAGAGGAAAAGAAGAGAGGAGAGTGGGGAGAGAAGACAGAAAAGGATAAGAGAGGAAAAGAGAAAGAATGTGAAAGGGAAAAGAATAAACACAAATATTCATTTCCTTCCACCTGAATCCAGGATGCAATTGAAGTGTACAGGTGAGAATGGGACATGGGCTGGAAGCCCTGAAGAAGAGGATTCCACATCTTCCCTACTCTGATCGATGTGAATGAGCAACATGGATCATGGTTCTAATCAGGCCTTTTCTCTTGAAGATGAGAGATCAGAGCAAACTGTCCCCAGGTGCAAGCCAAAAGAATGAGGAAAACAGTGGGACCTAAACTCCCTGGAGCCCCCACAGATTGACACCAAACCGCTCCCTCAGAGCCTTCTTCTTTTCAGTCTCTGCAAATGAATCCATGTTACCATCCCCCAAGAGCAGGCAACCAGACCCTGATGAGATGAACAGCCAGAAAAAGGCTTTTACTTACCAACTACACCCATGGTGGGTGAGGGGCCTGGAGGACTTCCTGTGGCTCCATGGACTGGGGCATGTGTGATGGGTGCCATGCCAACACTGCTACCTGCAGGAAGGAACAAGGGCAGGGCTCCGGATAAGTCCTGGTTGACATATGAAAGGCATTGAAGAAAACACCCTGGCCTCTGGTATTTATTCTACCAAAGAGTTGTACATTGGTTACTCCTCTCACTTCTTCTCTTGCTTTTTTTTGGTTCCTGGGAACTCTTTCTCCAAATCCCAAGCTCACCTCCGAACAATATTATGCTTAACTTAGACATGATAAAACTAAAATTCCTTCTCCTCCAAGGGGTAGAAAGGGCCATTTGAGTGCAAGGACAATGTGGTCACTCTCCCAAGGGAGTGGTCAGAGGGCAGCTGGAGTGACCTGCTAGGTCTAACAGATAAAGTCCCTGAAGCCAAGGCTTCAAGGTGGCCTGAAATAGGGATCCTGAGAGAGGGATGCCAAAGACAGGAAATGCCTCTCCTTTTCAGTGGCTTACCTCTCACCTCCCAGGGCAGAGCCCACCATGACCTCCCAAAGGACACAGTAAGGTCCCTCGGAACCTTACTGGAAGGAAGCAAAAGTGGGAGCTTACTTGTAAGCTGGGTGGAGTTACTAGGAGAGGGAACAGTGACTGTTTCTTCCCTTGGAATGTTCCCCTCTTTAGCAGTAGTCTCCAAAGGAAGAGATGGTGAGATCTGTACACCTTGCATCCCAGGAGTGAAAAATGAGGCTGCTTGAGCTGATGTCTCTACCATCACAGTCTCTGACTCCACAGTCACAGAAGCTTTGACTGCAGCTGTGGTTGGTATCTGGGTGAGGGTGAGGGCTGCGTATGAGTCTGTAGTGGACTCTCCAAAAGGACTTATCCTAATGCTGGTGCTAGTGTCGACAGAGAGAGAGGTCTCAGAGGAAAATGGGCTTATGTCTGTGTCTGGGGCGCTGAGGGATGTATGGGATTCTACCCCTGAAGTGCTGATAGAGGTCAAACTTGAGCTTGACCAGATACTACTGGGGGTGGTGCTCACCCCTCCTCCAAAATAGAAGGAATCCGTGAATTCTGAGTCAGTCTCTGAACCTGCTGTTCCTTCCTTGGCCACCAGGGGGGTTTGGAGGATACACTTGTGCTTTTCCGCAATTTTTCACTGGTGGCATAAATTGGACTACTTGCCCCCTGTCCAGCGGAGCCCTCAGTAGGGTCAGTAGATGGAGCAGCGTCTTTGCTTGTCTGCGCCCCAGGTGTGGTGTCAGATGAGCTGGAGGGCCTGTGGAGAGACTTGAAGGAACCAGTCCTTCTCTACATTCAAGGAGGTCATTCTCCCAGTCCAGGGAATGGATGAAGGGTCCAAGGAGCTGGTGTGTGGACTTCGAATGGTGTGAGATGTGTCTTCAGGCTTGGGGAAGGTGCCAGGTGTCATCGCTATCACAGCCTCAGTTGTTCTTTTTGCAAATGGCACGGCTGTGCCCATGTCTCCCACTACAGTTGTTGGGACATTACTCAGGTCAGTGGGAGGTGGGGTAGAGGAGCTCAGCTGAGTTCCTGCCTGGGACTTGGCCCTCTCTGGGGCTGGAGACATGGTCTTTAGCAGGGATGAAGCAGGTTGCACCCAGGTGACTTTAGGGCTCGTTTCTATCCCTCCACCAGAAACTTGTATGTACAAGGAATCAACCAGAGTAGGCAGCAGTGTGGGAACTGGGTAAGGGATCTCCCCAGTGGTCACGCCTGCTGCTGGGGCAGCTGCAGGGGGAGTAGAGGAAACTGTCCCAAGTGTGCTAGCCTCTAAGGGAATGCTGGAACCTGGAGCAAAAGTGGGCTCAAGTGGGGTATGAGAAAGGTCTTCATGTCTTGTGGTCACTTGGATAGAGGTCTCAGCTTCCATGGTGGCTCCTACCAAAGGTGAGATGGTTCCTGTGGGTGCCCCAGACCCAAGCCTGCTTGTAGAGGTGGACTCGGTACATCAGTAGCCTGGGGAGTGGCGGAGCCAGGAGCTGTCTCCCCACTCACTGTCTCCCCTGAAGTCTCTGGAAAAAAAGCACCCAGGTTCACTGCTTACAGAAGCTGTAGCCAGGGCAGTTCCTGCCACAGGGCCCCTGTTGGACTGTGCTGTGGCTGAGCAGTTGATTGGTTGGGAAGGGCAAAAAGGTGGAATTAGGAGAGCTATCAGAATCATTCAGTTAGCAACACCCTCCTCACTGCTAACCGCTGCCTCTCCAGGAACCCACTAAACCCCCAAACTTTGTTACTTCTCTCTATCATCCCAATAGAATCAAAGCTCCCTATCTTTTCTTTCCAGTTCCCAGCCCAGTGCCATATGCACCATAGGTAAATGTTTGTTGTTGGATTGGATTGAATTGAAGGTCCCCTGGGCACCTTTTCCCTGAAACAAGCACCTTTTCGATCTGGGGTCAGGGGACCTGGGGTCAAAACTCAGCTCCTGATACTTGCTATCTGTATGATCTTGGTCAAGTCCCTTCAGCCTCTCTGGGTCTCAGTTTCCTCAGCTGTGAAGTAAAGGGTTGGATTCAATAACCCCTAAGATTTCTTTAAGCTCCACATCTGTGATCTACGATGCTATAAGCAGTCTTAGAACTCAATGTTACTTTTTGAGGTGTCACACTGATCTATGAATTGCTCCCCTAACTCTGCAAGAGTCACTAAGATTCAGAATGGTCAGACTTAAGTCTTGGAAAGTCCCTTACTCCACAGAGGCTTGTAGGACAAAGATGACCCAAGCTTAGCTGCAGTTCCACATAGTTCCACTAGGGATCAAAAATGGGAGAGAAAACCATAGTAGCGCAGACTCTATCCATGTTCTCCAATGCTGACTGGGAGATTGCCAAAGAAAGTAGGGTGATATCTTTAGGAATTGGCTAGTGGCCTCCAATTTGTGTTTAAAAGTTACTCAACAGCACCAGACTCTGAGGAGATATGGCCTATTACCATTTATAAACTTGTCCATTAAAAATTCCAGGCAAGTAGACACTTATGGGGAAGAGGGGAGGGGAGATAAAATGTAAGCCCAGAAAGAAAGGCTCTTGTCCTGATGTGATCATTCTGACCAGGTGATCTTTAAAGTAAGGAAGCAGGCCTTCGGCAAATCACTCCACTTCTCTGGCGCTCAGTTGTTTCATCGGTAAGACAAGCAGGATGGACTGGCTGGCCTTGAGAGTCCCTTCTCGCTTTAGAGCGGGCACCTCCTATCTTAAGAACAGAATGAAACTCATACTTATTCGGGGGATTGGAGGTGGTCACAGGTTCCAAAGGGCCACTTGTTTCAGCTGCGCCCGAATGACCCAGTGCATTTGTAGAGGGTATCATGCCTGCAGAATAGAATGGGAGAAGACCCTGGGCTCAGTCATGTCAGACACATGAAGGTCATGGAGGAAAATACACTTTCCCCCGCAGGCACTAACTCCAAAGACATGTTGTAGATACTCTCACAGGCTCCAGGGAACTTCATCTTCAAAGTCCTAGCCTGTGATTGGACAATACTGCACTTACCTTAGACCCCACAAAAAATAAAATCCCATTTCTACCAACAAGAAAGGAAAGATAATGTTTTAAAATCAGGATTCCTAATCCTTTTATTGTTATAGATCCCTCTGGCAGTCAGTCTGATAAAGCCTGTGGACTCATCCCCTTCACGGCATCATGTTTTTTAAATGCATAAAATAAAATATATAGGATTACCAAGGAAAGCAACTCTATTGAAATACAGTTCTCAGTGTTAAAATTATTGGGGGGTGGAATAAAATATTATTTAAAAAATAAATACTTCCTCTCCTGGCATCCAGGCTTCCTGGGGTAGTGGGTAAGGCCACGGCCAGAGAGGAAGCTGAAGCCCTGCCTGGGACATTAACAGGATTGGGCTGTGTGCCTGCATATGTCCTCCACTGAGAAAGCATCTCTCCAGGTGATGAAGCAAGAGGTGTAACTAATGGATTGGGGCTCCCATCCTCAGTGTCTGCGCATGTTGAAGCTTCAGCAGAGGATGCAGTTGAGAGGGCAACTAGGCTAGTCTCTACCCCTGCACTTGGAAGTTTGGGGTGTGGAGACAGGCCAGGAGAAGGAGACACATTGGCCACCATCTTGCTGGGAGGGATCAGACTTGAACTTTCAGACCCAAGGACATGCGAGTTCATCTCATTGGCCCCAGGAGTGACCTCTGATGAGGCTGATGGAGTGAGGGGCTCTGACCAGTAGGGCTGGTGGCAGAGGCAGTCACAGGGACAATTGTGACTTCTGCTGTTCTAGAAGGCCAAGAGACAGCTGTGCTAGTAACAGGCAGAGGGCTGCTGGCCAGACACCTCAGCTGCTCGTCTGGTTGGTTCCAAGGACAGAGCTGTCCTTGCTCCAATGCTAGCCCTTGACGTGGTACGGGTTAGAGTCTCACACTCTGCACCAAGGCTGGCCCTTGGAATATCATCAGAAGAAGTCTCCTTCAGAGCTGAGCCAGCAGGGGTTGCCAGTGGGCCTTGTTCCTCAGTCTCACTGTCTGAAGCTAAAACTTCAGATAAGGAAGTGGTCAGGAGGGTGGCCTTACTAGCTTCTGCTCCTGTGCTTTGGAGGTTAGGATGGGACATGGACATGGAACGGGGGCTGATGACTGCAACCTGAGCACTGGGGGACAGACTCGAACTGGGGGGAGCTGAAGCCATCTTCTCTGGCCTGAGCATGACCCCCAAGAAGGCCATTGAGGCTGATGAAGCAAAAGCATGCTTTAAAGAAAGGCTGGCTCCTGTCTCAGACATGGGGTCACTTGTAACCTCAGTGGTATTAGAGGACCTTGGGGAGGCTGTGCTTTCTCCAGGGATGGGCACAGTATGCTTGGCAATGGAGGATGCTGCTGCGGTTGGTACCAGCAAAGACCTGCTCCAAGACCAGCTGCTGATACAAAACTTGGGGTGTGGTCTTGAGTCATGTTGACAGTTGAGTCTGGTTTGAACCATGTGGATCGACTTGACTTCAGGCCAGACTCAGAGGTGCCAGGAATATTTTTGCCTGTCTCTGATCCTGGAACACTGATGGTGTTCCTTCCTTGGGGCACCACAGCACTTGTGGAGGCCAAACTGAAACTTGACCATCTGCGGCCCAGAGTGGTGGCCACAGATCCCCCAGAGCTGGTTGTCTGCTCATGACTGGCGGTCTCTGGAGGGCCAAAAGATGGACAGGCAGCTTCCTCCATCTCTTCTCCAATGATGATAATGGTCACTGAGCTATCTGAGGACTTGAAGGATGATGAGACAGATGAAGAGAAGTTCACTTCCTCTATAGAGGAACACCTGAAGGAAAAAGCATCCCAGCCCCTTGCAGATATCAGTGCCTGTGCCAAGGCCCCATTCACCCTGCACTAGTTGTAGGACAATATCTATCTAGCTTTACTTTTTCCAGTGGACAAAATGATGTAGTAGAAACTGTGTAGAATGTAAGAGCCAAAATCCAGCTCTGGTTTTGATTGCACAAGATTATTGGATCACAGAACTAGACATAGAAGCAAACTTGGAATCCATCTGGCCCAACCCCCACC